CAGCGGCAGCAGCAGCAGCGTACGGTACAATAGCACCCAAAGGAGAGCCCCTTCCCTGCAGACATGAGGTCATCCGCGCAGCCAGGCACCCGCTTGAATGCTAAGTCACATATTATTATTACCCGTAAGAAATACTGAAATGAAAATGTGAGCACGTGTGTATTGTGTGTTGGAGGGACAGGCTTGTTCACTGGATTAAACCAAATGAAGCTAAGCCTATCAGAGGAGATTCCATTAGCCAGATCAGTAATAACACGATTATACACAATCCCTTTAAAGACCCCCGCCAAGACCCGCTCGCAATCTGTAAACAGTGTAAACCCATACAATAGAAGACCCACTCATCAAAATGTATATTGAAATGTTTTCCAAATGTTATTTCATATTAAATGTTGTACATTTCATAGACTATAGCATTGTTTCCCCAAAGACTGGGTCACAACCCTCAGGTGGGTCAGAAGAGATTTTTTGGGGGTTGCCTTGTCACAATCTAGCCTGATTCATCAGTCGGTTTCACTTCATAGAAACCGTCTGACCTCACAGCGTTAGAATTTGTTCGCTCAATGGTAGGCGGGTACTTTTTAAATTTAATTAACCAATAGCTGTTATTTGGTTGTGACTTATGTAATGCGCTCTAACAGGGCTAACTGGTATATTAAGCTTTTCCCAAATCCCGTAGGAAGAAGGGCAATAATGTCTTTCCCCTTGATAAAATTCACCAAACATTCTCTTTGTTCCGACTTTAAATTCTCGATCTCCCGAATCGTTGACAACACAGTACATGGCTCTTCGCACATTGGCTGGTGCCCAGACTTGCATTGCGAACCGTCTAGTGCAGGGGTCTCAAACTCAGATTACCTGGGGGCCACATTAGATAAAGTCTGAGTGAGGCTGGGCCGCATTGAGTATTCGATAAATAGCGGTTGCACGGGAAAAAAAGAGAGAGAAAGAACAACATGCAACACACTTTCTTAATCTTTAATAACAGTTCAGAATATGAAAATGTATTCAGAACGTAAGTTTAAACTAATACGTCTACTCTTCTTCTTTTGCCTACTCCTTGCTGGTTGAAACCTGGCTACGCTTCATCTTGTACAGCTGAGAGATATTTGGCTTGCAGGAGGAAGCATATGAGATCCTCAGGAGAGATTGAAGATGCTCATCAGTGAGCCTTGACCTGTATTAGGTGCTTTCACACCGACAGTATTTGGTGCGCACCAAACGGTCCATTCGAACCAGAAGTGGTTAGCTCGGTTCGTTTGTGTTGGTGTGAAAGCGTCAATCGGACTCTGACCCGGACCAACTCAAGCGGACCGAGACCTCAAAAAAGAGGTGGTCTCGGTTCGCTTGAATCCGCACCTCTGGTGTGAACGCGAAACCGAGTCCAAACCATAGACAGCAGGTCCAAACAAACTATTCGAAATGCATCATGGGAGAAACGCGTCTCCTATGCCTGTAATAATGCGCTGTACGACTCCAGCGCAGTAACAGGTTGTTGTCCAGATGCAGCCGCGATTCATTTTCGAATTATTTTACCGAAAATGGCCAATACAGAGAATGTAATACACGAAGATCAGAGCAAGAACGTGCGAACGTGTGGCTCCAGAGTGAGTCAAAAATGGGGGTGTGTACTTCTGTTCAGGACCTGCACGCACAGAGAGGTCCCGGTGTTCCCCGTGATCATGTAGGAAGCAGCATTTGTTATTTTAGGCTTTAATTAACCAAATAATTTTATTATTGATTCACCTTTAAAAAATGTCCTGCTTTTAGCCTAGTGTGAGAAATACAGTCGGACTAGATCCAAACCAGAGTCCCGAACCAGCAGGAGCAGCTCCGGGCTCAGATGACGTGGAGCGGGGAGTGAAAAGCGTTTTTCCCGGGAAGAACCAAATGCGGACACCAACTAAACTGGATTCACGCTTCTGTCCGGATGCTTTGCACCACCCCAGAACCAGCCGCGGTTCTTGAGCGCGGAGGACCGGAGCAGCCCGCACAGACCTGTAGGTATAGTCCACAGAACATTCTCACTTTCCCCGCACGGAACCAGCGTGCAGATGGCGGAACGTACCCGCTCAGACCCAGTCATTGCGCACTGGTCTTGCTCACCACCGTCTGGAACCAGCACATGGAGGACAGAGCCTCCGGACCATCTGACCAACGTGCTTGTAGGACGACAGAAGACCAAGGACCAGACCCCAGCCCCGTCCTGAGGAGCTGCGCGCTACTGTGAACTCTGGGCTGGTGCGGTGAGTTTGTAGAAAGTTCTACATGTTGCTGTTTTATGAGTTCATGGTGATAAGATGAGGACGGCCCGTGGCATTAACAGGGAACATTAGTACTGGTTACTGGAGGTATCGCTGCTCTACCGGGATACAGAGGCTCCTTAATCGGACCAGTTTTGGTTCGTTTGCAGGTGTGAAAGCGGACCACACTGGAGTGTATCTGTTTCTCGTATGTCAAACATGGATGGAAGACGCTTGTTTTTGGCTCGTACTTTTTGCTAACATGTCACCAAGCCTCTGGAATAGATCACTGCAGTTTTTTCATGCTTGCATATTGACAACTGTGTTTGCCGCTGAGTGCGTGTGGATTTCGGCGACACATATGTGGAGTTTGGTCATCGGGTTGCCAGCAAGTTACGCACTGAGTGTTGAGCAGGTAAACAGACTGTCAATGTCTTTTTATTTCTTATTACCTCCTCCAATAAAGGTCCCATACTTATGAACAGGGGAATTCTGTCAGCGCCTCCTCTGCTGCTCTGATACTGTGGTTGTGGGAGCGTAAAGTGAAGTGCGCACACGTGTACCACCATGTGTGGTTTGTTTTGGTTCTTCGGTGACGCCATATGTGCACGTGTACTCTATTAACAGATCCACTTAGACTCGTTGCTTCACAACTGCTGTAAATTGAGTTTTGGGATGTAAACTGCGTTAATAATCTGTTGTGAATCTGTATGGGCACCGATTGCAGCTTCATCTGTCAGTGCGGCCCGCGGTAGGGGGGTGGGATTGTGCATACATCTACCGCACTGACATTATTCTTTGGAATTAAGTGGAGGGAGAGAGTCTGAGACCCCTGGTCTAGTGTATTCTGATTCCTGACCTAGTTGCTGGAGAGAAATGAAGCTGAGCAGAGGCACCTGGCTTGTCACCATCTGCATGTACGTTGAAATTTTAAGACATGTTTTATATAATTTCTAATCTTTTTGCAATTATTTTAGTGACTGTTCTGTTCCAATATTGCTGGTTCAGTTGAATGTTGAAAAGAAAAAGAAATGGGCTACATTTAATGTTCAAATAGAAGACTTCTGGATCCTTTTATTGCTGCTTCAATTACTGTTTTTCATTGTTTAAAACTTGAGTAATACTAATTGTTCAGAGAGATATAATCACTCAGTCAATAATAAAATATCCTCAAAAATGGTCAATAATGGTCAAATCCACCTTTATTTTGTGATTTATGAATAATGTCTATTGACTTGTGTTGCAAAGAACTACAGTATGGTTTTTATAGCTCCAAATATGGTAATTATGGCTGCAGGAATCACAGGGTCTCTCACGATTTTATAAGATTTTTTTGCATTATTTTCTTTTCTGTTATAATGTTGTTTCCACATTGAAAACATACCTGGAGTTGTATTTTGTTTCATTCACACATGTTTAACACACATCCTCCATGTAGTCCAGATGGAAAACACTCTATGCCACTTTGTGATGTCATGTGGTAATACAGGAAGTGCTCAACTGCATTTGGCACAGACTTTTATTGTACCCAAGGGGAAAATGTATTTTCACGGCCACAGAGCTCGTTTGACATATACAGCCAGCAACAAGACAGCACAACAAAGACACATTACAACAGACATTACAGTACACTCAGTGGGGCCTGTTGTTCAAAAATGTGATGGCCGAGGGGATCAAACTTCTGCCAAAGCGGGCCCTCCTGCACCTGAGCACCCTGTAGCTCTGTCCTGAGGGCAGAGGGGTGAAGTGTTCCTGTAATGGATGACTGGTAATAAAGGGTTCAAACATGTGTGAATGAAACAAAACACAACTCCAGTTATGTTTTTGAGGAGGTAACAACATTATAACATGACTTAAAGCTCACCAGAGTCAATTTTGCGTAATATAGGACCTTTAAACTGTGTGTTGCAACATAGGAAGTTACTCATTATGGCACAATAAAGGTTGTCTTATCTTAAATGTATCTTTTTTTTTTTTTTTTTTTTTTAATAATGATTCATAATAATAATAAAAAACAAACTTAAAAATCTCCCATGTGCATGTAAATTTGTCCCCTTTAAGTTAGAGTGACCAGATTTTCAAAATCAGAAACTTGGATACCCCTGGTTTTGGTAATAATAAAATTGTGAAACGGGTGCGTAATCAAGGAAAATTTTTATGCACTCGGTTCATTCATGATTCAAATGTGAGTCAGTATATAGTGAGTCAGTCATATTTTCTTTGTGTTTTGGCCTTTTCAAAGCAGCTTTTCTGTATTTTACCTAAAAAAAAATACAATTTATGCCACTTTACTGTTGGCATGGATCAAATTGGTCAAAAATAGGGACACCTGGGGCATTTCTTGTATAAAACTGAGACAAATCATTGGTTTTGGATACATGTGATGGGACATGGGGCTCAAAACTGGGACTGTCCTGGGTAAATAGGGACGTCTGGTCACCCTGCTTTAAGTAATCATGGATAGCTCTCTGGGGATGACTCCACATTATAATCGACAGTGATTGTGCAGATTGTACTAAGTTTCACTCTTGTTTTGACTCAGCTTCTCTCGTTGCACTTCCCTAAGCGTCCAGCAGATGGCGCCAACGCCCCGCATCAGAGCGCGTCCTGTGAATCATCATGGCGTCTCCGGGGGGCGGGCTTTCTGGTCAAAACATTGCTTAAGCCCGCCTTCTCCGCGCTCCGATTGGCTGCTGTCCTTGAAGCCGCTTTCTGATTGGCCGTTTCCCGCGCCACTCCCACCACCGTGACGGACGCCACACGGTGAGGTGGGCTCAACCTAAACCTGCGTATCGAAACGGAAAGCGCTTGAAACGAAACGAAACACGAACCAAATATCTTCTCAGGCCAAATTTGAGTTATTTTAATCATCGTACACGTGGTCAGATTTTCTCAAATAGAGGGAGGTGATATGTGACATGTTTTGGGGAGAGGCCTCTGTGCTGCTGCTGACAAGCCGAGACAACAACACCTCAATCAGGTAGCTCTGCATTCCTCCTCGGTCTCCCATGTCCTTTCCAAACATCTACATTTACTTGGATTTATTTTATTTTCCAATGGACAGCCTGGTCTTCCTGTAAATTATATAAACAAATGTGTAATGCTCTCTTCCGTATTTTTAGCTGGAGATGTTGTAAACAGAAGGAGTGGATCAAGGGAAGGAGCTCACTGCAATGGAGGTACACTCTACTACTACTATTTCCTGAGACAATAATGTGCCTTTTAGGTGTTATGATACTGTAATTACATCATAACAGTTGTAAGCATTAACCTGTAATCCTAAATGATTCATAGTCACATGTGAAAACCGCACAGGCTTCTGGTGCTTTGTAGAAATAGACAGTAGTCTGACCTTTAAACTACTAGAATTGCTTTGTCTGTACTATCACCACTTCTAAACTGATTCTGAACTAACTTAACATTGTTATAGCAAATGTTATGTTTAATTTGAACATACTGTATTTAAGAATCCAATTCTACATACAGTTCTATTTAAATCAGTGTTAAATATTTCAGGCAAAAGCTTACGATGCTTTCACACTTCCACCATCACCTCATCTAGGACAGGATGTTCTTACTTTTTAACCACTGTGCTGATTTTGCATTGTTCACAGAGAAGTAAAACTGTATATTTAGTGTCACAAGTATCAGTACTAAATCAACACTAAAACTTCAAAGCTAGTTACTCATTTCAGGAAGTATTGATAGTAAAGAAGTCACAGAACAGAAATAAATCAATAATTTAATTATCTTTAGTGGTATCAGAACAAGTATAAAACTGCATAGACTACTATACCTATACATGACAATATGGTAATTACTACAATTTAATGTTGAAAACCAGATTCTGTTGTCGAAAGAAGGAACATTTTTAATTATCATTGTAGTATCTGGTCTATGTCTTAGTATTGAAATCAGGTTTGAAATGTTAGTATCAAGACACTAGCACCCTTTATACATTTTTTAACCCCCCCCCCTCCCTGTCCTTCTCCCTGTCCCAGTGTGTAGCAGAGCTGTGGGTCTGATGAGGCTGGAGCTGTGGTCACTATGGCTCACTTTGACACAGAGTACCAGCGCCTGGAGGCGTCCTACAGCGACTCTCCTCCTGGAGAGGAGAACCTGCTCATGCATGTGCCCGAAGGGGTCAAGTGTAAGTCGACTCATGTTATATACTGAACTCTGTCGAAGCTTATGTGGTAATTTTTTTTGAGCTGAAGCTAATTGTGTAGTTAGTAAGGATGCACCGATCCAATACTGGTATCAGATATTGGTGCCGAAATTGAAAAATTTGCTGGATTGAATATCAGCCTTCACATATTGTTTCAGCCGATATTCTGACTGGACATATAAATTGATGTAATAAGACTATCCACTGGTCTTAAAAGGCCCAGAAAGTCTCATAATGTTTGAACTTTTATTTCAAAGCTGTTCTGTGGTTGGTGGGGAGATAAATAACAGCTACATAACACATTTGGATCAGTTTTGTCTTTGTGTTGGTTTTTTTTGTACACTAGCATCGGATGATATGGAGTACCGGCAGATTCTTAAAGCCAGAGTATAGAAATCGGTATTGGAACTGAAAAAGCTGCATCGGTGCCTCCATAGTAGTAAGAATAAATGACGCATTATAGATACCAGAATTAACCCCTAATGTGTTGTGTTGATTGTGCCCTTTTATTTATTGCTGGTCACATTTATTACAATTCATTATTATCGTTTGTTGTATTACTTTTCTGGAGCAATATATCGTGCTTCAAAATCTGTTATCGTGACAGGCCTAAGTGAGTGTCACTATTACACAGCTTGGGTTTTAGTTGTTGTTTGTAGATGACTCTTCTTTTGTTTTGTATTCACAGCTCAATGGCACCACATCGAAAACCTGGACCTGTTTTTCCAGAGAATATCCTTCATAACTTTTGTGAAACACTGCTCCATATAAGAAAACACATAATATTTCTGCCATATCTATAAACTGATGTCTTCTTGTTTATATAATTGCACCAGTTGTTATGTTAATGTCTCTATATTGGATTAGCCGTTTAAATATTGTTGTTCTCCTTGACATTGTGCACGTCTATAAGCTACATCAGAAGAATGGTTTCACTTGCATGCTGCTGGGGGAGATCTTTGAGCTGGTGTAAGTTCCAAACATACATAATTTCTGATGTTAGAGCTGTAGGTCTTAAGTCATTTAGTTGATTAATCGGTCAATAGTGTCTTCGTCAACCAAAATTTGTATTAGTCGACTAATTATTTCTTTTAAATTGTAGGGATTTATATAGGACAACAGCAGGTGTAGTCCTGTAAATAGAGTTGGGAATCAAAGAGTCCCTCACGCTTCGTTACGATACACAATACATGGCTCACGATACAATAATATCACAATATGGCAATATATATATTCTAATATTTATTGCGCATGATATGACTAAACAAGTTTCCTTCCACTGAATAAGCAACAAAACTGCAGTGTGGTCACAAAAAGAGCCAAAAGATACCAAAAAATACTTTATATATTGATGCAGCAGCCCATGATAATCACACAAAATCACCACCAAATTTAGTATCATGATATATATCGATATTTCAATATTTTTGCACACACCTATTACTACTACAGTTTGCGTCAGATACATAGGGATACGTAATAGATTTGGGAGCTTTTGTCATTCCCCTTTTTGTCGACTAATCGATTGGCAGAAGATGTTTTTAGAAGACAGAGAATTTCTTTACCTATTTGATATCCACTGCTTCTTACATTTTCTTCTAATGTTTTTCTTTCAGTCAGTTGTTCTTTGTGGTCGGCTTCACCGTGTTTCTTGCCAACTGTGTGGACTATGACATTCTGTTTGCCAACAAGTTTGTAAATCACACGGACTCATCTAAAGTGACGCTGCCTGACGCTTTTATTCCAGTGGATGTCTGCACCGCTCGGTAAGCACATTTTGTAGTCTGCAAACTCTGTAAAAACTGTATTCATTTTAAATCTGTGTTAGTATTATCACGATACAAAAAGTTTTAACACAATTTTGATACTATGGAATAAACATACCACAAATATAAAAATAGCACTGCTTATTTAGACCGTAGAATGTCATTTTCAACATTAAGTTAGTGCTTACTTTTATATTACTATGTGGTCTTATATCTGTGTAATTCCTCAACGGTCCAGGTAGGTTTCATAGTTCCAAAGTCTGACACAGGGGTCTCCAACCTTTTTGTTCCAGCGAGCTACATTTACAAAAAGAAAATTCCAAACAGCTACTAATTTTAGAGGTCATAAGAAACTGTGCATAGGAAAGCAGTAGATTCTACTAAATCTTTGTCTCATTGTGACTATGTTTTTCCTTTGCAGAATAAGGGACAATGCTTTTGTAATATTTGTTCTCATAATCTGTGGAGTGTTTTGGTTGCATCGCCTGGTGAAGTTTATCTACAATGTGTGCTGCTACTGGGAGATCCGGTCTTTTTATAGAAACGCCCTTAAAATGAGCATGGTAAGACCTGTAATTAAATAAATTACTGATTATTTATTATGTACTTGATACTGATTCTGTTGTTATTGTTGCAGTCGGAACTTCCCTATGCAACATGGCAGGAGGTCCAAGCCAGAATAGTGGAAATACAAAAGGAACATCAGATTTGCATCCATAAGAAAGAATTATCAGAGCTGGATGTTTATCACCGCATTCTACGATTTAAAAATTATATGGTTCGTACCGCCACACAATGTAGTTATGAAGTAATTAATTAATAGAAGTCGTTTCAGTCTTCTTTTGTCGGTTTTCAGGTTGCCATGGTGAACAAGTCGCTTCTACCAGTGAAATTTCAGCTCCCTGTCCTCGGGGAGTATGTGTTTTACACCAGAGGACTCAAGTATAACTTTGAGCTCATCTTCTTTTGGGGGCCAGGTTTGTGTCAGAAAATGCACAGCTAAACTAAAAATGTACTGTATGTTTTTAAAGTTGCATTATGTAACTTTTCTGGTGAGAGATCTAACACTAGCTTCAGTCACCATGGAGATCTTGTTGCTTTATGTAGAATATTACACAGTATGACATTCAGCTGGCACCATCAGGTCATGTTACAGGTCAGAGCTGTGGACTGACAACCCTTTAAACCAGGGGTCTTCAGCGTTTTTAAGGCCAGGGACCCCTACTATATATGGCATACAATTGTGTTTTATATTAATTTGTGCCTAGTGTCGTGTATAAACAGCTTCTCTGTTATTTTACATTCAATACTGGGGGGCATTCCATCAAATTCGCTTAACAAGTCCAGGCTTATCCTGAAATCCTGAGCTGAAACTAGCTCCATCTCCAGTTTAAGCCTCAAGTCATTCCATGAGAGTAATAAACCTGAGCCTGACCAAAGCTAATTCAGGCCTGGAGTTTAACCTGTGCTTTGTGTGCGGTCGCGGTGACTCTGAGAAGGCCAGAGCAATGGAGCAATGACATCATGGAAAATGGGCTCAAATTGTGATTTTTTTATGATCTGACTAAACGAGAGAGGAGCCACAGCATGCATGGACAAGAATTTGATATGGGCCACGGAACTTTTCTGGTCACTCTGATCTGAGGAGCGAGAGGAAAGACAAGACTCTCCGTCCTCTCCTGGTCGCTCCGCAGATAGAGATGCTGGCTGTGTAATGTGGAGCCTGGTTAATACACCTGGGGAATGAAGTTGCCTGACTTTTTCCTGATGCGTGGTAGTATGTGTGGAGCTTAAGTTCCGTTGTGCATAAAAATAAAGCTGTAATGGACCTTTTCACATGTTCCATAACAAGAAATGATAAAATCCGGGCAAAGGGGTTTAAAGTTTGACAAGGAGAGAGAGACGAGGGAATGAAGAGAGAGAGGCAGACGTGATGAAGGAGCGAACACCCAGAATAAAAAATAAATAAATTAAAAAGTCATGACCCCCCTGTTGAAGATCTCTGCTTTAAACTGCAAGAATTAAGGTATTTTAGATTGGTTAAACACTTACCAATTAAAAAAGAATGCTATACCATGGAATATTCCAGGCAAAGCCATAACCTACCTGAAAAGTTACAAAATGCACCTTTAATCATTTTATACATTTCAATTTTGGATTTATATACTCCTCCTATACTCCTTTATATAAATTGTGCATCTACTCTATGTTGTGTAGGTTCTCTATTTGAAAATGAGTGGAGCTTGAAGCCTGAGTATAAGAGAGGAGGAAACAGGCATGACCTAGCGGAAAAGCTGGCATCTCGTATTCTGTGGATCGGCATCGCCAATTTATTACTCTGCCCTGTCATCCTGGTTTGGCAGATTCTTTATGCCTTCTTTAGCTACACAGAGGTGAGCACTAATGAATACTAAACGCTCGATAAAGGACACATATTATGCAAAATGGACTTGAGTTTTAACCACATTATATTGTTCCCTCATCAAAAACATACCTAGAGTTGCATTTTGTTTCAGTCAGGCTTGTTTCATTAGTCCATCAATCCAGAGTTGATTTCTCTGAGCCTTAAAATGCTCAGTTCTTCAGTTGTTAAGCCACAGGTAAAACTCTGGACTTCCCCTGTGCAATTTTTAAGTCTATAAACCATCACAGACTTGTTCTGTGGTCAGCTTGTGTTCACAACAAACAAGGGGAAACTGATGTGTAGACTATAAAGTGTATTTTGTGTATTATGTAGACATTGTTTGAAGTTAGAAAATGTGAAATACTTATCCCAAGGTGACCACAAAAATGCCTGAAATGGAATTAAAGCCACAAGAATCCACAACATGTGTTTTTAAGGGTTGTATTTTTGTGTTGAGGTGATCAAACGAGAGCCGGGGTCTCTGGGGGCCCGCTGCTGGTCTCTGTATGGGGAATGTTATCTGCGACACTTCAATGAGCTGGACCACGAGCTCATGTCACGCCTCAGCAAAGGATACAAGGTCAGTACTAAATATTTCCAGTTTCTCTGCTACATACCATATTTTTGTCAATTATCCAAACACATAAACCCAAATAATTTCCTACGTCAAATTAAGCTGAATTTACCTTAGCATTTAGACGTTTTCTGCATTGTTTGGTCATTTTAACTACGACACTGTGTTTTTAATCTCTATTTAAGTTAACTTTATAGAGTCAGTGTGTTCATAATATTAAAAATCTTCTGAAAAAATGCCTTCTTTATGTTTTTTTTCTGTAATAAAGGCATCATACAAATCAATGCTTTATACTAGTAGACCCCAGCCTTTTTTGCACCACGGACAGGTTAAATGTTTGATAGTATTTGCGGCGGCGCTCTTCGGGACGATATTTTCACGGACCGGCGGTGTAGAGGAGGAAGTGGTTAAATCCTGTTTTAGTCCTGGTTTAGTGCTGGTTTAGACCTGCTTTAGACCTGGTTTAGTCCTGGTTTTATTTCTCGTTTAGTTCTGGTTTATTCCTGGTTTTATTCTGGTTCAGACCTGTTTTAGTCATGGTTTTAGTTCTGGTTTTGTCGTGGTTTAGTCCTGATTTAGACCTGGTTTAGTCCTGGTTTAAACCTGGTTTAGTCCTAGTTTAGACCTGGTTTATTACCTGGGTTATTTCAGAATAATACTTTATACGAATTAAATACTTAAATTGATCCTTCTTATCTAATATGTGTATAAGCATTGTGTAATTTTTCTGGAGCAGGGTCAAGTTCTTTTCTCCTTGGAGATGTTATTGCTTTGTCTCGAATGTTACACCGTATGGTATTAAACCTCTCTGTCATCATAGAGACTGAACCAGACCACGTTACAGGTTTTTCTAGGTGTTTTTGAGCTGTAAAATTACCTGTGATGTAATAAATGTAAAGTAGAGCAGTTTAATGTCATACTGTGGAACGTTCCATGCAGAGCAATGACATCTCCATAGAAATATTCTCAGATTCTTTTTTCTTTTTATCTATCAGGCTGCTTCCAAGTACATGAACTGTTTCCTGTCACCATTACTGACCGTCTTGGCCAAAAATGTGGCATTTTTTGCCGGCTCTCTCCTGGCTGTGCTCATCGCCCTGACTATCTATGACGAAGACGTTCTAGCGGTGGAACATGTCCTCTCCTCCATCACCCTGCTCGGGGTGTGCATCACCATCTGCAGGTAACCACAATCTGGAACCCTAACAGAGTCAACAATAGCAACATTTTGGGGTGATAATAATTTTCTTTCTTTTTTTTTTGTCCAGGTCGTTCATTCCAGATAAGCACATGGTGTTTTGTCCGGAGCAGCTGCTAAAGGTGATACTGGCTCATATTCACTACATGCCCGATCACTGGCAGGGCAATGCTCACCGCTCGGAAACCCGGGACCAGTTCTCACAGCTCTTCCAGTACAAAGCAGTAAGGATCGGTCAAGATTATATAAGCGTATTATTATTTATTGAATCTCCGTGTGGTAAATGTCTCTGAGTGATAGTTCTTTGACTTGAAACGTATCTACTTTATCTGGTTAAGTTAATTACAGTAAGAACATTGAATCACGCTACCTAAGCCCTGAAGGTCAGCAGTTCCCTCCCTCCTTAAAGAGCTATTAAACACACTCCCGAAGTTTTACTCCACCCCTTAGCAAAATCTGGAGCGATGATTGACAGTCGACTGACAGCCACAACAATCCAACATGGCGCGAACTGGTGCGCTCCGGACTTTGAAACTGAGCGGACATTTGTGCTCGGATGACGTCGTTTCACGCTTTTCTCCAGACACGGTGGGACATCGCGGTGCCCAGCGGTGCCAGTTAGGGGGCGGGGCTGGGAGGGGCTCCTCACGCACTGCCTGTAGACGCCAGTGTCTGCGCTTGTCACGTAATAACCTGCATCTGACTCATTGGCGGCCATTTGTCCAACCAAAAAATTCAAATGTCCTGGCTGTAGTTGATCCTAAAGAGGCTGTTACAGACACAAAAACTCAGATTTTTACAAATAAGGCCAGAGATAAGTATACACATTTCTATTTTAGACACATTTACACAGCTAATTAGTAGAAAAAAGTGATTTTGGTGTTTAATGGCCCTTTAATCTGCATTTGCTACAGTGTCTGGGTGAATGGATCTTGAATGGATATGAATTTCTTTTCAGTGTCCAATGGCGGTACACAAGCCCTATACAAATATGACAATTGAAATTTCTTTTGTAATGTAAATAATGTTTCTTCTGCAGAGGTTTGTCTTGTCTAAAAACAACAAATCAGGTTTTCATGATCTGTTATAATTGACCTTTAAAGGGCCTATTTTATGCTATAATTGTGAGCTTCGAGCCGTGTTATCATGTTGTTACCTCATCAGAAACATTCCTGGAGTTGTGTTTCGTTTCATGCACACGTAATCATTTATTATTAGTCTGTCTACACCTCGAAAGTGCTCTTCCACCTTGTCATGTCATGTAGCGGTAGCTTTAAACTGGTAAAAACAACTATCTTTTACCTTAAGCTCAGCAGTGATTGGCAAAATTACAGGACTGAAATGACCCAAATGATTCTAATGAAGGTGCTTGGATCTTAAAAACACAATGGAGCACTTCCTGTATCACCACATGACATCGCAAGGTTGAATAGAGTGTTTAAGAGAAGAATTCAGCCTAAATATGCAGGATTTGTGTTTTAAACATGTGTGAATGAAACAAAACACAAGTCCAGGTCTGTTTTTGATGAAGAAACATTACAGCAGAGATTAGAATAGTGTAATATGGGCCTTTTAAATAGCAAACTCAAGCACAATATCTCTTCTTTGATAAAACATTCTTGCTTGATAACCAACTTTATAAATTTGGCAGTTTGATTAATTAAAATTTTTGTCTCTTCTGTGCAGGTCCTGATCCTCGAGGAGCTGCTGAGCCCTGTGGTGACCCCCATCATCCTGATCTTCTGCCTGAGGAGGAAGTCCCTGGAGATCATCGACTTCTTCAGGAACTTCACCGTGGAGGTGGTGGGAGTGGGGGACACCTGCTCGTTCGCTCAGATGGACATCAGACAGCATGGACACCCAGCAGTAAGAGGCTAATGCCATAATGGGAATACATTTAATTGCTTTTTTATGAAGTTCGATTTATTGACTGAACAAAGGAAGAGAGCTGGTGTACTCTCTGTGTGCAAGAGCCCGTCCTAATGGATGACTGACGTAATATTCCCAATGTATACTTTCTACAGCTCATATGTATTACTTCTTAAACTTTTTTCTAATAATCCTGCCTAGTTCTTCCTACTTTTTACAATTTTGGTGACGTTTATAATTTTACTTTCTGACATACATAGTAGAAGATCCATCTGTAACCTAACAATCATACAGTAAACAAAAGTCAAAACTTATCTAATTTAAACAATAGTTATTTCACTCTTTTATTGTCTTAAATTAATGTTTAAATTGCCGAAGAATATGTGTTCCTTGTGCGTAAATTATCCCTGCATTCTGGTGTAATCCAATCCACTTTATTTATATAGCACATTTCATAAACAAAATTGTTTCCAAAGTGCTGCTATAAATAAAACATATCCAGTAGAAGTTTTAACTCAATCTTTACTTAACTCTGCTAGTCCTTGTTAAGACAATAACACAAGTAAAATCAAATAAGAGGGAGAATACAATATAAATAACAAAAAGGTAAAAAACATAAAAATAAAATAAAAGACACAGAGGACCACACGACTCACGCGGTGTTAAAAGCCGAAGAATAAAAATGGGTCTTAAGACAGACTTTGTAAAACTATGATAAAGATTTAATACAAGTACCATCCCATCAAACGAAGTAATAATTTGAAAGACATGAACTGCCATCTGCACTTTACAGGGTTCCCATGGTCAGGGAAATCCTGGAAAAGTTATAGAAAATGAAATGTCATTTTCCAGGCCTGATCTCTTTCATGCAACTACAGCGTTCTGTTAATTTATCATTAGGCTATTATGATTATTTCTAAACGTGTGCACCTTTTGTTTAAAAGAGATGACAATAAATGCACTGACAGTATTTTGAATGTTAAAAAACTATAATCCCAAACCATAAGGTGAGTGGAAAGAGTTAACATTTCATATTTAGCCCTAAAAGTCTGATCAATTCTAAACATACTAAACATGTAGGTGCTGTAAATGCTCATGGAAAATTCACTTTAAGTCATGAAAAAGTCATAGAAACGTTTTGAAATTTTGTTAGTGAAAAAGAATGGGAACCTTTACTTTAATATCTTCTGGAATTATTTTTCCTGATATCAATTTTATGAACATATAATATCTAATAAGAGACTAACATACTTGTCTATTCCAACAAAATGGCCATAGAAAAGACCAGTACACAGCATGAGTTAACAGGCTCTCTCCTCTTTCTCAGTGGATGTCTGAGGGGAAAACTGAAGCCTCCATCTACCAGCAGGCGGAGGATGGGAAGACGGAGCTCTCTCTCATGCACTTTGCCATCACCAATCCTCAGTGGCAACCTCCACAGGAAACCACTCACTTCCTCAGCCAGCTCAAAGAACGTGTGCACCGAGAAGTGACGGGACACGCCGGGGACACACACCAGTACTCACTGTCCGAGTCTGAGGTACCAACTCTTTGTTTCAGTAATCTTAATAAAACATGTACAAAGAAGTATTTATACTGAACACATAGTTTATTATGAATGATTCAGCCTTGTTAACTACTTAATTTAGAGTTAGGATTTAGGGTTATAGAGTTTTAATCATGGACTGTATTTAAAAGTGGACTGAGGGAGTGTGGTGGCATCATGTTCGGTTGTGACCAAATTAGAAAGTTATTAAAGTATAAAGTGCTTCAGGTTCTTTTCTTTTTTCTTTTAATTTTTTTTAGTTGACAGATTCTGATTCAGATTTTTTCCTTGCAATTAAATGAAATTAAACCTGTAATATATATTTTGATATTAAACAATGAAGACCAACTAGCAGGATGCATTTAGAATAGTCAAAACTACAAATTCTGAATTCAATCCATTTTAACTTGTACACAGAATTTGCTGTGCTATTTCTATCTCCTTTTGTCTCTTTTTCCCAGCCGAGGAGCCTGATTGCTAACCTGCTGACCGGACCGTCCACTCTGGGCTCGGTTCACTTTGCCCGGGATGCCTCTTTAGCCAACCACGCTGCAGCCGCCATCAACGACTCTGCCTCGGCCCTGCGGTCCCTCTCCCCTGTCAGCGGCAGTCTGAGCGCAGTCCAGAGAGGCCACGCTTCCACCGTCAGCAAGGCAATGGCTGGCTCTGGGTAGGAAAAAATATCACTGGATTTTTTATGTTAAATGCACTATACCTGATTTTTACTGTCTTAAAAAATAAAAACTTGTTTATTTGAAATACTTACCTTATGCATTTTAAGTATCCTCCTTATTCACAACAATAAGCCCTTTTCGTCAGAGTAGAGTTTTGCCATCTCGGCAGGGGTGTAGTGGGCATGGTACGCGGGGGTACGTCGTCCACCCACTTCTCCCAACGTGAGATATAAAAAAATAACAAATATAAAACAGCTACAACTTAAATGTCAAACCAGAGCGATTGGCAGTGGTGAAAACAAACATGATATCTGCAGGACTGTCCTATAGTGATCTGAGACATGAGGGACCAGGACTGATCCCAGGACTGAACCAGGACTGAACCAGGATTAAACCGGGTCTAAACCAGGTCTAAACCAGGACTGAGTGTTGGGTGACCGCAGGAGAAAGGACCAGCTCAGAGCTCCACACCCCACGGGGCTAAGTGCAGCCGTCGCCAGATCGCGCTTTGCGGACACCTTGCTCGACAGGCTTGGGTGTGTCTCTCTCACTCTCAAGTTCAAGATTAGTCCTGATTTAGTCCTGGTTCAGTCCAGGGTTAGACCTGGTTTAGACTTAGTTTAGCCCTGGTTTAGCCCTGGTTTAGACCTGGTTCAGTCCTGGTTTCATCCTGGCTTAGACCAGGTTCAGTCCTGGTTTAGTCCCGGTTTAGACCTGGTTTAGTCCTAGTTCAGTCATAGTTCAGTTCTGGTTCAGTTCTCGTTTAGTCCCAGTTTAGTCCTGGTTCAGTCCTGGTTCAGTCTTGGTTCAGTTCTGGTTTAGTCCTGTTTTAGTCCTGGTTCAGTCCTGGTTCTGTCCTGTTTCTGTCCTGGTTCTGTTCTCTTTCATGTGTTGTAGCCATGTGTTGATTTATGTTCTGTAGTTGATTATGAACAGTGTTAATGTTAATAACATAATTCTCCATCATTCTGAGCAAAAAAAAATCCCCACTTAAAAAATCCTCACCACTCCAATGCATCTTGGTAAAACTAACAAGTGTTTGAACTGTTGGAGAGAAGAACTCAGCCTAGACATCCAGAGATTGTGTGTTAAACGTGTGTGAATAAAACAAAACACAAATTCAAGTATGTTGTTTGAAACAACATTATAACAGATCAGAAAACAGAGCAATATGATCCCTTTTGCATTATATCTGGAACAAGACAAATGTTGTTCAAATACATGACAGATACAGGAAATCAGGTACAGACTTGTATTTTTTTCTATCTGACTGAATATTTGTTTTATGTTTTGTTTTGCAGAACCGATGCCCGCACTGTGAGCTCAGGCAGCAGTGCATGGGAGGGGCAGCTCACCAGTTTGGTCTTATCAGAGTACGCCTCGACAGAGATGAGCCTCCATGCCCTTTACATGCATGAGGTAACTAAATAAAGCTCAATCAAAACATGAAGATTCAGTGAAATAGTATGTGACTCGACCAGTCTGAAGCCATCTGAAGCCATTCTGTGTTTATTCAGCAAAAAATTTATATTAATGGTATTCCCAGTCCAATATCTCTTTGAGCACTAAAGGCGTAATATTGTGATATCAACAAAAATTAAAGCCTCAGTATGTAACTTTTAGCATTAGTGAGACATGCACACTGGTATTTCCATGTTATGCTACATTATTACTACATTATTTACGTATTTGATGCATACACTTTTGAAAGGCAATTGCTAGGGGTGTGCAAAAATATCAAAATATCAATATATCGTATCGTTTAATGTGATAATACAGTATCAATATCTGGGACTGCTGTATCGATATATCACCAAGAGTATTTTTTGGTATATTTTACTACATTATTTTGTTACAGAGCTACAGTTTTGTTGCTTGTGTTAGAGGAAGGGGAAGGAAACTTATTTTTTGCAACACATTTGATACTTTCACTGTTTTGATGAGTGAAATGTTTGTGTTTCATATTCACTTTGCGCAAGAAGTGGTTTAACAAAGACTTTTAGTAGCACAGCAATGATCCAGTCTTTATTTTTTTATTGAACCACATTGAATCGATTTGAAATATATTGTATCGAATCGAAAGCGCATTGTATAGAAATATGTTATGTGTATCATATCATGGCCTATGTATTGGGGTTTGTATTATATCAGCAATTTCATGATACCTCGCTCTAGTTATTTCCTCTTGCTTGATGAACAGGAGTGTAGTGGGCGTGGTACATGGGGGTTCGCTGTCCATCCACTTCTACCGACATGAGATATAAAAAAATAACAAATATAAAATAGCTACAACTTAAATGTCAAACTATTTAAGTTGACAAAAAACCTGCATAGGCTGCGGTTCTTAGGCTGCAAAGGAAAGGTCCTGGTTCAGTCCTGGTTCAGTCCTGGTTTAGTCGTGGTTTAGTCCTCCTGGTTCATTCAGGAATCGCATACTACCCCCACTTAAAAAATCTTCACTACACCACTGTTGATGAATAAGGAACAAAAACAAAGCTAGAAATCAGCTCTGAAGTTTCTGGTTGGACCCGGAAGTGACATCATGACTTAACAACTCGATATCAGTTTTTCTTTTCCATCTTCTCGTAGTTCCACAAGCAGCAGTCGCGTGGAGAACTGCCGCGTCACACTTGGCACAGACAGGACAGTGACGAGAGCAGCGACAGCATCCCAGACGAGGTGAGGAGCGAGCCCCCGCGTCGCTCCAGGAACCTGCCCCGCTCGCACACCTTCCCCGCCGCAGCCCCCAGCCCCAGCGAAATCCCCAAGTCTGCCTCCGATACCAGCACTAACACCAGAGGCCAGGAGGGGGCGCCGCCTTCTGCTGACAGACAACCAGGTATATGGGAAAAGCATAGACTGTATATATAAATGAACATAGCTAACCAATCACTTTGTATTGAGAAAATGTCGCACCTTTCTCCTGTTCCTAATATCTAATTGTCTCCAAATTCACTCCTATAACCGCTACCCTTGATGAGTTTCATTTGACTGGAGCCGTATGCTGTGAGTGACATAAAAAGAAGAAGTAAAAGTCTTCTGAAATTTATGTGAATTATGTTTAGTAAAATCTTCATTGTCATTTAGAAAGTACTCTACTAATATTTTCAAAAATTAATTATTAAAAACATAAATTAAAGAAAGAAACAAGTAAAAACAACTTAGAAACAACATCTAAATTCTACTTTTCAATCCAAGAATGTGCATGTCCCTTAAAACAATGCAATATTATTTATCATAGTTTTAAAAAATATGGTTGACTAAAACTGAATTTAGTCATGAACTGGAATGAAAGAAAACAAATAAAACCTGCCTCTTCCTTTAATTTGGTATTGGATTTATACACAGCTAAGAAAATACTGATGTTTTTGTAAAAAAATAAATGTGTTTCGCATAGATTTTGTTAAGCCTATGGTGGAAAAATAAATTTTATTTGAATAATTTAATCTCATTCAATGCAGTATAATTGTAATTTAATCTACATTTACTACCACTCATTTTTGACCAGTGTAGTCTTTTTTATATAAGTTTATGATAATGCAATAAGCAACAAAGTCTAGTGATATTCCAGTGTATAGTCCAGGTTGTTTTAAAATTATAGAGGACAATTTTAGACTATAGTGGCCACCATAGTCTCCTGTATTGATGGGAAACACTGTATGATGTTATGAAACTGACAGTTAAGTAAGTAAGTAAGTGAGTAAGTAATTATTATTTATTTATATAGTGCCTTTCACAGATAGAAAAATCACAAAGTGCCTTACGGAGTGCAATAAACAACATATACAAGAACAGAGGAATTACACTGTTACACATTTTGCTTAGATGATTATTTTGTTCAGATTCTTTAGGTGCTGGGACAAAGTTTGTGAGGACTGCTCGTGTGCCCATGGGAGGATGGGCAGACGACAATCAGGCTTCGCCCAGATTCCCTGAGCCCCTTCCAGAGGAGAGCTCCGACGATGACATGCCCCCTCACATACACAAGGTTTGTCCAACCAGAGATTTACCCGTTTTTACTTTTACTCTCTTTAACGAATATTTAATCTAATTTTCGTCTTTCAATTTTAGGTGACGTAACCACGGTTCTTGGCATCAGTGCTGACTGTTTACACTTTAAATCTGTCTTCAGCTTCCATCTGCCGCTTCAGATGAGCAAGATGAATTCTTTTGAACTCACAAATGTATAGTTATGTAAATCTAGACTTTACTGTATCACATATTGTTTATTGGTATCAACCACTGTAGATTACATCTTCTTACTGATCCTCATCGCAGTCATTTCTCTTGCCTGATCCAATTTAACGTGGACTATTAATTAATGAGATAATAATCATATTTGTATTCTATGAAAATTATAATGCCTTTTATGGTAAATGTTTTTTTGGTTTTTTTTTTGTTTTCTGTCACTGTCATATTTTAACAATTCCTGGTTAGATTATAAAGCTCTTGAGCATTAATTAATTGCCAAACAGAAGCCCAAAGCACAATAGCATGTTTTCCTTTATGCATAATGAGACAGAAGAACTATTAACTTAAGCATAGCATTGTTTTTTCTGGGTTGAATATTTTTCATACGCACATATTTTTGCACTTTACAGATGGTGTCATACGGTTAGTGTATTTGTTTGTACTTTTATGTTTTATTTATCAAAACAGGGAAGTGCCATGGAAAAAATAAAGATTGATGTACGATGTTTTATTTTGTTCATTTTAATTGTTACTAATAATTAAATTAATTAATAGTTTAATTTGCGTGTTGTAGTGTTTATCAATCAATTTGGTTTGCATTAATGCAAAAATGTCCCAGGTGTACCTATTTTTGACCAATCTGATCCCTGCCAACAGTAAAGAGAAGCCTAAATTATCACTTGTTTGGGTAAAATACAGAAAAGCTGCTTAAAAATAATCACAACACAAAGAAAATGTGACTGCACTGACTCATATTAGTGCAGAGTGCATTACAATTTTCCATAATTACGCACTCCTTTCACAATTTTATTACCAACCAACCCAAACAAGGGATGTCACAATTATTTTTTTTTTTTTTGTTTTATTTTGAAAATCTTATCACCCTAAAATACAAATAAGAGATGTTAAAGAATACACATTATTATATATTTAAAAAAAACAACATTACTTTAAAATGTATTTATTAAAATATCACTGAAACATGTAGTTTTCATTTCCATAGAAACTCATAACAGATACCTAAACAGCGTACAAACAAGCGGCTCTTTTTTTGGCCTCTCATTGGATAATCTCGTTGTCACTCAAGCGTCTCCGTTCTGACCCACTAACCCGATTGGCTCCTGGCGCTGCACCTCGCTTGAACTTTGGCCATGCGTGAATAAATTAAAGTGACGCAAACCCCGACGTCGCCTCCTATTGGCTGAGAGAGCTGAACCCACGCATTCCATTGGCCCGTTTATTCAAGAAGGCTCCTTAAGGGCGGGGCTAAGGAAACTTGGCGGCCATACTCAACACTGCGCTCTGTTGACAGTTGACCAAAGGAAGATCAAACATTTACGGCAAACTTATGTGATAAAGACATGCCTTTGGTGTCTTTTTGACCCGCAGGCGCATTTTTAAACCCGCTGCAGCCGAGCGATGGATGAGAATGAACGGCAACGGAAACTAGAAGCTGGAAGAGCCAAGGTTTGTTGCTTTTCCCACGCTATTGGTTGTTAGCACTTGAGCTAACTCTTTTGTGGACGTCCGCTGCAGTCTACGCCTATGTTTACATTCACGCAGACTCCGTGGGTTTGATTTAACGAGGCCAGATTTGAGACAGCAGTAAGATTTGTAAATATCATAAGATAAACCGCGTTCCAAGGGGCGTAGGTGAGCTATTGGTGCAGAGCTTTGCCAGATCACGTAGCGTTAATAGGATAAATACCTGCGCACACGTTTACCAAGATGCAGTTTCAGACGAGTCTATGGATTAGAGCTGGGGTCTCCAACCTGTAGCTCTCCACCTCCTTCAAAGTTATTTCTGAATTCTAAGTATTGTAGATAATAAGTAAAATTTGATTAACGTCCTTTGTAAAAATGTCGTTTTGATTGGAGTCACCAGACGTCCCTGTTTACCCTGGACAATCCCAGTTTTGAGCTCTGTGTCCCTTGTCCAAGCAGATTTATCCAAAACTAGTGATTTGTCTCAGTTTTATACAAGCAATGTCTCTGGTGTCCCTATTTTTGTCAAATCTGATCCCTGCCAATAGTAAAGAGAGGCATAAATTGTCATTCGTTTCGGTAAAATACAGAAAAGCTGCTTAAAAATGACCAAAACACAAAGAAAATATGACTATATTGAGTCACGTGTTGGTCATGAATGGTCTCTGCATAAAAATGTTACTTAAATACACGCTCCTTTCACAATTTTATTATTACAAACCACCAAAAAACAGAGATATCCCAGTTTTTTTATTTTAATTTTGAAATTCTGGTCACCCTATGCAAATATAATGTCAGATCGAGTAGTGATAAAGCTGTAAATATTGATGTTTGTCTCGTATCGTCTTCCAGTCAATTCTCCACATTGTTGCCCTTGCCACTACTGTATTGGGAAAAACAATAGACCATGTGTATAGAATAGGGTGACCAGATGTTCCTATTTACCCGAGACGGTTCCAGTGTTGATCCATGTGGTCCCTGTCCCAGCAGATTTATCCAAAACTACAGATTTGTCCCAATTTTCTACAAAAAATCTCCAATATGTCCCTACTTTTGACCAATTTCATCCCTACCAACAGTAAGGAGAGGCATAAACTCTCATTTGGTTTGGTAAAATACAGAAAAGCTGCTTAAAAATGACCAAAACACAAACAAAATGTGACTATACTGACTCACATGTTAGTCATGGATAGGCAGAGTGCAGAACAGTTTTTCTTAATAATTACGCACTCTTTCCGTTTTATTACTATCAATCACCACAAACCTGGGGTGTCCCAGTTTATGATTTTGATGCCTAACTTGGTGCACCGATAAATGGATAATGGTTTGTTTTAGAAGCATCTAACTTTTCCCCATCTAAGGCTGTGGCTCTTATATTTACGCAGTTTCTTTGCAACTGCTGAAATTGGTTGCTCTCTGGCATTTTCGTTTTGTAAAGGTAACTCACTGGAGAAAAGAGTTTAGAGACCCCTTGATTAGGGTGACCATATTTTCCAAATCAAAAACTGTGACTCCCCCGGTTTGTGGTGGTTAATAATAATAGCATTTTGAAACAAGTGCGTAATTAAGGAAATTTGTCATGCACTTGGCCCACCGTTTTGGTGATTTTTAAGCAGCTTTTCTGTAGTTTACCTCAGTAAATGACAGTTTATGCCTCTCTTTACTGTTGGCAGGGATCACATTGGTCAAAAATAGGGACACCTGGGACATTTCTTGTATGAAACTGGGGCAAATCAATGGTTTTGTATAAATCTGCTGGGACAGGGGACACAGAACTCCAAACTGGGACTGTCCCGGGTAAATAGGGACATCTGGTCACCCTACTATGGATTTTATTATTTATTAAACTCACAGTGCTATACTTTGACCTAGTTAGATCAATAACCTCAGTATTTTCTTGGGTTAATTTGCATATCTGGGGCACGCAGACATTTCTAGCTAACTGCCCCCCTCCAGGCCAAATCGTAGGTCCCATGACTACAAACAGATTGTTAGTTTTGACATTTAAGCACTGTGTAACTTTGCTGGTGGATGTCTGTGTCTCCTGCTTGTCTCCATGGAGATGTTTCTGTTTTTATCTGGACTTTTTTTAACTGGAAGACAAAGCAGGTGTTGCCACTTGACCAAGTTACATGTCAGATCTGCAGAGGGGCAACCCCAATTTTTAAGCAATAAACACATCTGTAATTTAATTTACAGTAATAAATACACATTAGACTTGGACTTAGACAAACTTTATTGATCCACAAGGTACGTTATTTGGACACAGTAGCTCACACATCACAATATATAATAATAAGTAAAGCAATATCTAAATAAGTAGCAATATAATAGCAAGAGACTGGTGTCAAATACAGCATAATTATATAAATGTATATGTACAAGTAAAAATTTAATTTAAAAAAAAAATCTCAGCTATACATATTTGCTGAGATTTGATTTTAACAAATTTAATTTCATACAATCGAACATTCCAGACAAAGCATTTAAGATCTTGATGGAGACATAACACCAACAAAAATGACATAGTGCAGCTTTAAAGAAAATGATTCTGCTAAAAGAGACCACACTTTTCGGAGTCTGTTGTTCACTGTGATGCATTTTGACTGACATTCTAATATTCCTGGTGCACAGAATTCGTCCAAGTCTTCTCCCCAGTCGGTGAGTATGGAGCGGTGCAGGTGCATTTGGGTTTGGCAGGCGTCTGTGTGTGGTGTTGATTTCACGGGCAATCACGTTAAATCCACTTCTTTCCACTGTAACGATATATTTTTTTGTGATTCTCATACATTATCGCAAAGCTCTTCTGTCCAACATTCCTGCAACTGTGTCGAGGACCATCAGGTGGTGCAATAAGCCTGAGCTCTGGCCTGGCCGCGCTCACTCTGCTCACGTTACATTACAGTTAGTGACGGTTAGTGTTGCCATGGTAATTTCCCACTTAGTATTGTGTTTGGTGCATCAGCGCTTGCAATGTGATATTATAAAGCACGATGGGATGTAACCTGTTGAGTACATTTGTATTAAACACGGAGCACAGTTGCAGTTGTAAGTTGGCCAAGGGGCTCTGTCCAGCTGCTCGGCTCTGCTCAGACGTGAGGCAGCAGCAGCTCCGGGTCAAACGTGGCTCATCTGACGGAACTGACCAATGATGTGAGGATGTGAGTGCCTTGGGGAGGAGATGGAAGGGAAAAGTGAAGGAAATTGTTAAATCGAATAAAAAAACAAGAAATGGAAGCACTGAAATTTGATGTAATGCTAGTTGTCTCTTTTTGAGTTCGAATAAGAAAAAAAATAGTTGGGCTAGTGCAAGATCTCATGCCACAATATCGTGCACACGGAAAAAAATGATCTTGTGAGTTTTTTCCCCTCTGAATTTAACTTGGATTGCACAAAAAAAAATTAAGAGCTGGTGAGTTATATAATTTGAGAAGCTGTAGTTCGACAAAAGCAGAACTACAATGACAGCTAAAGTATTGCATAAAATAAATAAAAATAGTGAAGTCACAACTGAAATAAATGTATTATAAATGATGCCAAAATCTCCTCTTTTCTCGTTCTCGTGTGTCTCATCTCAGGAAAATTGTGTCTCGTCCCACCCCTAAAAACAGACATGTACCAAATAAAGAAATATACCAATAGAGATACCAATATTTTAGGCTAGTAGTTTTTCCTGTATCATTGTTCATATTTAAATTTATCAAGCACTATGTTTAGAGATAAGTAGGCCTGTCAAGATACTATACTATGTCAACGTACAAAAGTATATTTTGACCTCTGTTTTTATCACGTGTACAATTTAGTTTCAATAGTGCGGCAGAGTTTTGCCATTTTATGTATTAACGTTAAATTTGAGCTGTAGAGGGTCGAGTAAATTAATTATATCGATAATTATTAGGTCATTCTGTTGTTTATTTGTTGTAGCTCAGGCATTTTTATTGACACTATATTTAAAAATCTGTTTACCTGGATTTTCCTGCTTTATGTTGGCAAGGCAAGTTTATTTGTATAGCATAATTCGTACACAAAGTAATTCAAAGTGCTTTGCAGAATAAGAAATATATTAAAATCACAATAGCAGCAAGAAGTAGTTCCGATGTTATTGTTTATCGCAGTATTTCTCAGTAGCGATATATCGTGCTTCAAACTTTATCATGTCACGTCTAGAGACAGGCCTATAGGTTACATCATAACTGTTCTTTAAGAGTAAAAGTAGCTTTCAATTTAGTTAAAAGTTTAGCCTCTACTCAGACTTTTTGCCAGTCGTTTAAACTGTCTGCTTCTCCGGTTGTGCTTGTCCACGTGCATGTGGTCACTCAAAGAAACAAGCATGATTTGAACTGAGCGTGACCTGCTGCTACTGCCCACTGCCCGCTGCCCCCTCCTCTCCGTGGGTACACCCCCCCGTCCCCACCCTTTTTTTTCTCTTTAGTTTAGAACCAGGCCGCGCTCAATCTGGACTCCTCATCATTCTCCGTCAGTCGAAAAAGGGGACAGTATAGCTCGCCGCATCCCGGAGGAGCTATGCCATGACAAGCAGCTGGGCGGTGGGCACACGGGCACGCAGGCCGGCCGGGCTCACAGGAGGAGAGGGACTGGCACGAGATTGATGTGACAGTTCTATATTGGAGTGGTGCGGCGGCTCGTTCTGACTCTGTAATCTGCTTAAGCTTCTTATGGAGGAGACGGCGAGAGCGCTTTGAGGGATTTCTATCAAATCGATACAGCAGGACAAAAAGACACTACTCAATATTTCTGGATATTTTTTTTATTTCTTTTTTTGACTTTTTAATGTGTTTAATTTGTGGTTCTCTGCACTGAAAGTTTCACTGGCGGGTGTCACCATGTGGATTCTTCTTATTTCAATTCTGTGATTAATCTGGGAATTAATTAGGACTGTTTTGTGCAATTAATCCAATTTTAATCAAGCTTGAGATCCAGTCGTCTCTAATGATCAATAATCAGCTTGGGTCTTTTTTAATGGAGATGTCTACAGCCAATCATCTGTCAGTAAAAGTGTGTGGTTTGGAGCAGAGTTCAGACTTTGGAGGAAGAAGTTTGACAATTTTGCTGTGTGAAATTGCAATTCTTACAAGATAATATAGAGAATTAGTATTGAAACATTTTTTTTAATTAGAGAAATGAAATCGAATTGAAACCTTGATCAATCAGTATGAGAAAAAATACATCCCAGCCCTAAAATTAAGTTTGTAGTTTAGAAATTGTTGGATAGTTTTTACTTTTTTGCGCAGAATGGTGTACTACCAATTCAACAGAGCGAATATAACTAAAAAAATGTCATGATTTTTAATGTATTTTTTCTTTATAGTTGCAAATTCAGTTTGGCAGTTTCGACTTTGCACCTCCTCCACTCTCCATTTTATCATTAGCTGTCATTCACACCTGGCTATTGGCACCTTCTCAACAATACTAAATCAAAAACAGTCCCACCTGTGAAAATCTACTGTATTTTTTTTGCACTTCACTCCTTTTGGGCGACGCCTACGCACTTCCTCCCTTCCTCCCTTTGACCTGTCCATCAAACTGACCCATGCTGCTGGTGTGGTGGTGTTCGGCGGTGCTGACCTACGTGTCCGTGTACCTGTCACTGTCTTTTCTGCGCAGCTTGCTAGCTACCGACAGAAGCGGGCGAAAGGCAGCGGTACGGGGCCGGCGAAAAAGGCGGCGAAGGGGAAGAGCCAGGATGTCCCGCCGCAGAATGACCGCGCAACGCAAGACCCCCACGTAGACGCCGCCCCTCCCTCCGCCAACGGACAGGAGCGGAACAGCAAGGCCAAAACTGAGGTACACTAAACACTAAATCACTGGACATTAAGTGAATGATCCCTAAAATTGGATTTACCAATGACTTTAAGATCACTTTAGAACAGTGTTTCCCAAACATTTTTTTCTGGGGACCCATATTTTAAAAGTCACAAACCTTCGCGACCCAAGTCAATAAACGTTATTCATACATTACTCGTAAAAGTAAAGGTGGATTTGACCATTATTGAACATTGCTGAGGATGTTTTATTGTGGTTGTGTCTCTGAAAAATTAGTATGACTCAAGTTTTAAACGATGAAAAGCAGTCATTGAACCAGAAATAAAAGGATCTATAAGTCGCCTATTTGGACATTAACTCTAGCCCTGTATATTACTAGCCTGATTCATCAGTTGGTTTCACTTCGTAGAAACCATCTGCCCTCACAGTATTAGGATTTGTTTGCTCGATGGTATGCGGGTACTTTTTTATTTAACCAATCACTGCTATTTGGTCATGACGTATGTCATGTGCCAAATCTCGTAGGAAGAAGGGCAATAACATTTTTCCCCTTGATAAAATTCACCAAACATTCTCTTTGTTCCGTGTATAAATCCTCGATTTCGGGAATTGTTGCCAACTCAGAACGTATGGCTCTTCGCTGATTGGCTGGTGCCAAACTCGCACTTTCACAGTTTTTGCGAACTGTCTAGTGTATTCTGATTCCTAATCTAGTCGCTGGAGAGTGGAGGCACTAGGTGGTGTCAGCCTGGCTAGTTTATTGCAGACCTACATGCAGATCGTGATAAGGCGACCCCAAAAAAATCTCTTCCAACCCACCTGAGGGTGGCAACCCAGTCTTTGGGAAACACTGCTTTAGACCCTTGTTTTTTGAGATTACACTTTACGCAAAGATGTTTCTTTCTTTTCTTTAATGTAATTTAAATAATTTTTATTACAGACCAGTATACTGGATATTCTAATTTTGCATATCTGTAAAAACAACAATTGTGATATAAACCTATTTATATCTCTCTACAAGTGTAATATCAAAGCCTCTCAACATTTTTGATAACACTGAAATATTCCCTGAGAAACTTGCACGGATGTCTAAACCCCAGCTGTGCCATTTAATCAAATTTTAATCACAGTTACAAGTTTTGCTTCACTAAATCACAAAACTTACCCAATTAAAGTTTTAATTACAATTGTCCTGCCCCTTGGCACCTGTGCGGAGAACAGCCACTCATATAACCTACAGGTTTTTTTTTTGTTTTTTTTTTACAGGATTCACAAAACATGACTAATGATTAATTACGGGGGGACTACATGCATTATTAATCAGCCTCACTGTGTAATCCAAAATTAGCTGGTTTGGGGAAACTGATTTAGAGTTGATGAGGACATTTTATTGGCCAGAAGTACAATTATATGATGTATAAGTTTTAAGAGGCTGGTTTCCAAATGTACAGAACAGAAGGTGACAGTGGTATTAGTAACATTACACAGACTAGAATTAGATTAGGTTTCCACATCAGCAGCAAGAAGGGCAGTCCAGACCGTGACACAAATGTTAACAGAGATTAATTAAGTCCAAAGAGAGCTATAATTTAAGAGTAAAACACTAAAACAGGCAGATCATTAAAGACAGAACACTGGTTTGTAATTATTCCTTCAGCCCTGTTCGACGTAACACATTTTCCGCACTTGTCTGCTTTAGTTTGGTCACATTATGCTAACAAGTGGCGTGTGCCCCCACTCCGTAAACCTACAGAGAGAAATGGGTCACTAAACATCTCGGCGCCTGTAGGGCCTGTTGTCATGACGACCCGGACTGGATTAACTGTGGTAATGTTTACTCCACTTTTGTGCCAGTCAAACCTCAAAATGCGTTTCCCCTCCTAAAGCGTTGCGTTCAGGAGATGATTGTCTTTTTTTTATGTTCTGGATGACTTTTTACTATTATTTCAGCATATAACATATTCTGTTTTTGTTTTCAGTACACACATTGACACTTTTTTGTATGAAGTTGCTCTGTTTCAGTAATCTATAATTGAATACTTTTTTTTAACCTAATACTTTTTTTGTTTAAGGTTGTTAACAGATTTTGGTAATACTTTTAGGGTACACTGATTAACATCTAACTACTTGCTAATCAGCATAGTTGTATATGGTTAATTTGTCATTAATTAGTATTTATTCAGCCCTTATTAATGTCTAATTCCCCATAAGCTTACTCTGCTATTAGTTAGACATTTACAAACACTTTCCTATTTATATACTCTTTATTACTACTTATTAGTATGATACTAAGCCATTTTTGCATCCTAATTATTCACCACAATGAGTTTATAAGCACTTTGCACAACTTTCAAACACCAAAGCTGAGTTTTGCAAGTCACAGAAATGTTACAACTAGCATGCTAATGGATACTTCTTGATTATCAGACAATAAAGTGTCATAATTAGAGCAGCAGCATATTTTAACTTCAAGAGTGGCTTATACAATATACAATATATCTTCTGAGCAAGACTAATTTTGCTCAAATAAATGGAGAAAAAAAATTGGATATAATGCCTGTTTGTAAGGTTTCGTGTAGTAACGTTGCATTATATGTGCTATTTAAATGTTCACATCTATTCTCATAAGACTGTGTCCACCCTTTTAGGTTGATGAACAGCCTAAGAAGATTAAAGTCACGCAGAGGAAAGAAGTCGAGTCGTCTCCCTCCTCGGACCGAAGCCTTAGCCCCGTGGAGCAGCTGAAAGATGAGGACCTGGCAGCGCTCACAGGCAAAGAGCAGCTCAAGGTGGGCTGTCCTTTTACTCTATTTAATTATCTTACTGAAGAATGTATTGAAGCACTTGTAGAGTACATGTGTGCTGAAAGCGAGCTCTATTCTGCTATTTTTATCGCCGCTCCCCACTTCTAGCCTCTGGGGCCAGTGTGTCATCTTTTTGCATGGACGCCCAAACGCTCCAATTAAGCATAAAGCATAAATAAATGGGATTTTACTTGTCTATCTTGCAGAAAGGGACCAATCAGTGACTCTTCGTTTACTATATAATGCCTCCTTGGTCTTGATCTAGCTACATGAGCTGTGTTGCGTTATTAATCCAAGTACCATCAGAACAAAATCTGGACTATATTAGGCACAAGGATTGGCTAAAATGAGATAAAACCATGGATGTGGGAGCTGTAAATAATGTTCTTACTTATTGATATGTCTCCAAATAAAACACATTTACACTGTAGAGAAACCGGACCACCCCGAGCTGTACATGAAACACTGATCTGAAGCTATGACTTATTATACAGAGAATAAAATGCAATTAAATGGGCTTTTTTGTTCAGCTCTTGCAGCAGGCTGTGGAGAAGCGCAACGAGATCATTGCCAAACTCAGTGCCAATCTGCAGGAGGCGCTGTCCAGCAGAGACCAGGTTCAAATGGAGGCCCAGACATTAACGGGACAGATCCAAGCTCTCCAAAAGCAGCTTCAACAGGTAGGTACCAAAAACCCCGTCTAGATTTATTGTGGCCAAAGTTATAAAAAAATACTTCTTTTTGCTTTCAGACCAGCATGGATTTCGCACGCATTAAAACTTTACATGGGCATTCCTCGGATTCAGATTCCAGTAATAAGGACGCGCCGCCTGAATGTAAAAACCAAGGTTCCAACACGGACAGCGATGAGGAGACGACAAACGCCCTTCTGAAAAAACTCAAACTCGAGCTGGAAAACGAAAAGGAGAAGAGTCAGAACTTTCTTGCCGAACTCCAAAAAGAAAGAGATGCGGTTTTGTTACTGGAGGAAGAGAAGAGGGAGTGGGAGGAGGAGCTAAAACGCAATCTCATGCAGCTTCAGGACCTACAGTCACAGTGTCTGGAGATGCAGCAGTACAAAAAGGAGAAGGAGAGACTCAACACGGAGGTTTTGGAGCTGAGGCAGAGGCTACAAGAGGAGGGGGACGTGGAGAAGAGGTTTGGTGAGGAGGCAGCTAGCTCAGCACGTCTAGTACAGAGCCTGGAGGAGGAACTGGAGATTGTCAAGAAGCAGCTGGAGGACAGGGAGAAGGAGCTGAGGTTCAGAGAGGAGGAAGTACAAGGGCTAAAGGCGTCCAAGAATAGACAGAACCAGGCCAGAGCGGGTTTCCCTTGTAATGAGGCTAACCCAGGGGACAGTGGAGATGGCAGCGAGGAGCTCAAGTCAAGTGAGGACAGTCTGAACGTGTCTCTCACAGGGGATGAGCTGATGGAGAGATATCTGTCCTCCCAGCCTCCCGCCTGCTCCCAGTCCTCACTCGGCCAAGAGGGTTTCCAGAACTGCAGCCAGCTGGAAATGTCTGGAGACTGCAGGTTTGTTCTAACACTGTTGGAACATATTGAAAAAATTATTGATGATTTGGTTTGCCCACAACTAAGGCTGCAGAGATTAATCACAGTTGTGGCTAGTCAACTGTTAAAATTGTATTTGCTTTTTGATAATGCTTATAATGGTTATCATTATCTGGACCATACAGACACAAAAAAACACATGCCAAAAGACCTTTTTATGTCAAAATGTGAACAGGAATTTGTGATTTTAATTAATAATAGAACCAATTTAAACTCAATATTTCAACCTTTTGCATTTGGTTAAATAAAATATATATATTTTTTATCTCAATTATACAATAGAAATAAGTTTAACTAGTAGACTGATTGAAAACATAATCACTGCCCAGTGGGCTGCTAAATTGTAATTAAGGAATAGCATACCATACATGGCCTAAAAAGATGGATTGACTCATTTCTACCAACTTGTAATAGATAATTTAATTTGAGATGCCGATGTGCTTTGTGGTTTGGCTCATTACATACATTATAATAATTCATACCATTAAAAGAGACCGATATAATGATTAAACATGATTTGTGTTTATTGCCCTGAGTTTTCAAAAATACTTACTTCCTTTCCTCTTCTCAGCTTTGAACTGAACAGTGAAATCCTGGGAGACCATGCCTTATTGTCCATCTCTAACCGCCTTGAAGAAGTCCACGAGGATGATTATGATGACTTCAACGCAGCAGAGAACGACAAACTAGACCTGAGTAACACCTCAGCTCAGTCTGGAGACACTCACCTGGAGAAGGACCTCCTGTACCAGCAGTGCAGGGAGCTGCAGGAGGAGCTGGCACAGAAGGAACGGGACCTGGAGGTGCTGACTGAGGAGGTTTCCAAGAGCGCAGAAGAGCTGGAGGAAGCAAGGAGCAGGTAAGTCAACCCAGTGACCCCACTCATTGCCCACGCCAAGCCTTTCTAACAAGATTCAACATTCCAAACCAAATACAGAGTCAGTCCCAGCTTCTTTGGAATCTCAGTTACATTAAATAATATGTGCAGCTGTGTAATTCTTCAGTCCTTAAGGCAGGTTCCATGGTGGTCCATGGGTGTATACTACTATACGTATACTAGACTATGTGCTCTTATACTTGTTTTGATACAGCTCAAGATCATTTTAAAGCTATTCAGGAAAAGTTTATTTTATGTGGCTTTTTTAAACATTGATACTAAAACTAGTAGGGAAACAATATACTTATTTGAGTATTAAGTATCTAATTTTTGATAACGCTAGTCCAGAGCTAAAAGATTAATCAGCACATTTTGCAATTTCAGTTCAACTACTAATATTAACATAGTGTTAACATTAGTGCAAGTGTTATTTTTAATTTATGTTGGCATTGTGAAGCTTTATAAATTTCGATTTGAAATTTTTATACGTGAGGTTCTGTGCTTTTGTTTTTCCTTTTTAGGTGGGCTCAAGTGACTGAGGAGCTGAGGGAAGCCCAGCTGGAGCTGGAGGAGGAAAAGGAGAAGAGGATCCAGCTGGAGGAGGAGATGCTCCAGAAAAGCCCAGAACAAGAGGAGCTGCAGAACAAACCTGGTGCCTTACAGGAGAAAAGAGAAACTGAAGTGACGGAGGAGGAGGAATGTCCTTTACCTGAACCTGTGGACCTGCTTGTGTTCTCCCCAGAGCAGAGTAAAGGGAACTACTCACCCAAACAGAGCCCAGAGACTGGAGAGGGCCAGCTGCAAACACTTCAGGTATTCATGGCTTTTTAAAATATATGTTTGCGCTACATTACGTGCTAACACATTCTCTTTGACATTTGCAATGCTGTGTTTTCAAGTATAAGTAATGTTTTATCTGTAAATTGAGATTGAATAGAAGAACTCATGAGCACCACCTCTTTATTGTGGCATTTAACTGTAACAAGCAACAGATATTATGTATGTTTCTATAGCTGAAAAACGGCTATGTGACTATTTTGAATTTAGATTTTTTTTTTAAAGTTGGATAATCACAAGTAATTACAGAGAAGTGGTAGGAGATATTGGGTAAGTGGGGGTGGGTATTACTCAAACATGAATGAATCAACTGAAATGCATCTGATTAAGTTGATGATGAGAGAACACAGTTAGAGCAGCATTAAGTTTCTTTTTTATTCCATAGTGTGTGCTCCTTAACAATGTGTAGGTCCTCAAATATTTCTAAATAAGTGTGAAGACTGCGTAATAAACCTCATATGAATGCTGTGCTTCTGCTCTTTCAAGGACCTCTCTGAAAGCCTGAAATCTGACCTTGAAGACACTAAAAGGGAAGTTGAAACGAGCACAAAGCTGCTGAACCAAAGGACTCTGGAGCTGGAGAAGGCTCTGAAGGATCTCCAAAGCTCCCAGACACAGCTGCTAAACATTCAGAACCAAATGGACCAACTTCAGCTCGAACTGGACCAGAGCAAGGCCAGTCTGGACCTAGCCGAGAAGGAGAAGAGCGACCTGGAATCGCGCATGGTCTGCCTGAGCCAAAATGTTGCCAACTTGGAGGAGACCCAAGTCAAAGCGCTGCAGGAGAAGGAGGAGCACAGGAGGAGAGCAGAGGAGATGAACGAACGCATCAACAAAATGGAGCAGGTCCTGGAAGAGGAGCTGGATCAGTTTGAAAGCTTACTAAAAACTAAAGACGCTGAGGTGAGAATTTTTTAATTAGATCTTTTTTTCCACAGCATTTTGACATCATAAATAAAATAAAAAAGCCTTTATTCACTCACATTACAACATTACATTTTAAATCTGATATTAATACTTTAAAGTTGCTATATTTGACTTACGGTTGCAGTCACAATAATGCTAATAGTGCACTTCCTGGTATGGGGAGGACTTATAATTTGATGTGATTCTAAGAGATACTTTTACAATCTACTGCGGCGTAACAAATTTGATTTTTAATACATGAAAAAATGGGTACAGCCCCTTTTTTTAAATCTAAAATTATCTTTCTAAAATGTTTACACACATTAATGCGATCAAATTCACAACACTAAAGTCACAATGTCTTCTCCAGCTGGTTGAAGAAAAGGAGAAATGGGAGGAGGAGAGACAGGAGAAGGAAAAGGAGCTCTCAGATGTTAGGAGTCTCCTGGAAGAACATCAGCGGAAAAGTGAGAAGGAGCTAAAGGAGCTGATGGAGAAACAGGAGCAAGCTGTGGAGCAGGCTACAGAGATGATCAAGAAGTCCCACCAACAAGAGATCTCTGAGCTGAAAAAGAAACATCAACAAGAGGTACTATAAGAATTAATTAGCGACGGGCTGGAAAGTTGTTTTTAAGATACACAGTAGAAAATTTGCGATCAATTATTCACAGGATTTTTCATTTTAGTATCATTTGTAATTGTAATATACCATGATATTGTAATCTGCAGTAAAACATTTTCCAATACCACCCAGTCCTTTTATTATAAAGAAAATGTGTTTTTTCTGTCTAGACTTCCGAGTTGAAGTCTCAGTTTGAAAACAGACTTGTGGAGCTTCAGTTCACTTTAGAAGAGGAACAAAAGCGGCAGATCAACCTCATCAAACAGGTACAACGTGTTTGAGGCATTTCAGTGTGTTCATAAAACCACACGGATTGTTTTTTATTTTATTTTTCATGATGTATTTTTGACACTACCAGGTAACAGAGCGGGAGCACGAGAGGATGATGACAGAGCTGACCAGCAGACATGCAGACGAGCTGGATCAACTGAAGACTGAGGTGACCCTGGAGCTGAGAGAGAGCATGGAGGCAGCACACCAAGCAGAGATGCAGCAGGTTCAGGTAGGCACAGAAATAATATTGTATAATTGATTGATTTAAAGTTCTGATTTTAGTTAAATGAAAGCCAAGACAAAATATTGCTAAATTGTATATATATTAAAGGCACACTTTCTGGAGCTGGCAAGTCACGTGGATGATTCCATGGAAATGTAAAGTTAAAACCACACTTTCAAACATTCTCCATGGAGATAGAAAAGTTGTATGCCATAATGTGCAATTATATAACCAAAGGATTTTCAGGGAGACAAGCAGGAGGAGGCCGTCATCCAGGTCAAATAAGTGATATTTGTGAGGAAGCCTATTCAGAAAAATATGCATCCTTATTATTTCACTACAATAAACACAAGCAAATTAAAATAAAAGCATGTTTGTTTCTTTTTTTCCAGTCTATGTTTTGGCAAAATGCTATATGATGTGGTTTTTAAGATTTTGTTGCAGTTTTAAATTTGATATTGTGCAGCCTTTCTTTTATATTGCTCAAAACACAATTAATTGTTGGAACTAAACGATAAAATATGACCAGACTAAATCTCGCCTCTCCTCTTAGGCCCAAAAGATGCTGGAGCTGGAAGCCTTGCGCCTCAGCTTGACCAACGTCCACCAGTCCCACTTGGAGGTGTCTCAGGATGCGGTGGTGGGCAAGATCCAGGCCTCCATGAAAGAAACGTTCACCCAGGAGAGGGCTCTGATCCAGGCCAAACATCAGATGGAACTGGACCAAATCAGACGACACCACCAAGAGGAGCAGGAGAGAAGGCAGCAGCTGCATCAAAGTCACATGGGTAAGAGTGTTCAGCAGGTTTCCAAGTGATTTCCCCAATTACTATTTTAGATTATACATTTTCACATGGTAATGCAAACGTTGTCTGACTCTGCATCTCTACATTTTAAACATGACTTGGCGTTATATCGCATGTCATATCAGGACACAGATTTCACATAATGATTTTCGGTTTTTGTTTATACAGATAAGTTAAAGCAGCAGCTGGATGAAGACTTTGCAAAGGAGAGGACATCCCTGGAAGAGAAGGCCACAAAGGAGATCCAGGTTGGACATAGCAACAAGGATTTGGATTTTAAAGTGCCTATGACTCATTTTCATGTTTGTCTAATCATGACTTGCTCTTTTTAGTCTCTGAAGTCCCAGTTGGAGAAGGCTTCTACCGCTGAGTCTAATCTCCAGGCAGCATTATCAGACATGGAGGAGAGGCTGAACAGGACTCAGGCAGAACTGGACCAGACCAACAAGGACCTCACTGAAGCCCAGGCTGCTTTGTCCCAGGCCAGACTTGAGATCCAAGAGACTCAGGCGAAACTGGAGGATTACCACACATCCAGCCAAGAACAGGACCAGAAATTGTCTGAAGAACTCAAACACTCCTTGTCTGAAAGAGATGCTGCTACTCGTAAGTATAAACCAAAATCACATTGTTTTATATTGGGGATGTAACAATAACCGAAATATCGTGATATCGTATCGTCAAACGTCTTGCAATAGTATCGTGGTGGCGTCACAATATATCGAATTACAAGTTCCTTTGCTTAAATGCATTGTTTTACAGCTGCAGTAGCTATTAAACATCGGGAACTACATATCTCATGATTCGTTTCATCACAGACAACATGAAGAAATATGTTTTTACTTGAATTCTTGGCATTATGACGGTAATAATTCACACCAAAATCTTGTCAGGATACTTTTTTGCTTTTAAAATACCCTATCTACAATTATATCAGCCTCTCCAAAATATCACAATAAATATCGTACCGTAAGACGCATATCGTGATAATATCGTACCGATATTTGGATATTGTTACATCCCTATTTTGTATGCATGTTTATTTAGATGGTTATTCAAAGTGCGCATGACAGGTTAGACTCGTTTCACCAACATTTACCTAGCAGCCATAATTAACAAAGAGCAAAATGTGTCTAGATTACACAGTGGTTATGATTTGACTAATAAAAATAAATGACTAAAGCTTCATTTAAAAAAAAAAAGATTGTGTAAACTGTCTGCTTCCTTTCAGATAAATTGTCCCTGCATTATTGTACCATTCTTTTCAACAATTTTTCCCCACAAACTGTGTCATAACTCATATAGAAATCTTTTTACCTCAGCTACTATCCAGCCAAACATTCAACATATGCACTTTGACCTTTCTTGTGTGTTTTAGGTTTGCTGGAGGAGTTGGTTTCCAGTCATAAAGCGGAGCTACAAGAAAAGGAACAGCAAGTGCTCCTCCTACAGGACAAGGAGGGTGAACTGCAGCAACAGGTAAAACACACCGGTAGTCAAAGTTTTATAATCAGCGTAAAATGACTTAACTATGCTTTTGTTGTAGATTTCGAAATTACAAAAGGAAAAGAGCTTACTGAAACAAAACTCGCAGGAGGAAGTGGGTCAACTGTGGTCTCAGCTGGAGAGCATGAGATCAAACCGTCAGGAGCTCGGAGGTGGGTTCAAGGCATCATGAACACTGTACAATGATCTCAGTGTAACTCAGTTGTTAAGTTAAAGTGCTCATGACAGGTGTTCAAGTTGTGTTTTTTAAATTCGGACTTAGTTTAGTGTGATGGTACGTGTCATGTGGGTAATATTTATCACACTATACTAATACTACAGTAATCGTGAAAAGAGCATGATTTTTAAACAGTTTAAACCCATTTGATGAAATAGTGGGATGTGAAATAATAATGAAATAAATTGTAATTACTCTAGGGCTGAACGATTTGGGGAAATAATCCAATTGCGATTTTTCTGACAAGCGTTGTATTAGCAATTTTAGACTTGTGATGAATGTTGTAATAGGATTTTTTTCAAAGTTCATATTTTACATAACTTGACCTTTCCAGAAGAATTGACAAAATGACTGAAAGTTTGTTAGTTCATATTTCAGTAATTTTGTCAATTCTTCTGGATACGTTAAGTTATGTTAAATGTGAACTTTGAACAAAATCCTAACACAAATCACATTTCAGAGCATGTTTATGCAGACCTAAAGGGCAGGGTTAGAAGTTTTTTATGCTGAATAAAACAGGATATTTTGTTGTTAATGGAGAAAATTAGGGTACTTAAAAATTGGAGCCTTCTCGATTTAGCAGTTGCAATTTAAATTCTATTTCAATTAATACTTGCAGCCCTAAATTACAGACCTCTGCCCTTATTTATAATTTGGTTAATGGGTAAATCATGGAATTACCACTGGAATTACCTTCTAACTTGTCTTATGCATTTTAAATGATTATAACAAATAATGAAATAAATAAATAAATACATTTGAGATAAAAAGGTTGGTATTGATATGTAGGTACATTTGGCCTTGTGTTTCAGAACTAAAAGAACAGCTGCGTGCCCGCTCTGCTCACGTTGAGGACATAGAACGCTTAAAGGTGGATTTTAATGAACAGAAACGTGAAATCAAACAGCAGAATGAAGCAGAGCTGGAGAGCCTCAGGAGGTAAGAAAAAGATCTGTCATATTTTGTATACAGCACATGAGCAAACAGTTAATAGCACCCAATTTTTTTAGATATTTTGAGCAGAGGCTGCAAGCCGCAGAGGAGGGCTATCGAGAGGAAATTGCACTGTTACAGCTGAGGATGGTAGAAGGAGCACTAGAAGATTCTGTGCTGAAGACCGCAAATGACAGGTACATTAAAAGTGCTGCAGTTGAAGAGTGTTTTGCATCCATCTCAAGTCTAATTTTTTCTATCTTACTGTGTTTAGTGTATATTCTCCCACTGAGGGAATTGATAATGATGGAAAACAAGAGGTGAGAATTGAGCTTAGTCTAAAGTAGTTTTTCAAAAGTAATTGAGTTATTAAAATGTTTTCAATCTATAAGGAAATGCTTAATCAGCTGGAGGAGAAGCACACCCTGGAGCTGGCTGAGCTCAGGTCTTCTCTGTCTGAGACCTTCAAAGAAGAATTACGGCAGGTTTGAAACATTATTACAGCGCATTCCTTTTCATTTACTGTCAATTTTATATTTTCATCTGGTATTGACTGTTTTTGCAAAATGTTTTCTTTGATATTTCCTTTATAGGTGCGCTCAGACCTCACAGATCAGTATTACAAGGAACTTATGGATATAAAGTCTCGCCATGCTTTAGAAATGGAACAACTCAAAGCCAAACTTTCTGAAAGCCACCTAAGAGGTACTACAGTAGTACATGGTTGTATTAGACCTACATTAAAGCATATTTATACCTATTCTCATGTGTTGTTTCAGAGCTCAGCAGACTCCAGCTGGAGGCAGCCAGGCAAGCAGAGGTACTTTCACCCCAATACCTTTACCTCTTATGTTTGTTCATACTGGAGTATCACAATTTATTTTTTCACTCCTAGGTGGAGGTTGAGCAGAGGCTGTGGTGTCTCACAGAAGAGCAGAGGAACAGTGCCAGTATTATCCATGCTCTGGAGAGCAGACTGTCTGCACTGAGTAACCAGCACAAAGCTGATGAACAGAGCACACTGAAGGTACACGCTTCCTCTTGTTTATTATTAACGGTCTCATTGACAGTGCAGTTTTATGCACACTGTGACTATTGTACCCCCTGCAGCTGAAAGAGGACTTTGCCGCTGAGCTTGCTCACCTGGAGGATGCCCTGCAGAAGGAGAGGGAAGAGATGCAAGAGAGGCTGAGCACACTGAAAAAAGAGCTCCAACACAAGCATGAGTCTGAGCTGTGTGCTCTGAGGGAGGAGTTTAGGAGAGACAGGGAGCACCTTGAAAAAGCCCTTCAAGAAGAAAACAACAGGCTGAAGTCTCTGCAAGCTGCAGTAGACAGTGATAACAGTAAGAATTTAATGCATTCCTCAATTCATTTAGGAGCAGTTCCTCATTCTAACATGCCACAATGTGTGTCAGGCCCACAGCTCCTGAAAGAGCGGCAGAGACTGGAGGCGCACTTTGAAAATGAACTACAAAAGACCAAGAAGAGCATGGAAGAAGAGCTCAAAAACAAGTTACAACAAGCTCAAGAAAGGTACGCTTTTTTTCGCTCATCTTATTGTTCATACTTTTCAGTGGCTCTTAACACCTTTTTAAAAATATGTATACTGTAAGGATTCATTAATTTATTATAATTTTGACTATTATTGCTATAGGTCATTTTTGTTTTACATATTTTCTATTGAATGACATTTTGCTGATTGCTTTTTAATATTAACCTCAGTAGTATTCAACAGCCCCAATGCTCCATACCTGTAATATATACTTTGTTTTTAGGTTTAAGGAAGAAAAGGCTGCATTAGAGCAAAATTTGTCCCAGAAATATGAATCATCTTTGTCCAACATAAAGGAAAAGCTTAAATCTGAACTGGCCCAGGAGAAGGCCAAGGCACTGACCAAACACTCTCAAGAGATGGATGCCCTCACTGCCCGATACACAGGGCAGCTGGACGCCCTCAGTACCAGTCACAGAGATCAGCTGGCAGCCATGACCACGCAGCTCCAGAACAAGCACAACGCCGAGCTTGTTGCCTTGGAAGCGGCCCTTCATTCACAACGAAAGCTCGACCTCGCCAGCTTAGAGGCCGCCTTTCAGGAAACCAGTCAGGCTGAGCTCCAAGCCCAAGAGGCGCAACTGGAACGCAAGCACCAAGAAGACAAGGACGAGCTGGAGAGGAGAATGCTGGGAAACATGGACACTCTGGAGGCCACCTATCTCAAAGAAGTACAGGTAAGAGAGCAAGGGCTTGTTTGGTTTGAAGAGCTTGGGTTGTGTTAGGGGAGTGTTTTACGTTTAATATTAGTTAAAGGTGTCACAAATATAATTGTAATGTGTAGTCATGAGTCATTGGTTAAAAGTGTAACACAATAACTGTTGCTGTAAATCTGCTTTACTCTTAAAAAATGCTAGAGTAGTCAAACAAATCAAATAATGCAAAACATTAACTTTTTTGGTGGAGGGTCTGCCATTTGCTTATCACTTCACCTAGAATGTTGCATGACAGTGTGGCATTAAACTTATCTGTCTAGCATTCATCCAGTGACCAGTGTAATTATTGCTCCAAATGTCTTGAATATGCAATCTTACGAGGGCTGGGCAGTTTAATCAACTGAATTTGATTAATTTGTGATTTTAATGAATGGGATTTAGCGGATTATTGTGCAGTTAAACAATTTACATTGTTAAAAAAACATCCAAAATGTCAAAAGATTTAAACTATGTGACAAATAAAAAGCACTTACCCTGTTTGAAAGACCAGCAGTTCCTGTAATTATCCTGTGGTTGCAAAAAATTGTAGATCTTGCCATATCGCCCAGCCCTAATTCTGACTGTGAGTGGGGGCACCTATCCACAGATCTGACATGTAACTTAGCTTGGGGGTATGACCTGCTTGTCTCCATGGGCATAATGAATCCTTGAATGCCTCACTGTGGAACATTCCAGGCAAAGTATAGTTGTATAGTTTTATCATCTTTGAGACAGAATTGATGTGATTTAATTGAGGTCACAGAGTTCAGACACAGTTATTCTTCTCATTTGAATTTGTTGTTGTGTATTTTCCATTTCTCAGACCCTGCAGGATGAAATGATGCACCTGGAGCAAAGGCGCTGTAGAGAACTACTGGAGCAGAAAAGTGAACATGAGCAGATCTTGGAGCGCACCGTGAGCGAGCAGCAGCGGCTCAGGGAGGAGCTGAGTAAGACGCTCACAGACCGCATCGCTGCCATGGCTGCAGAACTCAAACAGGCGCACAAGGTAATCAAGAATCTATTTTATTTACCAGTAATTGAAAACAGAAACAAATGAAAGCACTGACCTGATTTTTACCATCTTAAAAACATAAAAAAACAAGCTAGTTAATTTTTTATGTTTTACTATAGTCCAATTAATTCCTCACATACTTTATCGGAATGCGTGTGTTTATAAGCTTTTTACAACCAGAGCAGAGTTTTGCCATCAATATAATGCTAATAACAATTACAAGAGCTGCCTGTACAATATATCTGTACTAAGGCAAGAGATATTTTGCTCAAATGCATGAAAAAATTGGTGTTAGGCCTTACAAACCAATAAAGATGATGTAGTTGTGTCTATTTTTGTAAGGTAGAGCTAAATTAAGTCTCCCACTTTGCAAATTTTTTCTTTTTAGGTGGAACTTTCTACCCAAAAAGAAGTCTTGGATACTGAACATTGTCAAGCACTGGAAGCACTGAAGAGACAAGTCAGTTTGTGTATGGGTAATTCTACCAGTTCAAAGTGATTTGGTTTGGCTAAATATGCCTTCTGTAATAGGTTTTGGAGCTTGAGCAACAGCACAGCGCGGCTCTTCAAGAACTTACAAGCACTTGCGCTGCAGAGATCCAACAGCTCACTGAACAGCACCAAGAGCAGCTACAGGTCAGCTACTCCTGTGTTCTTTTGTGTATTTGTTTGTTTTAGGTTCCTGGTAACGAGCCATAGATTCTAAAGTGTCCCATGATGATAAAAGAAAACATGAAACAGGATTAAGTTAAGGTTGTGCAGTTAAGCTAAAGCAATATTACATATTTTTGCGGTACTTCAGCTGCGTGACTCCATAAAAATAAAGTTCAAACCACACTTTAGTACAGGTAGAGATGGATGTTTTATTTTCGTGGCAACAAGGCTCTCCTCCAGTAGCCAGGCTGGCACCACCTAGTGCCTCCACTAAATTTCATTTCTCTCCAGTGACTAGGTCAGGAATCAGAATACAAAAAATCCAGAAGTGCGAGTTTACACTAGACGGTTCACAAAAATTTATGAATTTTTATACAAAGACATTTTGCCCTGTTAGTGGCGCATTACATACGTCACAACCAAATAATAGCGATTGGTTAAATGAAAAAAGTACCCGCCTACCGTTGAGCGAACAAATTCTAATGCTGCGAGGTCAGACAGTTTCTACGAAGTGAAACAGACTGATGAATCAGGCCTCCAGACCATGTTTGAGTCAGGTTTGTGGAGATGCAAACCTGCTCACAGTACAAATGCATGTTTTTAAAGTTGTTTTTTGTGAATAAGTGATGAATCTTTATTGATTTAGTCTATCTTTTGGCTGAAAAGTTACAAAATGGGGCAAATTTCAATCAAGAGTCTGTCATTTGTAATTGCCAGTGATCTGCTTGGGTCTTTTTAATAGAGTTCCAAAGTAGTTCTTTCAGTAAAAGTGTGTATTTTAGACCAGATAGACCATTTGAAGACAAAATAAAAAATATAAAATATGGATGGATCAATATGAGGATTTCAGGATTGTCTCATATCGTCCAGACTTTGTAATCCTAGTTCATGTGGTGAGCTCCCATGTTTTTGTTTCTATTGCTTACCACCCCATTAGAAAAGGATTACATGGCTATTGTTTATCCTTTTACGGCCTGTCTGCACACGGGGCATTTACACACATTTTAATAGGGACACAGCGAGCATCTGGCTGGCCCTGGTATTAAACAAATCCCTGACATGTGTCCTCTCAGGAGCTGAAGAACATCTCTGCCCGCGAGCTCGAAGCATGTCGCCGCGAGCTGGAGGAGTCGTCGTCACGGCAACGGCAACACTTCACAGAGGAAGTGGAGCTCCTCAAGGCCCAATCCGAGGACCGGCTCCAGGAGAGGGTTCAGCAGATCAAGGTAAAGATGACATCAGGTTTTCTACTCGTATTTTTAGTAAACGGATAAATTTGCTTGTTTGCGTGATTATATAATGTTGGATTATGTGGTTCTGAGGAGGGGTGTGGGGCATTGCTCTCTCTAAGCCCCAGCTGGACCACTTCATGTGTAGAGTTCTTTCCCTTTTGGGTTTGAATAAAAGCTCCAAATTCCACTTAATCCCCTCCTCAAAGTTGTATCGCCCCTTCGACCATTCTGGAAATTCTTTTTTGAGTTGCCAGTGTCTGGAGGGAGTGAAAATGAACTGTGGATACTTGGCGTTTTAATCCTGATCCCTGTTTTCTGGAAGACGGAGTTTGAAGAGCAGAAGGAGGCGGAGCTTGAGGAGCTGAGGCGGAGTCACACTTCAGAGCAGGAGGAGAAAGAGAGCAGCTACACCAGCAAAATGAGCCAGCTGACCGCTCAGCTCCAACAGCTCGATGCTGTGGTGGCCCAGGTACAGTGTCTACGGTTATTACACAGGAAAACAGTTTTATTCACAGCAACATTTTAAATAGTGTTTAGAGGATTGTGGGTAGAATAAATTGGATTATTGGATTTACAGCCTAGACATTATTAGGACTAGTGACTTTTCTCACATTTTACTTTGAAAGAACAATAACATTTCAGTCAGATTTAGAACATTGTGTAGTTGCAATATATTTATTTACACTTAGGCAAACTTTCTTGATCCACAAGGGAAATGACTTGGACGCAGTAGCTCACTCCTCACAATATCCAAATCCACTTTATTTCTATAGTACATTTTACAAACAAACTTTCCAATGTGCTGCACAGACGTCATAAAATTAAGACAACAAAAAGGAAAAGTGCTAAAATTTTGTCAATATATTACAATAACGAAGAGCATAAAATATATAAATGGTAATAAATTCTAAATAAGTTGGAAAAATAGCAAGAGTCTGGTGTTAAATAAATGTTCAACTAAAAATAAAATAGAAATAAATTATAAAAATACAAGAGGTTGTAAGGAAAACAGTGCAAAGATGTGAGTATTTTCTTATTATGATATTAATATGAATTGTCTTGGCCGATTTTACAATATCAATATTTGTGCAGTAATATAAATTTTTACGATGATTTACGATGATGGTTTACCGTTCTCACCCAGTAACCCAAAATAAGCCGAAAATATTTGTTTGTTGCCCTTAGAGCTGTAGGACTTTAGTCGTTTTGGCCAATTGTGTCTCGAGTAATACAAATTTTGGTCGACCATTTTCTGTAGTTAGTAATATTTTAGATTAGAAAGATTTATATGGGACAGCAGCAGAAAGGCGAAGTTGGTTAGTAACTTAGCTGAAGATTTTCTGGGTCTTTTGTCGATAAAGAATCTCTTCAGCTACAGCCAGAGTTGCCATTCAATTTAGGGATATTACACTGAACTGACGAGGAGTTAAGTTTAAAAAGAAACCTCCAGTCACTTGGTATTTAGCTGTCAATCATTAATCATCCCTCTCTGTTGATGTACTGTTTCTATTGAGCTGCTTTATGTTGCCGTTATACATAAGATGTTACTGCCTCTTGTGGTTTGGATTTAACAGTTGAGAGGTGGGAGGGGGCTGTTGTCACGGCAACCCCATTGTTTTGTTGAAGCAGGTGTCTTTAGGAGAGGTGTTTGATAGGGCAGGGCAAAGAAGAGAGGGAAAAAGAGAGGGAAAGATTCAAGTGTAGCTGACTGTCCTCCTGCTCTGATCAGGACTGCGTTTAACAGTGCTTTTCTATGGTGCTCTATGATCAGGTGATATGCTCCCTTTTTAATATGTCATCTATTAGGATTTATTGACTTTTTTTTACCTGCTGTATTTGTTCCAGCTCCGAGAAGAGGTTGGCTGTCTGCAGGGAGAGCTGGAGGGTAAGCGCTCGGAGATGGAGACCCTAGACACCCTGCTCCAACGCAGAGAAAGGGAGAGCCAGGAGGGCGGCAACCTGCTCAAAATGCTCACTGACGACCTCCAGGCTGCTAAAGAGGAAAAGTAGGTCCTACGCTGATGTAGCGTTGAATAAAGCAGTCTTTGAAATGCCATTTTAATGTAATCATGTGTCATAGGACTTCTTTAATCACTGCTAACGAGAAGCTGAGGAGGGTTGTTGTGGAGATGGTGCGGAGTACAATTGCAACAGAGGAGCTGATTGGACAGAAAGTAAGATCACATGACACAAGCTCAGCTGGAGCTAAACGTAGAAGAAGTTCTACTGGGAACAAAGATGCACATGAAGCAGGTTGGGATATTTTTATTTCAAGCACTGATGCACCTTTTTGCAGACAATGGCACTTTTAATTATAGTAATGATTGTTGGTTCTCCAGTGGCGGACTTGTCTTCAGAGGACTTGGAGCTGACCCACACTCTCTGTGAAAGCCTGTTAGTGTCTGATACAAACCTGACTCCCGAGGGAGAGGAAGCTGCACTCTCAGCCAATGGACGGCTTCATCACGCTGTGGGGACACTACTGGACCTGCTCAATCAGGCCAACACACAGGTACTTTTGAAGTTTAAGTAGTTTTAACTCTTTAAATAAAAAATTAAAAAATTAAAGATGTTATGGCTGACTGAATTTAAATTAAAAATGACAGATGTGGAATTTGTCAAACCAAAGAACCTTAGTTTTCCCGTTAGTGGTCTGGCTCATTTGATCAATGGCATGGATTACTGTACTTTTTACAGAAGAGACAATATAAATGTAAAAATAAAACAGTGGGGTTAGTACTTGAGAGGTCCATATATTCCTTTTTTGAGCTTGGCCAGCTTCTTGATGTTGTATACTCCTGACATTGCGTTGCCTTTTGACTCCAACATTTCTATGTCATATTATTACTCATCCTCAGAAAAAACTGTGTGTTCTATTTTTAGCTGGAAGAGACCCATAATGTGCATCTGTCTCTGGAGCAGAAGTTCACTCGGGGCAGGGATGACTCGGCTCAGTTGGTCGAGCAGCACAAGCTCCTGATAGAGCAGCTAAATGAGGAGGCCAAGCAGAAGAGCCAACTCCAGCTGGAGCTACACAAAACCGAGGGTAACTCTCTCTCGTCTCTCCATCCAACCAGACGCGCTGTAGCCTTTCTGACGCTCTTATCCCTTTAGGGCTCCTGCAAGGCTTTGTGGCAGAGAAGGCGATTTTGGAGGAGGCTTTGCAGCAGAAGGAGACGCAGGAGGAGAGGCTGGCTGAGGAACTGGAGGGGTTAAAGGTCAAACTCCACCAGATGCAAAACCTCAGCAAAGACATCGAGATGCTGCGATGCAAGAACCAGGAGCTGAGCGAGGAGCATGCCATCCTGCTGAGGCAGAAGGAGCACCTGTCTGCAGACCTGGGGGAGAGGGAGAAAGGTAAAAGCAAATCTATTCACTTCAATGTGGATACTCGATGTTGGTTTTTAGTGACCATGTGTTTGTGTAATGTCTGTGCTCAGATGCGTCGAGTCTCCGTAGACTTTTGGCACAGGTTTGTGGGTCAGAGTGACGTGTTGTGCTGGAGGGGGGAGGAGGGGATTTGCAGTGGTTGAGTTTGGCTTTAATACGCAGTTTGGATACTATATATGTGTTTCATTGTAGATCATAAGGTGTTTTTTATATTTATTTGAGCTTAAACATTTTACATTATACTTTTGTTACAGATCAGAACGTTTTTGTGTTTATAAAGCTGCTAATACTAATGCTAACCAGATTATAGACCAGGGTCAAATAGCTGAAATGGTCATTTAGCCACAATCTGTTCAAACATTCTAGATATGAATTGAAAAATACACTGAATCAGCTTCTGCCTTAAGCATTATTGACATCCTGCCATTTTTGATATTGCCGTTTTTGCAGTGTTGCAGTGACAATGATAGTGATGGGCAAATTGATACTAAAATAATGACGTCTATACTAGTGTTGTCACAATTTTAAACTCTATTTCAATCTCTTTATTTAGACCAGGAGTCTCCAACCTGTAGCTTCCAAGTAGCTCACCAAGGGATATCAGAATTATGTCATTGTGCTAAATAACAAAAACTGGTTAATTACATGGCTATGAACTTTGTAAACGTATAATTTTGAAGCCTAACTTTGTGCACTAATAAATGGTCAATGGTCTGGTTTATAGGCATTATATTGTTTCCAAAGGCTTCACCTCTTTCTTATAATCGTCTACATTTTTTGTGGCCGCTAAAATGAGTAGCGCTCTGGCATTTTTGTGTTCACACATTAAAGTCCAGGTGTATGTGATCTTTTACCAGTTCTGTTACAGCTCAAGATCATTCTAAAGCTGTTCAGTATCAATACTTGTTCAAATGAGTATTTAGTTTTGATACTAATTAATACTATTGAAGTATTTTTTGAGGTATAAACATTTCTTTAAAAAAAAAAGTTAATCTGTGTATATATTTTTTAGATCCAAAAGTTCATAATCAGTGTTTTAAATACTTGTTGATATTACAGTGTCATAGTATTTCTTGTAATTGGATCAAAACAAAAATCCCTGGTATCGCACATTGCTAGAAAATCATAATTTCTTATCTTTTTGAAATTGAAAAAGCGTAATCCTTTTTCATTTCTGTACAGCTTTACTGACAGAGGTGGAGCATTTGGCAGCAGACAGACTGGACCTGCAGCGTCAGGCAGAGAAGGACCACAGCTCCCTCTCCCAGCGTATCCGAGCCCTGGAGAGAGAGCTGGAGGAGCAGGAAACCAAGAGCCTGGAGACAGAGCAGCACCACAAGACCCAGACGGAGGACCTGCAGCAGAGAGTCCAATCTCTGGAGAAGCAGGTCAAGCACGACAGGCAGTTCATAGAGGTAAGTGCCAGGGCTGAAGCATTTTTGGAAAAATATATAGTTTCATTTTTTTTCCTGATATGCATTGCGATTATGGTTTGAGATTTATGTTTTAATAATAGGATTCTGTTTAAACTTTAAACACACACATTTTAAACATGTCCAGAAGAATTGACAAAGAGAATATAAACTGTCAAACTAATACAAGAATCACTTTTCAGATCATGTTTGTACAGATTTAAACTACAGGGATTTTATGCGGAATAACACAGGACATTTGTTTATGGAGTGGGGTTGTCAAAAGTGTAGAAAATCAAATACTAATCACCACTAAAACTAGTATCGAAACTAGGTACTTATTTGAGCACATATGAACACTAAAAAAGTCACATTGACAGGACAGAAATGAAATTAACTTTCCTGAAAAGTTTTAGAATGATCTTGAGCTGAATCAGTCGACATCGACATAGTTGGACCACTATGGAACGGTACAACTGAGGGATTAAATAGACATAAGGCCACATGGTAATAATATATAAACATAGAAAGTATTATGATTTAATGTTGAAAATCACATTCTGTTGTTTTTTTAATTATCATCATGGATAATGGAATCTGTATTGAGTATAAAGTGTATTCCTTATTATCGAAAGCAAGTTTGAAATTTTAGTATCATGACATCACTATTGTGGAGGAAATTACAGTGTTTCAAAAATCACAGCCTTTTGCATCCATTCAAATTGCAGTTTAATGTTGCATACGTAGTAAGTGCAACATTGAATTTTAGGACTATATAGTTTTGCTCAAATACTTTGGATTTTTTGTAGGAGCAAGCTGTGGAGCGGGAGCATGAAAGAGATGAGTTCCAACAAGAAATCAAAAAACTGGAAAATCAGCTTAGACAAACTTCTGGTACTGATAATAAAGGACTCAAGGTGAGATTTTATTTTCTATTATTTCTAATTGTGGGTAATATGCATTTTAACAAGAAAAAACTTGATTGAATAGAATCAAAATGACAACATAGAGACATAAGATTAATGTGTACCTGTTTCCTAATCACTGACTTTTTTTATTCCTGTGTTGAACGGATTGCTGTAGTTTGAAGACATGATTTTCCAGGTATGGCGACTAACTGTAGTTTACATCTGCTAGTTTATCTGCCTGGTGCATGCTGTGTCCCTCTTACCTCTAATGATCATCATCATTCATCATCTTCTGCTTGTTGCTCATTCATAGTCTCGCTTGGAGTAGCTGTAGTTGATAATCAGTGGCTGCAAATATAGCATGGCTTGGTGACCTAAGATCACAAAATTTTTGGTATTGTAACACTTTTCTTCTGTGTTGTTTTTGCAGGTGGAAAATCTCCAAGCTATAATCAAAGACAAAACTGAGGACCATGCCTCCCTGCTTGCAACCAACCAGCAATTTCAGCGTGATCTCGCAGAACGCAACGAAGAGATTGACAAACTGGCCGGTAGAATCAGGGAGCTGGAGCAGGCTTTGCTCAGTAGTGCAGAGACCAGCAGAACTGTGAACCAACTGGAACAAGAGCTCCACAGGGCCATGCTGAGAGAACAGGAGCTCACACAAGTAGGAGAATAAACCTCACACACATTGACATAATCAGAAAAATGGTTGTCATGTTGAATTTCCTCTCCCTGTGCCCTCTCACAGGATAAACAGGCCCTGGAGCAGCAGCAGCTGTCTCACAGACTCCAGATCTCTGCGCTGCAGTCCAAACTGGACGAGACCCGGCACAGTTACCTAAAGAACAACCACGAGCCCACACAGGAGCTGCGGGAGGCTCTGGACACAGCCCAGCAGAACCTCCACAGCAAGGAAGAAGAGGTCTGAACCAATTGCAAAACTTTAATTTTAGCATTTTATTTTATTTACTGTTTTATTTTATTTATTTAGTATTTTAGCAATTGTACAGCTTGGTGCATTTTCCAGCATGGGGAGACTAAAGTATTACCTTAACCTTAGGTGGAAATGCTGCTTGGCCAACTAGAGACTGTGCAGACGGACCTGGGCATCAAAGAGGTGGAGCTAAAGCACCTGACACTGCAGCTGGAGCTGATCACGACTCAGAACACGGCTCATGTTAACGAACTGCAAGAACAGATTACAGTTCTCAAGGTATTTTTTTCTATGTCAAGGTGGCCTTTTATTTTTAAAGCAATAGCATATATGTTAGACATGTTAAAACGATTTCAGAATGCTTGTGTGCATATAGCTAATTGCTTAAAAACTTTACTTTGCATGTCTTGTAGGAAAATGTGTCTGCACTCACTATACTCCAAGAGGAGAGGGAGGAAGAACCCAAGGACAAGGAGGCAGAGGAGGACACATTTCCCTCCGCTCTGCTCCTGGAGAAGAACTTGGAGATCGACCAGCTGCAAAATGAGATCCATAGACTGGAGCAGGAGCTGGAGCACAGTACTGAAAACAAGGTGACACAATATTATGGTGAAAGACGACATAATTAGCTACTATAGTGATTTAAAAAGTGTCAACTGCTGATGCTAAATGCCCATCTCCTTCGACTGTTAGGATTTGGAGTTGGAACAGCTTCACTCTCAAGTTGAAGACTTGCGCTCTCAAGTGGAACACCTCCAGTCCGAATCCCTCCGAATCCGCCACGACAAGCAGGAGGAAGTGGAACGCCTGCATGAAGTCATCAGCACCCTGCAGGCTGAGCTCGCTACGCTGGGCCCCAACCGCCATGAAGTCAGCGACTCTCAGGATGGAGACAGCATCAACCCCTCGCCCGCTCCCAGCCCCGAGCCACAGCACTACACCATCCAAGAACCAAAGACCAGACCCAGCAACCTCAAACAAGAGCTGGGAGTTAGCTATCCGGCATCGACGCGCTCTCTCCGATCTCGCCTCAAAACTCTCCAGAGTCAATTGGAAACGGCAGCAGCGGAGAAGGAAGGATTGGAGAGATTATTGCACACCCAAGAACAGGAGTACAGAGGGCACGGGGAGGAGTTTGCAAAGAGGTTGAAATCGCAGATGGAGAAGGTTGAGGAGCTTCAGAGCGAGTTAATTGGTAAAAACTGTGAATTGGAGCGACTTCAAATCCAACTGGAAGAGCAAGGAGAGAGGTTGAAAGCAATTGAAGATGAAATTGATGGTTATAAAACTCAAGATCAAACTGTCGATGTGCTTCGTAAAGAAATCGACCAGTTACATTGTTCCATTACAGAACTCCGAAGCAAAGATAAGGAGCGATTAGAAGAGATCGATAACCTAAGAGCAAAAGAAGAAGGGATGAAATTAGAAATGGGTGATATAAAAGAAAGCAGGATCACATTGGAGAGGAAGATTGAGGAGATGAAGGATGAACTAGTGCGTATGGAGGCTCTGGTCGCCGAGGAAAGGAGCAAAGTGGAATCGCTGGAAACCGCGACGGAAGAGCTCACGACGCAACGAGACTCACTGAGGAGCAGGGAGGCGGAGCTTCAGCAGGAGATCAAAAGGCTGAAACAAGAAGTGGCGGCGTTGAGAGGGCGTGTCCAGGAGTTGACGGATGAGTTCAGGCAGAAGGAGAGGAACCAGGAGGAGGAGCAGAAGGAGGTGCTGGTGAGTTTTTCTGTTTTTGCTTTACATTTTTAAATAAAGTTTGAAGCACTTACACAGCAATACTCAATACTACTTATTTTTTTTGTTATGACCTTAGCAAGTTTGCATGACACTGCCCCCTTTCCCCAATCTACAAGTTTTGAGTTATTTTATTAGTTAATAGTAGGGATAAACGATTTGAGAAAAATTTCTAAATTGTCACTTCATAGGTTTCATTCAGTTTTTCTTGCAAACTAATACCAGAATCACATTTCAGAACATCTAAACTAAATTAGGATTAGCTGTTTTTATGCTGAAATACACTAAATATTTTGTTGTTTGGTGGGGGAAAATTAAACTTACTTCAAAAATTGCAGCCTTTGCAATTTGAATGGATTCGAGTAGCAAATTGCAATTTCGATTCAATTGCGAATCATGTTATAGCCCTACTTAAGATTAGACAAGAATATAAGAATGTCAAAGCAAACTGAGGCATAGAAAGAAACTTGTTATTTATAGTATCCTTAATAATGTAGCATACCTTTCAAAAAATGTTTAATCCCATAGCTAGTATTTCAGGCTTATGAGTTTTAATCAAAGATAAAGGGGATTTTTTGTAAAGCGTTATGTTTTGAAAGCTATAGAGCTCTGGAATGATTTAACTATGCTTTCAGTTTTGTTGGTTTTAGTTTATATTTTGTCTATTTATACAGTAAGTCACAAGTGAAATTGTAAATGCAAACTTGCTGTGCATACGCCACTTTTCTTTTTTGGAATACTGTCATTGTTTAAAAGGGTTTGTCATCAGAAAATAGCATCATTTTACTTCTTCCTAAACACTTTCGGTCATGGTATATGGGTTTTTTTCTGTTTTGTTTTGTAGTGCTGTAAAATTACCAAATAAACTACTGCTACTATTATTACTACTAAACATGTTATTCTACTGTCTATTAATATCAAATTGCACATGTAAAGTATCCAACATGTATGGGGTACCAGCAAGGCCCTGGTCTGCCCTGCAAGTGGGCGGGATCACATCTGGATGTAGTTACAGCTGTACCACGTCATCGCTGCTGTTGCCTTTTAAACAGAACACTTACAAAGGAAGTGGTTTCAAAATGAGGAAGGAGAGCAAGGGGGTAGCGGATTTTTGTGTTTTTAGCCAGCCTCTCGACTTAGTGGGAATCTTTTGACTTTCTTGTGTGGGAGTGCAGGGTAAGCAGGAGATTAACGGTTTGCATAGCTCCGTGCGATGTAACTGCTGTTGTCGTTATGCAGATTAATGATCGAGTAGTGTTTAACTTTGCGTGTCTTACTAATGGACCTGTCTGTGTGGCTTCTTTCTTCCAGAGTCACGCTGAGCAGACTTTGGCCAAGGCAGATGCTGTGGTGAAAGAGAAGGAGGTGGAGCATCATGCGTTGTCCGAGGAGCTAAACACTGTGAAACAAAACCTCGAAGAATCCACAGAAAGAGCCGAAAATCTCCAAAGAGAGGCACAGGTGGCGATATATCAATACATTTTTTGATTGTTAAAGGGTCTGTACCTGATTTACATGAGTCGCGATTATGTTTAAGTTTGGGTGTTTAACTTTTCTGCCACTGGAATATCGCACCAAGACTCAGAAACAACTGTTTATATAGTGTCAGACAGTCGGTTCCTTTTATAGTTCTCCAATCTCTGTTATTATTTGCTTTTTGTTACTCGTGACAATGAACCATTACAGAGAATCAAGCATTTACGATAGTGTCAGGCAGTTGCATTTGTGCCGATTGGACAAACAAAGGTGTCCCTGTCAATAGATTCTGTATAAGTTATGTTAAGAAAATGCTATTTATAATGAATAGATTATTTTACTTTCTAATTTTTTTGCATAAGTAGCTGCATTTTCCAAACAATGCATGGTGTAAAGAGCATTTATCTTGACAATAATACATCAAAGCTGCATCATGTAACTTTTGTGGTGCAGGGTCTGTCAAATGCTTTTCTCTATGGTGATGCTATTGCTTTGTCTGGAATATTTCGCCTTATGGTATTAAACCTTCTTTCTATCTTCATGGAGACCAAACCAGACCAAGTTACATGTCAGATCTGTGGAGAGAAGACCCCGCTCATAGTCAAAATGCAATTTTTCTAGGTATTTTTGAGCAATAAAACTAGCTGTAATTGAGTAAATGTAAGGTAGAACTGTTTAATGTCATACTGTGGAACATTCCAGGCAGAGCAATGACGTATCCATAGAAACAAGCAGGTGACAGACCCTCAACCAAAAAGTTGCATACCGTTATTCACCTTTAAATTCGGGTACAGGCTCTTTACATAGTTTACATGAAGACTGAAGTGTTGAACTGGATTCTGTTGTTTTGTTAGCGTAAGGAGCAGGCTTTTGCTGACCTGGAGACCCATAACCAGCAGCTAAAGGCAGAGCTCCAGAGTCTGCAGGAGGATCTGGCTGCACAGGAAGAAGAACTAAATCTCCACCGCAGAGAACTCCAAACACTCCGACTGCGTTATCAGCATGACGTACCACCACATCAGCAATCACAAGGGTAGGAATGTGCTCTGGAATCACCACTTAAGGTGGTCAGTTCTGTTTTGGTTTTGTATAAACTGGATAAATGGCTTCCACAGTTTTAATAGAAGGATTTATTTGTGTAAATTGTTTAAGTGTGGCTACATCAGAGCTGTGCAGTCTTAAAAGCTAACTGCATAGTTTTGAAGTGTTCTAAACCAATCGAGTAGACACCACAGCCATTATCCAAACATTTTAATGTAAATTTTTTTGTCATTCATTTAGTGATCGTCAGATATGGAATTTTTTCAGTCAATACCTATATTTTTCTTGCTGTTGTGGCAGATAACTGATATGTGCTAATATAGATATTGTTCTTTTAAAATCATACCAAGGACAAAATGTCCTCAGTCTGTTCAAAAAAACAAATCTTATATGTGATAAATTTTCAATATCAGACTGATGCTGATATCTGGGGAAATCCTATGTTATCAGATAACTAATAAACCATCCGTAAATTGAGCGACTTCCACTTTTGTATACTGTACCTGTGAAATAGGAAGAGGGCGACAGGTAGCTCAGTTATTAGCATTTGTCCTCTGATCTCAAGGTTGGCAGTTCATATCCCTCTTTTGACATAAATATCACTTGTTGAGCAGTCAGATCCACTGACCTACAGGTTGGCGCCGCAATTCCATCTCACACAGATGAATACTTTTTTTTGTCAATAGGCAAGACACTTAACCCACCTCGCCCTCAGTGTCTGCGTACAGAAATGAGACCATGGTTGACCAAATTTAGATTTAAGTTTGATGTTTTTTTATTTTAGAAATCAAGAGTAAAAAAAACACCACTCAACTTTTAGTATCAAATCACTTGAAAGTACTAAATTTAGAATCTCATCTCTCCAGATTCTTCCCACACTCTCTTTGAGGAGGTGATCTCGTCCTCTCACGGCGATGCGTCCCTGAGCTCTCCTGAGGTTCTGAGGAGGCTGGAGTGTTCTTCAGAGAGGTTCCCCAAGCAGCTCCACTCCTCAGTGCTCGAGTCCCGTCTGTCCGAGCTAAGCGCCCTCAACACCTCCGCTCTGGACCTGCCCCCGGCCAAAGCCTCCCCCATGATCCTCATGGAGCCAGCACACTCCAGGACCATCACCCCTGAGCCAGTGTCTCGCAGCAGCCACTCTCCAGTCTCAGGCTCCAACTACTCCACTATGGACTCTCTGGACACGGACAAGGTACCCACATCATGAGTATTTTGTTATGGGTATTAAATTAGACCAGTGTTTCTCTAACTGTGGTATGCAAGCTTCTTCAGGTGGTACAGATCTTCAGTATGTGGGTTTGGCCAATTTAGCGTTCAATTAATCTACTTTAAGACCTGATTCAGACCTAGATTAGACCTGGAATAGTCCTGTCCTGCACTTGATTTAGCTCTCGTGGTACTCAGACAGCCAAATATTTTCTTTGGTTGTACTTGGTGTGAAATGTTTGAGAGCCAGTGCTTTAGACGATTTGAAGGTCCTATATTATATAAAATGGATTCTTATCAGCTATAATCCATCTTTTAATGTTGTTATCTCATCAAGTTTGGAGATGTAGAAACACTAATAACAGGATTACTCAAACCTCAATGCTCTTTTCCCCCCTGTGGTGTGTCATAGTGGTAGTTTTCAATCTAATGTCTATGTTTTACCTTTGGATAATTTCAGCCCTGGAATTGCTTCTACAGAACCAAATGATTTAAGTGGCAGCGTTTGGGGTTTTCTGTTTGAGAGAAGAATTAAGCCTAAAAAAGCAGGGTTTGTGTGTTAAACATGTGTGAATGAAACAAAACAAAACTCCAGGTACGTTTTTGATGAAGAAACAGCATAACGTAAATCAGAAAATGGTGTAATATTAGGCCCTTTAAATAAGTACACTAGCCGACTTTAAAAACTATCAGTAAAGTATAGTTTGTATGGATCTTTAAGTCTGATCTTCTAATGCTGATAGATTGATCTGTTTGAATGAATTATAAACAGAAATCCTTTTAAAGTCTTGCTGCTGCATATTGTGACATTTACAATGATATCACCATTATATTGAATTTGACACTGTGATTGACATTGTGGCTGTTGTTTTCACATCAGTATCTTTGCTGTGTCACTGATTCATGTGTAAAATTAATTGGGGAAATATTTTTTATTCTTTGAAGTTGCCCAAAATCAGTTCCCCTGAAACCTTGTTTTATGAAATGTTTTTCTTCTCCCAGGTGCAAGAGTTAGAAGAACTAGATGCCACAACAGCATCCTCTCCATTGGGTTCCACCTCTTCCCTGTCTGCTCCAGAGTGGGCCAGCGATGGATATGGAAGCAGTGAGTATACCACAGTTTGAGTTTAAATGGATGTATTTGTATTGTCATGAATAAATTTATGGTAGCTGACAAAAAGGTTTTCTTCAATTAATCCAAAACACATTTTCTTCTGAAGAAAATGTGTTAATGTTTATAAACCATTGGATCAGCACTTTAGGTGTATTTAGTACAACAATCAGGGCGCTTACATGTTGTTGTGTCCTCAGACGTGAGCTCAGATCTGGGGGCTCGTCTCAGAGCAGAGCTGGAGCATACAGAGAGGCTGGACGCTCAGTTTGTGGAGTATCTCCGCTGCAGAGGCATCAACCCCACAGCCAACACAGACAGTGCAGCCGGGAGCATGAGCTTCAGTGAGGAGCTGCTGTCTCCAGAATTACAAGTAAGATACACGTTTACTAATTAGATAAAGTAATAGCACAGATACAGTGACAAACCTTTGTAAAAATAGAAGTGTCCTCTGTTGAATAATATAATTTCATTGACATCCACACACAGCCCACTGTCTGATCTGTCAGGATTTATTGATTTTAGTGTGACTCTGCAAAAACCTCAGATTACATTAGAGCAGAAATAGTCATGCAGACGGTTTCAGGCGGAACTAGCTTTTTATGCCTGATTCAATCATTTATTGTGATTATCAAAAGTTAGGAGATTATAAGAGCTCAGAACTGATTATGTCAAATATCAGAATACTAAAATAATTCTTTTAACTTTATTAAATTTTATTTTTTTTCTCTAGGCACTGTTGAGGAAGGTGTACCAGGAGAGCTGTAGAATCCTCACTCTGTCCCAGCGCCGTGTCCCTGCTCGTCCTCCTGGTTCAGAGGTGAAGTCCCTGTCCCCCGGCCCCCCACAGCAGCGCTCTGTGGATGGCTCCTCTCACCACGATGAGCCCCTCCCTCCCATGAGCTGGCAGCAAGAGAAGAGGGCCCTGCAGGAAACGGTCATCGCTCTGAGGGAGCTGCTCTGTCGAATGGCCCAAAAGCACAATGTGAGTGTACAGCTGGTCATATTTCATTACAATAATATTTTTGTCTTCTATTGTGTACTAAGATGTGTAATAATAAATGTTTGTTGGTGTAGGCTGACGGAGGTCCACTCCCAGATGGACACATGGAGCTCCAGTTGAGAGCAGAGCTGGAGGAGAGGCAGAAGGAAGTTCATCGAGCCCACAACATCCAGCAGGAGCAGAAGAACAAGATACAGACTCTCAGGTAACTCAGGATCCAAATTGGTCTGCACTTTTGAAGTTTTTTATAATGATATCTTGTAGTGGTTTAATGAAAAAGCATAAAAACTTCAATGCCAAGTTTTAATAGAACAATTTAAACCAGGTGGGATATTTATTATTATGCCCTCTGGTGGTGCAGAAATGTATTACAAGTAGTGATGGGAGATTCAGTCAAAAATGTTGATTTCTTTGACCATTTTTGAGGAGGATATTCAAAAGACATTATGGCACTCCTGTTGGAAATGTGCTAAAATGTGCATAAATGTATCCGGTGTAAGTATATGGGCTCTGTAATCACTGTACAAACTCGCATTCCAACTGGATGACAAAAATGGTGCAAGTTTTTTAGGTTAAGTTCGTGCACCCAAGATGTTAAAAACCACTACATAAATAAGATACATACATTTCAGACAAGATTTACATGCAGACTAAAATCTGATTATTATTTTCTGATTTCTGGGCTTTTAAGATGATTTAAATGATGTGCAAACTGTAAAATCTGATGTGAGTAACCAGAGGGACCATGATCAGAAATAAATCAAATGATTTTGCTGTGAGAATTTTGAGTGCAAATGTGGGGGAAAACACCCCACAAAAAAACAAGAAGTACCAGTTTATTTTCTTCAGTCATGACTCATGTACTTAATAGACTGTTACAAACATTTCACGTAAAACTAAGACTAAAGGGGTTTAAACTGAAGTGAATCAATGGGATCAATCTAAATCCCTTTGACCTAACTTGGCCTATACTAATCCAGCAGTGTTAATCTACTCTATCCTGCTTCGATGTATAAATAAGTTTGTCTTTTCTTTTTAGGAGCACCATTGAAGAAAGTGAGGATGCCTTACGAAGGGAAAGAAGCAAAGTCCAAATGCTTCAACAGGAGCTGGAGCAGGAGAGAACACGCAGCCTCCGCAAAGACATCGAGGAAGGGGAGAGGAGAGAGGTGAGGAAACGCAGCCTACGCCTTATATCAGTTTCATAGGCTAATGGATCGAGAATGTAAACAACGTCAACTTGATACGATCGTGTCTTTAAAAAAAAAAAAAACTTGCGTCATCCCCACAGGCTGAACATGTATCGTCTGAACAGCAGAGGGCAGAGGTCATGGCCCTGCGAGGTCAAGTGGAGCAGGAGAGCGTGGCCTGCAGTAACCTTAGACGTGAACTTCAGATCGAACAGTCCCGCAGCCTGGTACTGGAGAAGCACCTCGAGGACCTCCAACGTGAACTGGAGAAAGCCCACCAGCAGTCTGCGCACCTGCAAGATGTTTCCTCACAAAAGAACCAGCTAGAACAGCTCCTGAACCAAGCCGAAACGCGCTTAGCTGAAAGTCACGGCAAATTCGACGAAGAGAGGAGCCGCTTTTCAAAACAGGTGGAAGAACTCAACCAGAGACATGAAACGGATGCGGCGCGTGACCGGAAGTTCATGTCTGATCTCCGCGCGCAACTGGAGCAGGAGAGGCGGAGGAGCGAGGAGCTGGCGTCGACGGCGGAGCGGCTCCGAGCGGAACTTCTGCAGAGTCGGAGGAGATGGGAGGAGGAGGAGAGGAGCATCAGGGAGGAGATGCACAGGGATCGGGAGGCGCTGGTCAGGCAGAAGGTTGCATTGGAGAGCCTGAAGGAGCAGAAGCAGGACGCGTGCAGAGAGCTGGAGGCCGAGAAGAGCCTGTCCAAGCGTCAGGGTGCGGAGATAGCGGAGATGAAGGAGAAGATGCAACTGATGAAGAGCAAGGAGAGGGAAAGGGAGGAGCAGTGGGAGAAGGAGAGGAGGAGGGGCAGGCAGGAGCAGGCCGAGAGAGAGAAGAGACAACAGAGCACCTACAGTAAACTGGTAAGTCTGGCATATTTGAATTGTACTGGAAGAAAATATATCTTCATCAGAGAAAGATTCATGGATTCAGAATGTCATCCCTCATTTATTTAGTTCTGTTTCATTGAAAAATTTATTCTATCAAGTGGCAAAACTAGTTTACTTTTATTCAGTTGACAGAAACGTTCCTTTAAATTTTCCTTTTCAGTGAATTCAGAATATTACTTTGAATTTTTAGTTATCTACATAGTGCAAAATGATTTCTTTATTCTTCTGAGGGGGTTTGTCACCTGCCCTGTCTCATGGAAATATTTGCTTTTATTGCTTTGCCTGAAATGTTCCGCAGTATGACATTAAACCTAACCTATTTCCATGGACACGAGGTTCAGGAGTCAGGCTGGGAATCATTAAGAACTAGGGATGTAACAATAACTGAAATATCGTGATGTCGTATCGCCAGTGTTCTCACAATTATATCGTGGACCATCACAATATATTGAATTACAAGTCTCTTTGCTTAAGTTAAGAGTTATGGTGCAGCAGTAGCTAAAAAAGACAGAAGAAACTACATAGACCATGATCCTTTGCTCCATTTCAGTGTAGACTACAAGAAGAAATAATCCAAAGAACTAAGACTTAAAAGTGCTTACAACTGTTAAGTCTTGTCAAGGCATTTTAAGAGGAAAAAGAAGCATATTAACAGTTTTGTAGCCTCCACAAAATATCGCAATATCATACCGTGAGATGTATATCATGACTAAACTTGTCAGAACTACCCAAATCAAGATAACATTCTGAATTCAAGTACTTCTCACTAATATGAACATTATTTATGCCTGTGGACACGATGTATCTTTTGGCGGATTTCTCTCAAAATCATATTCTCCATTTCAGTGTGAGTTGGAGTCGTTGAGGCAGCAGGACCAGCAGCGTCTGAAGGAGTTACAGCACACTTTAGCCGAGCTGGAGCGTGAGGAGAGGGAGATGGTCCGACAGAGGCTGAGTGGACGGCAACACAAAGTCCACATCGACGGCCCCAAGTTACCCGCCCATGCCCAACACAACCAGCAGGTAGGACTGTGTGTGGGGTCAACAATCTATGGACTATGGTTTAGTTTAATCTTGAGGTGGAGAACAGCCAGGAATTCTATGACTTAAAATCTCTGTCTTAAGATTCTACCAGACTTACCCTGGTCTAATACCTATTACTTGACCTTTCCAATAAAGACTCACACAAAAATAATTTTCTCTGTCAACACAAAATTTACTTTTAAATGTTCAGATTTAACTGCCTCGAAACAAAAACAAAAGAATCAGTTTAAATATTTGAAATGGATAGTCACACCTGAGTTGAAATTTCAATATTATCAATCATCTAGTGGAGGGGTATTCAACATTTTTCAGGCCAGGGACCCCCAAACTGATGGAGAGCTCGAGCAGGGACCCCCTACTATATATATATCTATCTCTCTCTCTCTCTCTCTCACACTCTCTCACTCTCTCACTCTCTCTACTCTATATTTCTCTTTATATATATTATATATATATGGCATTAAATTGGGCCTAGTATCACATATAAACATAGCTACTCTGTTAATGTACATTCAATACTAGGGGGGTATTCCATCAAAGTGGTTTACCTAGTCCAGGCTTATCCTAAAATCCTGAGCTGAAACCAGCTCCATGTCCAGTTTAAGCCTCAACTTATTCCATGACAGAAATGAGCCAGGCTCTGTACCTAATTTTGGTTCAGTTTTCAACTACGAGGTTATTGCAGTGGTCCAAAGTTATTCCACATCTTTCGAGTGAGCATTCTAATTATTCACCACGAAATGGAGTAAAGTGTAGTTTTCCCATCATTGTAATTCTAACAACTAAACAACTAGCATGCTAACAGTGCATGTCCTAGGAGAATAAAACACTTTGGAATTCAATACGAGGACATGCACACAGCAGTCACATCTGACTGAAAGAGCTGATTTTACAATATGTCTTTAGTGGGGCAAGAGAAATGTTTATAACTCTGGTGCAGCCCCTTTTAATTTGACCCATTTTCTTTTGTTCAAGGTGTCCCCGGGTCTGTCTTTGTCCCACACGGAGAAGCTGTCTAAAGAGAACAGTGAGCTGAAGGAGCAGCTCACAGTGCAGAGTCAGGAGAGAGCGTCCCTCAAACAGAAGATCAGCTCTTTGAGTCAGCAGCTGCGACGCACAGAGACTGAGCTCCAGCAGGCCACGTCCGAAACTGAGAACAGATCTGCCCATGACAGCACCACGCACTACAAGGTCAGGATCGGACACAAGATTCTACTGAAATACTTTTTTTTTAATTCAAATGTTTATTGAGTTTTCTTTGTAATTACTGAATTTTCTTATATTAAACAACCAACAAACAGAATTAATATAAACACACTATGCACATTACACTCATTTGCAGACATGTACAAACAAAAACTCTCCTATTGCTTAGTCACTTCAAGACTGGCAAATATATACTACATAATTAATAGTGTATTACTAAATTATACTTGAGGTGACTGTGAGACCATGGGACAAAAGAGCATTATTTAATTATAGATATTATATGACTTATTAAATATTCAAATCTGCTGTTCCGGTTGTGCTTTGCCTTATTAAAAAACTCTGTGTATATGACAGAAGAAGAATTATAACAATAACATTTCCCTTCATATTATAGAGTCACTTTTTATGATTTTTTTCATATTATAACAAATAAATATGGCTTTTAGTTTTAATTTTAGGAGTATAAAAGATTAGTGATCAGTGTCATTTAACACAAAAAAATCCTTCCTATTAAACTATCCCAAGCATTTCTTTTACAGCTCAAAATCCCGAACTCTACTGCATCAAACTTACATTATTTACGTAGCCCTGAATGTGAGAACTGCACTAATCATGTTTAGTTGTCGAGTTGTCTAGTTGTTCCATCGCCCTTGAACTCAAATCAAATATTTTAGTGACCAATTCTGTTCCATTCTCACTTGTGTGTCCTGTTCTTCCTCCAGCTGCAGCGTCTGTACGAGCGTTACCTGCGTGCAGAGAGCTTCAGAAAAGCCCTGGTGTATCAGAAGCGTTACCTGCTGCTGCTCATCGGAGGTTTTCAGCAGTGTGAGCAGGCCACGCTGTCTCTCATCGCCACCATGGGAGTGAGACCCTCGCCCTTCCCCGCCCGCCCTCAGCGCGGGAAGGCCCGCTTCAGAGTGGTCGTAGGGGTGGTCATCGCCATCTCGAGGTAACAAATACAGACCATTCCAGTAACTATATATCAGTGACTTGCACAGATTTAAGAAATGTTTCATTTTATGTTTTTGTATAAAAATAAGGCAATTAAGGCTCATATTTAGGACACATTCATCTGAAAAATGGATAGTTCGGTTTAAATTCCTTGGTCAATTTAGGGTGGCCAAAAGTCTCTTGTGTTAACATGCAACTTTTCTCTGCTCCAGAATGAAGTTTTTGACTAGAAAATGGCAGAAAGCGATTCGAAGGGTCTCTCTTTCTGGGTCCATCCACATCCACGGTCCGGCTTCAGGTGAGTGTTCAGTATTCATTGCTGTACTCTTTTCTGAATATGTTAAACTTGACTATGGTGCTCTTTTCTGAACATGTGCTCATTTCCTTCATCTTCCAGGTTCTAAAACTGAGGTCCTCAGACCACAACAGCCAAATTTTGAATCTACTCCATTTCAACAAAATGTAACTTCCTTTGTTTCGTCCAACAAAGCGTCCTTTAGGCTCCACAGCAGGTTTGCACACTTCACATAATCTGTCTGAAATTTGAAACCACAAAATGTGTTTTATGCATTTATAAATATTTTGTTTACACTTCTGTAGGTCGCAGTCCAGTTCTACCCTGGCGTCTGTGCAGACTGGAGCTACGTCCCAGGACCCAGAGAGATCTCTCACAGAATATATCCAACATTTGGAGAAGGTCCAGCACCGGTTGGCAGGAGTCAGGCAAGGTGGGTAATACAATACAAAGATTTTCCTTTTTGTCATCTAGTAAATAACAAGAGTTGTAAATGTTTGAACACTTTTATTAAAAAAATAAACTCAAGTAGATGGATTTTAGTACTCATCTCTGTTCATAGTGTAATTTTCTTTTTTAAATGTGTTTCGTGAACTGCATGTTCTTTTTTGTTTTTTTATAGAAGGATTAGAGTGTATTCAAAATTGAATAATTTGAAATTAGTCCACTCTTGTACCAGGCTTTACACCAAACTACACTGTTATTTTGATGCAACCATTTACATGTTATTTTGTCCAAGTTTTCTGCCATCACTAACCTTTAAACTCTTGTCTCGTCAGGTTCTCCTGGCCTCCAGCCAGACCCAAAGAAGTCCGAGCGCTAAAACATGAATGTCTTTTGTCTGCACAATTTTAAACGTCCATGCCTTAAACTGAAGTATATTGAAGATATGTTTTTATAAGCACATAATTTATTTTTAAATACTGTGTTTTTATACCGTCTAAACTTCAGTATTATCTGCAAATATTGTTTTTAAAGGTACTGTTTGACGTTTTTATAACTTTTTTTATACTACTGAAATGACATGTGCACTAATCCCCTCTGGACATTATGCCTTATGTCTGTTCAATGAAGGGACATTATCACAATATTTACTCCATATGTTTTTGTAATACACTTGTATATTTGTGTATAATATGTTTTAATAAATATACATGATAATGCTGTGTGTAATGTATCATTGGACAAATTCGCCAGCTGTTTTCCTGTTAAAAAGTGGACGTTAGCTCATTGGTTTGTTAATTTGTGCCCTTAATGGTTTGCTGCAGCATAAGTGAATAGTACTAAGTTACATTTATTCACTTGCATTTACTTGATTAACTTGTATGGTGTCCAAAAATACTAATAATAATTTGGAACAGTACTTTTCTTTGATTACTCTTCCCACTCAAGCCTACAAGTGACAAAAACTTTGTTGACAATATGAAATAATTTGAACATTTGTATCTTCAGATATGATTTAGTATTTCATTTATTTTTTTCTGTCAATCTTTTAAAACGACCAGATTTTCCAATTACTTTTATTGTTATTAATTAATGTTACGTCTTGACAGTTACTTTTAATTACTACTTGTAGTTTCCCCAAGTACATATATATATATTTTTACTCTTGAGTAATTTCTTGGACCACTACTTTGTACTTATGTAATATTCTGAAGCAGCATTACTCTTGCTTAAGCAGTTTGTGGCTACTCTATCCATCTTTGCTGATCAAATGTCCCATTCGACTACTGTCTCAACTTAAAAGAGAGCTGAGGGCTTCTGGGGTGAAGGATGAAATGTGAACCTCCCATAACTGAAGGCACTCAAAAGAAAATATGTTGTGGCTTCCAAAATGTGGGTCACAGGCAGTTAAGTTATGTAGAGATTTAAATAACGGCTTTTAAAATGCAAAATATACTTACACTATTTGAGCAAACATGTACAGAACTGATACAACACCATGTGTAATAATTACTCTGGTGAATTAGATTAGGGTAATTCATTTTTGTGGATGAGTGGTTTGAGTGTTAGGATGGTAAAAAGTGGCCAGTTCAAACCTTAAAACACCTGTACACTCTGATGTTGTGTCCCTGGGCAAGACACTTCAGCTACTTGGTCAATATTTTAGCCACAATGTCAGTTTTCAGACTCTGATTGCTGTGATAATTACATGTAATACACATCTATTGATTTGGATCTATTTGGTATTGGAGGGGGGAAAAAATTAAGTTTCATGTTTGTATACCACACTACACACACGATTTAAAACCATAAATAAACAAATTAAATCACACATCACTTACTGTTTAACAACTTGATCTCAGGCAAACAAAACCAACCTAAAACTCACAGAATCACTATACAAACAGACAAGAAAGATATTAGACAAAAAACACTGCAATATTTTAAAAAAGCACAACTTGTTAAGCTGGAAAAACCTCATCTCGTTTACAAAATCATCCATGGCCAGTCATTTACAGAAATGTTAATTAATGTACACTGTCCCTGCTAAATAAACCAACTAAAATACATTTTAAAAAATTAAAAATAAATAAATAAATCCCTGCCAAGAGCAAAGAAAGGCATAAAATGTGATCTGTTCAGGTAAAATACAGAAAAGCTGCTTAAAAACGACCAAAACACAAAGAAAATGTGACTGTACTGGCTCACATATTTGTCAACAATTTATTTCTCATTTACAAAATCATCCATGGCCAGTTATTTACAGAAATGTTGATTCAGGTACACTGTCCCTGCTAAATAAACTAAATAAAACACATTAAATAAATAAATAAATCCCTGCCGAGAGCAAACAAAGGCATAAAATGTGATCTGTTTAGGTAAAATACAGAAAAGCTGCTTAAAAACGACCAAAACAATGTGAAAACAAATAAAAATTAAAATAAAATAAAATAAATGTGACTGTACTGGCTCACATGTTTCTCATGAATGGTCTCTGTATAACAATTTATTTCTCATTTACAAAATCATTCATGGCCAGTTATTTACAGAAATGTTGATTAATGTACACTGTCCCTGCTAAATAAAACAAAAAACAAAACAAAAAACACATTAAATAAATAAATAAATGGCAGAGATGCACACGAAATGTATTAAAATAACGCATCAATTGTATTTATAATATTTAATGTGCTTTGGTGAGCTTACGCTGCTTTATTTACACCTATATTTACTTTTCACGTTATATAACCGACGCTGCAAAATAACTGTCCCTGTGGCGCCCTTTAACCTGTCTGCTGTGCGTTTGTTTTCCTCACCTACACAACGCTTCTCTTTAACCCCAACGTATTTACCACGACGCCGCACAAGCCTAATACGCCAAAACAAGCGCTCCTCTACCCCATGACGCACAAGCACGTCAGTCCGGAGGCTAATGCTAAGCTAACGCGCCACTGACAGTACGTGTCGCAGCTCGCGTTTCTTCCCGAATTTGTCGTCCTGGCCCGCGTCCACCCGCTTGATCCCGTGTTCTGGTTCTTGTCTGGGATGTATGGATGGATAGTTGACGGCATCTCATCGCTGTTTGAGCCCCTCGCTGGGCAGAAGTTGACCGAGTGTCCGGCGGAGGAGAGCGGCCGGAGCGGGAGCAGCGTGCGCGGGGGGAGCAGCGGCAGAGCGGCTAAACGGAGCTACCACAGGTTTGAATCACGCTCCTGACAATAAACTCACATATTCTTAGATTTTTGGGGTTATGTGGGGTGACCACACGTCCCTATTTACCCGGGACGGTCCCAGTTTTGATCCATGTGATCCCTGTCCCATCAGATTGATCCAAAACTACAGATTTGTCCCAGTTTTATACAAAAAATCTCTCACGTGTCCCTATTTTAGACCAATTTTATACCTGTAAACAATAAAGAAAGGCATACATTGTCATCTGTTTGGGTAAAATACAGAAAATCAGCTTGAAAACGACCAAAACACAAAGAAAATGTGATTATACAGACTCACGTGTTCGTCATGAATGGTCTCTGCAGAACGATTTTACTACAATTTTATTATTATAAACCACCAAAAAACAGGGATATCTCAGTTTTTGTTTTTTTATTTTGAAATTCTGGTCACCCTATGCAAATATAATGTCAGATCGAGTAGTGAGAAAGCTGTGAATATTGATGTTTGTCTCGTATCGTCTTCCAGTCAATTCTCCACGTTGTTGTCATTACCACTATTGGGAAATACAATAGATCATGTGTATAGAATAGGGTAACCAGACGTCCCTATTTACCCTGGACAGTCTCAGTTTTGAGCCCTGTGTCCCCTGTCCCAGCAGATTTATCCAAAACTACGAATTTGTCCCAGTTTTATACAAGAAATCTCCAACGTGTCCCTATTTTTGACCAATCTGATCCCTGCCAACAGCAAAGAAAGGCATAAATTGTCATCTGTTTAAGTAAAATACAGAGAAACTGCTTAAAAACGACCAAAACACAAAGAAAATGTGACTATACAGACTCACGTGTTCGTCATGAATGGTCTCTGCATAACAATTTTACTTAAATACGCTCTCGTTTCACAATTTTATTATTACAAACCACCAAAAAGATCAATAGATCATGTGTATAGAATAGGGTGACTGGACGTCCCTATTTACCTGGGACAGTCCCAGTTTTGAGCCCTGTGTCCCCTGTCCCAGCAGATTTATCCAAAACCAGCCATTTTTCACAATTTGTATACAAGAAATGTCAAGAAATGCCTCAAGAAATGTCCCACGTGTCCCTATTTGACCTATTTAACCAATTTGATCTAAACCAGGACTAAACTAAGATTAAACCAAGACTACATCAAGTCTAAACCAGGACTAAAACAGGACAATCACCATTTTTGACTCATCTGATCCCTGCCAACTCCCTTGTTTAGCCAAAAAACAGAAATCCATTGTTTATGACAATAAAGCAAAAAATGCAACATTCAAAAAAATTCTAAACTGCGACACACCCGATGGTTGAGGTGGTTGGTATAAATAAATTGTAAATAAATTGTGAAAAGAGTGTGTAACATTGTGCATTCTTGTGTCGGTCATAATCTGGGGGAGTTGTTCTGTTGCTGCATTTTTTTGCTTCTTTGTCATAACAAACACGGTTTTCTGTATTTGGGTTAAACAAGTTACAATCTATGCTCCTGTTTACTGTTGGCAGGGATCAGATTAGTCAAAAAATGTGATTGTTCTTTTTTTTTTTTTTTTTTTTTTTTTTGTCCTTGAGTTGATTTAGTCCTGGTTTAGCCTTCGTTTAATTGTAGTTTAGACCTGGTTTAGATCAAATTGGTCAAAAATTGGGACACTTCTTGTATAAGACTGAGACAAATCACTGGTTCTGTGTAAATCTGCAGGGATGGGAGACACTGGGCTCAAAATCGGGACTGTCCTGGGTAAATAACAGGGTTCCCACGGTCATGGAAATCCTGGAAAAGTCATGGAATTTTAGTATCTCTTTTACACAACTACAGCGTTCTGTTAAGTTCTCATTAGACTGTTATGATTATTTCCAAACGTATGTGCCTTTTGTTTAAAAGAGATGACAATAAATGCACTGACAGTATTTTGAATGTTAAATAACTTTAAAACCAAACCATAGTGAATGGAAGAGGTTAACATTTCATATTTAACCCTAAAAGTATGATAAGTTATACACATGTAGTGCTGTAAAATCATGGAAAACTCACTTTAGGTCATGAAAAAGTCATGTAAATGTTTTGAAATTTTGTCAGTGAAAAAGAATGGGAACTGTGAATAGGGACGCCTGGTCACTCTAAACGAGCTTAAATGGACAATGACCATGACCTATTGACCATGAAAATCTTTGGGAAATGTAGCTCCTGATCTCTCCTATTTTGGAAGTTTATCCCTGAAATAGTCCTGATCTAGAATAGTTTTTAGTTTTGGTACCTGAGTTAGATTCTGGATTTTCCCCAGTTTAAACTTGGTTTAGTTTATAGAGATGATTCTTGTAAAGATAATTACGGGAATGTAACCTCTATCCAATTGCACAGCATTTCTCACCATTAATTAGGAGCACTCTGTAACTTTTCTGGTGAAGGGTCCATCACCTGCTTGTCTGAGATGTTACGGCCTCACCTGAAATGTTCCACACTATGGCATTACACTTTTTAAACTAGCACTGATTTAAATAAGTTGTTTTTTATTGTTAAAAAACTAAATTCTTGCTGTGAGTGGTGTCGCCTCCGCACAGATCTGCTTTGTAAAGACGCCTACTTGTATGCCACCTACTTGTCTCCATGGAGATTGATCAGTTTAATGCCATACTGTGGAACTTCTAGACAAAACTATGACATCTCACTAAAGACAATCAGGCGGCTCTTCCTTCACATGAAAAGTTTTGTAGACCAGTGTCACCATCTATAATAAATAATAACATGCACATCTGATTTTCTGTCTACAGCATCGACATAAATGAAAGCGTTTACAAAAGTGAGGTGGAGGTCAAGCGACGGAAGCGAGGTAACTTCTGGTTGTTTATGTCTAATAATTGTCTCTCTGGTTTCTGTAACTGTTCCATAAAACATTTTGCTCTATGCGTTTCTTTTCCAGATGTAGTCCTCAGCTTCGTCAAGAAGACCGTAGCTGGAGTAGCAGGTCTCCTTAGGTTACGGAGACCAGTAAAGAGTGACTACCAACACTCCCATTATGAAGACACTCAGGTAGGCTTCTCCAAAATGTACTTGTACTTGGTTTTGTGCTTTTATTTTTTTATAGTAAATGCCCATCTGCTGCCTCCATGGAGATTGTATTGCTTTGCTGGGAATGTAGATCCCTTGGCATTATCCACCTTGCATCTGATCAAGTAACAGTCTGTATGAACATGCCTCATGTGAAAGCTCAGAACCTCCAGAATTCCGTCCCTGAGCTACAGAGGCTGCACTAGCACTGATTCATGACCGGCTGCAGGTGCTGGGCTTTAGGTAGAGACTATTCAGCTCAGAGAATACAACTGTATTTCAGCTTTAAAACCATAGAAATATAATAAAATCTGCAGGTGAACCCAAGATGGCATCGTATTGTTGTCAGCGGCCTGTGCTCATTGGCGCATGGGCCCAAAAAGATTTTTCTTTTGCATTTACTTCCTGAGTACGGGCATTTTGACCATCCTGTCCCAATGTTTTTGTAATTAAATTGCCATTGGCAGGTTTGACTTTTAATTTGACTAAAACACACCTAAGATCATTATATTTAAGACTTTGCTGTTTTGCAAGCATAAAATGTGCTGAAGTTTTTGATAAAATTGTCCCAAGTGTGACGTCATCCATATAGAACTCTTTAAAATAGAAACAATTTAAAATCAAAGTATTACATAAACATAAATGAAAAGTTTATGTTATTTTTATTTTACATTCAAGTTGTGGCAAAAAGGTGAAATTTCAGTCCATTTCTTTGCAATACAATTAACTTTTGTACCACCATCTTGTTCTTGTACCTCCTTACCTGTTGTCACGTTGTCCTGTTGTTCTGACATGTTGCTGTGCTGTTGCAGCTTGTTACCCCGATGGGGATAGATGAGCTCCACACCTCCTGCATTACCAAGTCCGACTGGATAATGGGTAAGATGACTCCATTTAAGCCCCTGGGATTTTAGTTGTGATTTGTTTGTGTATTTATTCGTTGTGATTTTGTCATCACAGATAAACCAGGTGGAGCCAAGAATCCCTTCAAAACCTCCTCTCCTCCTTTGATGAGGAAGCATGGGTAAGTGGAAATTATACTTATTTTATATATATTTTTTGCGGTATTGTCAGAAAATTGTGGGCTTTTGACTCAAACTTTCACAAATAAGTAATTGTCTTTAGTTCAATTTAACATAGCATATTTTTATCAATTCACATCCACAATCTAAAGCTATTTGATTGTTACAAAAATGTGCAACAGCCAGTCAAGTACACCACCTGCTTTATGTAGTTATTAGAAAGAATTTAACAATTGTAAAGAATACTATTTAGACAAGAAAATATCCGTCACGGGTTCGTACAGAACAGCAAGCCAGTACCGGGGTTTAAAGGTTTAACATAGCCAAAAACAGTACTCATGAGTCATGAACATAAAGCAAATTATAAATCAACATAATAAAAATTACTTAAATAACCCCCATATGGCTTTACTTTATTAACTGATAAACAGAATAAATGCACAAATGATCAACAATGGTCGAGTCCATGGTCACGTGACTTCTTTTAGAGCCACGGACCCCAACATTTGTGCCACGGACTGGTTTTATGTCATGGTTAAATCCCGTTTTAGTCCTGGCTTAGTCATGGTTTAGACCTGGTTTAGTCCTGGTTTAGACCTGCTTTTGTCCTGGTTAAATCCTGGTTTAGTCCCGATTTTAGACCTGGTTTAAATCTGGTTTAGACCTGGTTCAGTCCTGGTTAAATCCTTTTTTAGTCCTGGCTTAGTCCTGGTTTTAGACCTGGTTTAGGCCTCGTTAAATCCTGTTTTAGTCCAGTTTTAGTCCGGTTTTAGACCTGGTTTTAGACCTGGTTTTAGACCTGGTTTTAGACTTGGTCTAGTCTCGGTTTAGTCCTGGTTTTAGACTTGGTTTAGTCCTGGTTTTGTCCTGGTTTAGTCCTGGTTTAGTCCTGGTTTTAGAGACATGGCCCGCGCAGGGGAAGGTACGGTCCACGCGGTGCAGGGGCATATGGAAGGGGGGGGGTTTGCACTTTTGTAGCCTGGTACCAACACTTGGCCCAGGGTTTGGGGGCCCTGCTTTAGAGCGCTATCGAGCGCTGTTTATGGCATGACCAGGAAGTGCTCCAGTTTTGCCCGTGAATCAGAGAGAGGCCTGGAAAACTGAGGGAGGTAATGAACGTGTGGGCGCGTAGGAGCCCAGTCTGTACCCTCGAACGCACTAGTGGGGAAAACAGAGTCCAGACAGAGGGAAACAGTTTGTGGGGGTACTGGACCGCAGGACACAAAAGGTTCTGCAGAGAAACAGTCTAAGGCTAAGGCTCACTCTCGAGTCAGAGAAAGATGCGCTGGTCGGGAGATGACAGGACAACTACTGGCACTCTGTCACAATATGATTCAAATTATCCTGTAAATATTTATACTTCTGGTTTTGTTGGAGTTGTGGTTGGAATTTGTATTTGAAACTGGAATTTGAATAGAATAACAAGTACTTCCTTTGTTTATGTGTGTTGGGAGGGGTATTAATCACATTGGTGGGAGGAAAATTTGTATACACGCTCACCTTATGAGAACAAAAAGCAGGTCCCCATAATGTTGATCCTTTATTATTAGATCAACAGCTTGATTTCAGTTCAGATACGAGTTAAAATGGGTAAAGATTAGACATGACTATGGTTCAGTCTCCAGGAAATGAATGGAAGTCAGTGTAATGTCTCCAAAGAACATAACCCAACATGTGTGCATGTTTAGTGGTGGTCTGCCGGAGAGAAGAGGCTCCCTCCAGCTGCTCTCGTCCAGACCCACTCTGAGGCTGGGGGCCAACCCTGTGGACCCCTTGAGCTCCAACCATGGACACAACCGCTGCTACAAGCCCAGTCTCACCGTGGAGGAGGTAAAAGCCCCGCCAGAGGAACGTTCACACAGCTCACATCAGCCAACACAAGTTTGTAGACAATCTGAAAACTCAAGGAAAAATTTATTTAAACAACACATTTTATGAGCCTGTGATCAATCTGAGTTTACTGTCCCATTTAGGTGTTAGATATTCAACAAGAAAGGAGCAATGAGCATGACTAACTAAAAAAAGTGTTTGCTAATGCGTTTGACTGTAATGTCATTTAAGTCAGTTCTTTATAGTCAGACTTGCCACGTTTACATAAGTACGGTGGATTTAATGCCAAATTTAAATATATATATATATATATATATATATATATATATAATATAATTCCGCTTTAAGAAGACCATGTAAACACTTAATTCTTAATGAAAATGATTATTCGGAATTAAAGTTAATTCCAAAGTAGGTGGGTGGTTTATTCTGATTTTAAAGCCGAATTAATTTATTCCACGATCATGTAAACGTTTATTCTTCTTAAAAATAATTCCAGTCGTTCATCGCATGCTCGTTGGGTCACCCTTCTGACGTGACCCGGATGATCCGACTTTCATCCACATCTCTTTGGATTTGCGAGCAGGATGTGGGAGTGGGCTGAGGTAGAGCAGCCGTTGACTCAGTTTGTCTTCTTCCTCCCTTCTCCTCCTCAGCTGACAGATGTAAAGTGTGATGAGAGAATTCTCCAGCTGTTGCTTAATTATCATCGGAACGATTGCGAAAAATGTTTGGATCATGTTTGTGTCCGTGGCGTAACAACAAACGGATCACAAAAAGCCGGTAGCAGCTGAAGTGTGTGTTTTCTTCCGGTCGACGTAAATATGTTCGTGTCCCTGTCCAATCAGAACCCTTCCCCACCCCCAGATGTTGAGCGGAATTAAATAAAGGCGATTTAATGTGTTTTCCATGTAAACCTCAATTCAGAATTATTATTTCCATGTAAACTTGAAGGAGAATATTTTAATTCAGAACAATTACTTCAGAATTGAAAAAACATAATGTAAATGGCCAGTGTGTTAAAACAAAGCTCAGATTAAAGTATAACTTGAGTAACAGCTTCAGACAGAGTAGTGCTTCTACTTATCTTTACATTTTTTACATTTTTTATTTTTTTTTATCTTTGTGTCTCTAGACTATTAGACAAAATAACAAAGAACACTACAGACGTTTGCTGGAGATGGTGTCAGAAAAGTACAGCAAGAATCAACCACTACCTTTTAACCAATCAAAGCCACAAGAGTAAGATTTTATTATATTTTTTCATTTTTTATTTCCATTTTAGCACAAACTTTAGAATGGAAGACTTATGATGTAAACTTTGTCTTCCAGTGAGTTATCATCCAAAACAGAACATGCAGCTGCCCACAAGCCCTTTGGCCCCAAGAAGACTGGACAAACTGGTGGGTCGCTCTACACTGATACAGTTGATATATCTATTTAAAATGCAAATGTACAAGACTATTTGCGTTCTCCGGTCTGATGGTAATCTCTCTCTTACAGTGGGCTCTGCTGTATTTACATGGAGGAACCAAACTCCGAGGGGCAGGTGAGTGCGTGTGAATGTGATGATCATAGTTTGAATTACACAAAACTCAATGTGTAAGTTTATTTGTAAAGCAGAGAGTAATTCAAAGTGCAAAAATGTATGAAAGCGTGTGTTCGACGGCTTAAAGGGCCCATGTTACAAAATTTCTGATCTAATAATGTTGTTTCCTCATCACAAACAGACCAGGAGTTGTGTTTTGTTTCATTCACACATGTAAAACACACAAATCCCACATATTAAGTTATTTTCTCTAACAGAAAACACTCTGATCCACCTTGTAATGTCATGTGGTAATACAGGAAGTGCATCACTAAACTCCTTACATCGTCACTAGAATCATTTGGAGGATTTCAGAGCTGGAATGGCTGAACGTAAAGGTAAAATGTGGCTGTTCACTTGAAAACTACCACAGCTACATGACATCACAAGGTGGAACAGAGAAGACAGACTAATAAAAAAGGATTACTCAGACGTGTGTGAATTAAACAAAACACAATTCCACCAACCAGGTATATGTTTGATGAGGTAACATTATGACGTGGCTTAAACTGCATAACGCTCCTTGGTATGTAGGGCTAGTATCATTAAGAAGTTGCAGATACGAGAAAACAATGTTTTTGTTTACATCTAGCTTTTCCACACGTGCACAGTGGCTGGTGTGCAAAATTCAGTGGGGACTCTCGTTTGTGTTGACAGTTGCGTATGTCTGTCAAGAGATAAGAGATAGTTCCTCTTATTTTGAAGTAGGTTTTGCATTTGATTGTTTTGACATGAATTCATCATTTTACTGTAAGACACTGAATGTTGAGGATCAAAAACGTTGCTTTGAAAAGTTAAAACTTGCCAATAGCTTGACGATGTTGATGTTGTACTGTTGTATGATGAGTGTTGTTGTTGTATGCTGATAACTGTTGACAACGTTGATGTTTACTTGTTGATACAAAATGTATGCCACCCCGGACGTGACGTCATTGTGTTTTCTCGATACATAGGCCACGATACATATCTCGATACAGTGCACTTTTAGTTCAATATGATATATTTCAAATCAGTTCAATATAGTTCAATAAAAATAATGGCTAACTCATGGCTGTGACACTAAAAGTCTGTGTTAAACCACGTCTTGTGCAAAGTTCATATGAAACCCAAACATTTTAATCGTCAAAACAGTGAAAATGTCAAATGTGTCGCATAAACGAGTTTCCTTCCTCTAAACAAGCAACAAAACTGTAGCACTGTAACAAAATAATTTATCGTATTTTACGGGCTATTAGGCACTCAGGATTATAAGGCGCACTGTTATTAAATGGTCTATCTACAAATTTTTTTCACAAATAAACCACCCCGGACTTTAAACGAAACACAACAGTTGGATGGGTCAGTCGGACTTTGTTTGGCGCGTTCACAGTGACTCTGGGCTTTGTTCAGTTGTGGCATGTAGGGAGGGTGCTGTCTGGGACCGCTGGATTTTCTGTTCGTTCCTCCGTTCCGTCCCTCGACGGTGTGGAGTGATGAGTGTGGCTGCGAGTGTTTGTCGCTGCGTGGTCGCTGTCTGCTCCGTGCGTGTTTGCGTGCGCTGCTGGTGGTGCTGCTTTGTAGTTTACCGAAGTCATGATGGGACACCTGAGTGGATTCGTGTATAGGACGCTGTGGATTGCGGGGCACACAGTCGTTTTTTGATGGGGTTGGAGGCTTAAGAGCGCGTCTAATAGCCCGAAAAATACGGTAGTAACAAATACCAAAAAAATACTCTTGGTGACATATTGATACAGAAGTCCACGATATCGATTCTGTATCATCACATCAAACGATACGATATATGGATATTTAAAACTTTTTGCACACATATATTGGTGAGAACTGCCGTGCTTTATTATTGTATTACCGGTGATTGCACAGGTTTGTCGAGTTAATCACTGTTTAAATCACTACGCTGTGGGCATCACCATAGCAAAATAAAGGTAAAAGACCTACTGTTAGGAGGGACGAGCTTCAACTAAAACACAAATGACTAATGCCTTAAACATCCATGAACAGTCAAAGGGTTGTCGGATTTAAACGTTAACTATTTTCATGGTATGAGAGCGTTAAAACTGTGTAATGTTCTACTTCTCGTTGAATTTTTACTTGTATTGTTTTACAGATGGTGCGCTGCCACTTTTAGTAACTCATTCATTGGGCCTGTTGAAGACGCACAACATGCAAGGATCACCAAGGTAACCAACCACGCTTTTTTAGTCATTTTTTATTTTTCCGCTTTACCCTCTTTAGCCATAAACTCTACTGAACGGCACTTTCTCTGTGGTGGCACATCCAGTTAATTAATTTTTATTATTTTTGAAAATGTAAGGTAGTGGTAGTAGTCCGTATAGAACTTATTTACTGTGAGATCTGCAGCCACATTTTGCTGTAATTTCCCCCAACATGATGTTCCAGCAGAAGCAGAGCGCAGAGGTGGACCTGTCTACTGAAGTGGCCACTCGGCTAAACCTGGTGGACAAAGCACCTCCTGCTGCCGTGTGCCTCCCGGAGCCCTTCTCTGCTCACAGCACAGTACACGGCCGATACACTGAGGAAGACGTGCCCAGACTCAGCAAGGTGGGATACTGTCTATAACATGGTACATAACACTCAAATGCAAGACTGAAATAGGGTTGAAGGAAGGGACTTGTAAAAGGCGCAGTACCTGATGTTTTTAACTGGTCCAAAGTTAGTCCTCACTTACCTAATGCATTCTTAGCATCATTTCCGGACCTGAATATAAGTCACACCAACTAATTTTTAAAAGAAATAAAAAAAATTGTACATATATATATATACTGCATTTGTCTATACGTCGCAGGTTTCCACATCTTCAAGAATGTTTTCAAGTTGGCGCCGTCTGCTTTTATAGCCTCTGAAAGCTTTTGTCGTCTTTTTGCATTGAGTCAGTTCATCACGCTGCCGTCGCCAACGTCTCACTATCGACTCATTGATTTATTTTTATTTATTTATTTATTTGAGACAGGGACAGCGCACAATTTTTGCATTTTACCGATGCCAAGCAGCTCTGTTTCCTTCTTCCACAGCCACATCAGTCGCCGTTAACTTAAAAGCTGCATCATCTGCATTTCTTCATATGTTTTCCATGAGGAGGGTGTGTGTATGAAGCGCAAAATAACACAACTAGAATCTTCCTCGGCGCATCATCCCTAGTTTCTCGCGCATGTCTCCTGCAGAAAGAGCCTCTGTCCTATCTGGAATCATGTCAGTGTTTCGTAGGGTCTCAGCAGATTTCAGACTCTTACAGGGGCAAGGCTAGTTGTATCGATCAGGTATGAGTGGATGTGCGGCTACTGAAGTTTGAGACATTTATTCTTGTCATTTACACACTCACCTGCATTTACACGTACAAGTAAGACGTATCCCACTCACTAATGTTCATTTAGCATCATAACTTAATTTATGTTTTATTTTGCACGGTGATAAACCGTTTTAGTGCGCTGACAACAGTTCTAGTTAGTGTTACAACCTCATGTAAACTGCACAGACAGCGGCACTTTCTACACTCACGCTGCACGCACATCCGCTTTGTTAATAAACAAATAATTCGTCCATATATTCTCTGCATCGTTGTATAAACCGCAGGGTTCAAACCCACATGTTTATTTTCACACTGTTGTTACATACTGTGTGTGCGTGTTTTTCAGGAAATGGCCGCTGAAGTGAGCTCTGCTTTGTCTCAGAGGGATCCCAATCTGGTGTTAAGTGCTGCTTTTAAACTGCGCATCACTCAAAGGGACTTGGCCACGCTGCAGGAAGGAGGCTGGCTCAATGATGAAGTGAGTCTCTACCCATTTATATAACTGTGTAATTTAACAGGTTCTATGTGTTTCTAATGATCAGTTTATTAGGTGGGATGGTATATATGTTTAAAGGTCTTTTGTGTGTTTTTAGAGTTCATAGTTTACATAACAATTACATTTATCAAAATATGATGATTTTTTTATAGTAGACTGGTCATAATCAGTTGATAAATCGCTGTTGAATTAAAGAGGTCGGTCTAATCCTAACATTCACCCTTAAATGTGTTTGCAGGTGATAAACTTCTACCTGTCCCTGGTGATGGACAGGAGCGCTGGAGGAGGGCTCAGGGTGTACTCCTTCAGCACGTTCTTCTTCCCTAAACTGCAGGGGCAGAGCGGGGGGCACGCCGCAGTCAAGCGCTGGACCAAAGCCGTGGACCTGTTCCTCTGTGACCTCATCCTGGTTCCTCTGCACCTGGGCGTCCACTGGGCACTGGCAGTAAGTCCTGAAGTTCTGCTGTTGATACTTTGCAGCTGAGAGCATCACACCCCGAGGGAATGTGGCTGTAGGCTCTACAGTCTGAAACTCTGTTAGTCAAGTTAGACTTTAATCTGTGCTTTATTTTAACACAATTTGACCATAAAGAACTGACTTATCTGAAACTGGTGAGCTGGTTTGTGCTGTTAAACAAGTCCTTCTCAAATATCATTAGTCACAAGGCACAGTAGCTATCATTAGCAAACCATTTTTTTCCCCACACACACCATTTTTGTTGAAAATCAAACACCTACAAGTGTGCACTGTGTCTCTATGGCAGGGGTCTCCTACCTTTTTCTTCTGGCGAGCTACTGTCAGAAAATAACAGATATTAACACAAAGAAACTCAGAAGGCAGAATTCAGGGTTTTTACTCGCGGCAAGGGACGGAGGCGCTGCTACAGCTCCTAACTGCCGAAGAGCCACCGTCCAACGTCACGTATTTATCGAATCAGACAGGTTACAAGAATAAATGGGCGGTTGCATTTTTCTATCACAGTAAAAAAAACACAGAGAATAAAAATGTGTATTGTGTGTGTGCCAGCTGCTGAGGTGTAGGAAGGGATGTGCGTAAGGAGGACTGTCCTTGCGGAAGATAACAGATAATGAGAAGTTGGTTTTCCCGTGAGAAATACACTTTGAGAAATACCCTTTGATAAAATAAGACGAAGAATCATCTATACAGCATTTGAAAAACTCTTTAACAGCTACCTTTTCAGAAAGAAAATGTCAAAAGCTACTAATTTTAGCGGTCACAAGAAATTAAGTGTAATAAAGTCTTAGATGGGGAACAGTTAGTTGCCTCTAAAACACAAACCTTTATCTGTTTATTACTAGGGATGTAACAATAACTGAAATATTGTGATATCGTACTGTCAAAAGTCTCACAATAATTTCGTGGGCTGTCACAATAAATTTAATTACAAGTTCCTTTGCTTAAATGCACTTTTTATAGTCGCAACAGTTTATAAACATCAGGAACTACATATCCCATGATTCATTTCAGTGCAGACAACATGAAGAAATATGTTTTTTTACTTGAATTCTTGGGATTATGATGGAAATAATACACACCAAAATCTTTTCAAGGTATTTTAAAAGCAAAAAAGTGTCCAATCTACAATTATATTAACCTCAAATCAATATCACAATAAATATTGTACCTTGAGATTTGGATATTGTTACATCCCTTTTTATTAGTGCACAAAGTTTGGTAGTGTTCTTTCGATTCGATACAATATATTTCAAATTGATTCAATACAGTTCAATAAAAAAGGCTAAATCATGGCTGTGATAGTAAAAGTCTTCCACTTCTTGTGCGAAGTTAATATAAAAAATGCCCATTTTAATCATCAAAATAGTGAAAATGTGAAATGTGTCACATAAACGAGTTTCCTTCGTCTGAGCAAGCAACGAAACTGTAGCTCCATAACAAAATAATTTAGTAAAATATACCAAAAATACTCTTGGCGATATATCGATACAGCAGGCCACAATTTCGATATTGTATCGTTACATTAAACGATACAATATATCGATATTTCAATATTTTTGCACCACCCCTAATCAGCACAACATGTATAATTCAGAAATCCCTTGGTGAGCTTCTTTGAGGGGGGTGGAGAGTTACACTTAATGTCCCGAGGTACAGGTTAGAGACCCCTGCTCTTTGGTAACTGTTGGACATTCCACCATAGAGATATGTGTAGAACACCCCCAGCGTGATGTTACTGCAAAGCATCAATTGAGGACATTGTACTTAACCATGAAATATCCAAACGGTAAATTCACAAATGTTGAACTTGATCATTTATGACTAGACCTTCTTCTGTTACAACACAAATCTGATTTTAACAGTATGAATTTTACTTCCCCCTCATCTATGTTATAGCAAGAAATTATTAGAGAAATTAGATTGCAAAGTCATTATTGTTGTGTGGTCTTTGGGCGTGCCAAAATATATTTTTATTTTGAGATAAAGTGTTTTGATTTGTGAGGAAACTACAACATTTTTATTTTAAGTACTGATATGAAAAATAATCACGTTAAGAAAATTTTACCTTGCTTTCTGAAATTTTAGTTTAATAATGGTCTGTAATACACTATAAAACCACATGGGAATATTATTATTTTATGATATTGGAATAAAATTGTGTTATTTGAGTTTCCATATTGAAATTGGTTTGGAATTTTAGTATTTTGACAACACAGCTGTAGTTTTCAGATGATTTCTTACACATTTAGCCGTTAGTCACCCTTTTTTCTAATATTTATTTAATATATAACTAGTTTTTTTATTTTGCTAATTTTCTCTTCTGTAGGTGATCGACCTCAAATCCAGGACTGTGAAGACCTACGACTCGATGGGGCAGAGGCATGACGACATCTGCAAACTGTTACTGTGGGTATATTTATTTATTTATTTTTATATCAGGAGTTTTACAAATCAGTTACTAATCTCAGTACAATCGTTTATCTTGGATTTTTCAGATTCTACATTCAAGAGGAGCACAAAGTGAAGAAAGGCCGAGACCTGGATGTCAGTAAATGGACCGTCTGTAGCATGAGGCCCAGTGTATGTATGACTTAAAGTTCCACTACGTAACTTTTCTGGTTCAGACTCCCTCACCCATTTGACGCTATGGAGAGGTTATGGCATTGGCAGGAATGTTACAAAGTATGGCATTAAATGAAACAGAAAATGCACACCAAAGTTTTTTCTAGAGGTGCAAATGCATGGAACAGCCAAATAAAAGTGAAAACAATGCATAGCATACTCGGATGACCGATGTCCAAAAGCTTATGTTTTACTTTTTTTATTTTCTTTTGGCAAAAAAGCCTTCGTCAGATAATTTTTCTTGCTTTGGACCACAGTATATAAAGGACTTTTGGACATCAGCCATCTGAGGGTGCTATGCAGTTTTTCACTTTTACAAAGTATGGTGTTACATTAATTTTTTATTTATTTTTTCTTACTTTCTGACATCAAAATAAAACCATGGTCATGAGCTCTGGGCAATGACCAAAAGGACAAGATCGCGGATACAAACGGTCAAAATGAGTTTCCTCCGCAGGATGGCTGGGCGCTCCCTTAGTGATAGGGTGAGGAGCTCGGCCACTTGGAAGAAGCTTGGAGTAGAGCCGCTGCTCCTCCTGTACATCTATGGGTCAGTGACGTTTTGCAGTTTTCAAATGCACAGAAAGTGAAAATATAATTGCATAAAAAATTTGTAGATTTTCTGGTATATTTAAGTATATATTTTATTATTTTGTTTATGCCTCTAGAAAGAAAATTTTGATTAAAAACATTTTTCTGCTACCAAAGACATCTTAAAAATGTCAGTCAGTGATATACTACTATTGTATAAGCAGCTCTTCAGGTCAGTACAAGTCCACTGTGCACAGTCTGCATCTAGTTATAAAGCGTTTTGTTGTCCAAAAACCAGAAAGTGCACTGTTAGCTTGCTATTTGTTATTAGCATTACAGTTCCTGTAAAACCTGGTTCTGGCCTCTGAAAGCTTTTAATATAAACTCACTGCGGTGAATAGTTGCGATGTTCTGAGTTCAGTATATAGATAAGTGAGGAATAACTTTGGATTTTTTAAATTGTACTAGTTCCTTTTCCCATTTTTAAGGATGTAAAATTCAGGTACAGCGCCTTTAAGTTTAATGTCATACTGTGTAACATTCCAGACAAAGCAATAACATCTCCATACAAGCAAGGGGCCAGCCCTCCACCAGAAAAGCTACATGGCTACACTTCATCATTTTTTGTGTAATTGTTTTTGCTCACTTTTGATGTTTTTATACAGGAGATTCCCCAGCAGAAGAATGGTAGCGACTGTGGTGTCTTCGCTTGTAAATACGCAGACTATATAGCAAGGGAGCGACCTCTTACCTTTAAACAGGTATAACACGAAAATACATTAAATTACCTGTTTTAATTAAAAGTCCTGTATTATGCAAAATTGACTCCTTTGAGCTTTTAGTCATGTTAGAATGTTGTTCCCTCAACAAAAACAAACCCAGAGTTGTGTTTTATTCACACGTTTGCATTATTGGTCTGTTTACATCTCCAAAACTCAAAATGCTCTGTTCCACCTCGTACTTTTCAAGTTAACAGGTACTTTTTGCCTTAATTTCAGTAGAGATTGGCAACTCCAAGACTGAAATCATCAAAAATGATTCTAGTGAAGGTGTATGGAGTTTAAAAACCACATGATATTTAGAAAATCCGTGTATCATTCGTTCATTCATTTTTTTATATAAAACCAAAAAGTTTTGTGTATCGCATTTTTACATACACAAATTATTAGTATTGTAGTACAGAATAAATTGTCAGACCAACCAAAAGAAAAGGAAAAAATAATTAAAAATTAAATTAAAATAAATTATAAAATAGGAGACCATCAAGCAAGTGACATCTGCAAAAATGTATAAAAAAAATTTACATTAGGCTTGTTTCGATTGTAAGATTTCCACATTTTCCAATACAGTTCTCCTTTATCTGAGGAGTGTCACAAGGAAAATGTTATTCGTTCCATAACCTGAATTTCGTTGATTATTTCAACTGATTCTGAAATAGTACGAGGTTTTTCCTGTAGCCATTTTTGTGTGATCACCTTCTTGCTGGCTGCTTGTAGTATCTGAAGAAAGTATCTGTCCTTTTTTTTTTTTTTTTTTCAGCCCAATTGGTATGTTTCCCAAATAAAATACTCTTAAAATTTTCCTCCAGTTGCAGTCCAGCTTAATGTTTTTAATGATCTCTGTCCAGTAGGGGGCAATCTTGGAACATTGCCAGAATATGTGAAAATGTCTACAGTTTCTCCAATAATTGCCTTGGTCTGATGTTCTTTAATTCTAGGGTTGATGAAATATCTCACTGTGTTCTTCCACATAATCTCTCTCCATAAGTCACAGCTTGAGGTTGTTACAATGGTTTTACTTAACTTTAACCAATCACCATCAGTTAAAGTACACGTATTTATGTTTTTGATGAGGAAACGGCATTATAAGATAGATCGGAATAGAGCGTAATATTTAAAAAGGATAAATACTAAACTTCTTTTTGTTGTTTGTTTGCAGTGCCACATGCCGCTCTTTCGAAAGTTGATGATTTGGGAGATTCTCCATCAGAAGCTGCTCTAAAAATTGACAACCGCTTTTGAAAACCACACAGGAATTGAATGAATTAATGAATGAATGTATGTTTAAAAAGAATACACTTATGGGCCAAAGATGTGGACATTTTTCTTTATAAGTCTTAACAATTTTGTAAGTCTGTTTCAGTGTATGAGATGATTCCATAATTGTTTCTCTAAGTTTTAATTGGAGAATAATTTGATGGGATTGATGGGGTGTTACACGCTGGGGTGCTACTACTGACGTTTGCAGTCTCAAGTGCCTTCCGTCCTAAGCAAATTTGTTTTTAAATTTTAAATTAAGAACAACTAATTGCGGTATCATCCTATTAAAACGTGTTGTGAGATTATTTAGTATTTTATTTATAGAATGACTGAATCGTTGGGAGTGTAAATAGCTGCTGTTAGGGGCTAAAATGTGAAGCTTTACATTTTATTTTGGAAGAGAGAGGCTGTTCTTGGTTTTACATTTATTACTGTAATTAATTAGCATTCTACTGTAAAAAAGCTGCTTTTTTTTTTGGTTTTGTTTTAATTAATATTTTCAAATGTGACATGCTCTATGGCTCTACTGCCTATGACTGTAATAAAGAACTTCTCTGTAATTTTTGACTTTTATTTATGGTTAGGATTTACAAACCATTGCGTTATATGAACTAAATACATCACCATGCAATTTATGATAACAGCAATATTATTATTATTTTTACACCAGGAGAAAATAAAAAACTGTACCTTTAAAGAGGCATAATGTAGTTTTATTTACATATTTAATTATTTACTAATTTGTGGGTTAGAGCTACAGTGCAAGCAGTGTGTTGTATTTAATTGGGTATATATATACACAGACAAATTTTATTGATCCACAAAGGAAATTATTGGAAAAGGTAGACCACTGGCAGAACACCTCAGAACAAAACAAAACACAACCGGGGGCAGTTTTAGAGCATATTCTTGGAGAGTAGGGTGACCAGAATTTCAAAATAAAAAACTGGGACACTTCAGTTTTTTTGGTGGTTGGTAATAATACAATTATGAAACGAGTGCTTAATTAAGGAAAATTGTTAAGCAGAGACCATTCATGACTAACACGTGAGTCAGTATAGTCACATTTTCTTAGAGATTAATGTAGATTAGATTAGTAGTAGTAGAGTAGAGTAGATTTTTTTTGTATTTTACCTAAACAAATGACAATTTAAGCTTCTCTTTACTGTTGACAGGGATCAAATTGGTCAAAAATAGGGACACCTGGGGCATTTCTTGTATAAAACTGGGTCAAATCAATGGTTCTGGATAAATCCACCGAGACAGGGGACATAGGGCTCAGAATTGGGACTGTCCCGGGTAAACAGGGATGTCTGGTCACCCTGTTGAAGAGGGGACTTTTGGAGAAATTGCACTAGGCAGGAAAACCAGCTCCAACCAGACTGTGGCACTTGACTAGAACCATGGCATTCACGGATAGGCCTACAACTCTTTAAAATTACTTCTTTAGTTCGCTATAAAATTTGAAAATTATTTACATGATATCAAAAATACCTATTTATATTTATATAAAAGTTTAAAAAAAATGTTTCAAAGCGAAGTTTATAATCGACCGTCTTTTTTGCCCCGCCCTCTTTCGGCTTCTGTCCAATCAGATGAGCCGTACGCCAAAACACTTCCGCCTTGTGGTCCAGGCTGTCTTTCCACGGTCTCCGCCGGTGTGATCGCACAGCCGGAGTTTACACCTCGGATCACGACCTAAAACATTTACTAAGGTGCTCTTATGAGGCTTTCACTTCACACACAGCTTCAGAAGTCATGTTACAACATTTAAGAGTGTGGATATGTTTATTTTTTCGCTAAACGCTAGATGAAAACGAGCCTTGTTAGCATCCTGAAGCTAACTCATGCTAACGTGTGTGTGTCTGGGGCTGGGCTGTGAATGGAGTGACAGAACCACACATGCTGACGCTTTTCTGAGAGCTTTTTGCATAAATTACATAGCTGATCGCAAATAATCTTGCAGCATTTCATGAAACCAGGTTGACGGGTTGTTGTCATTTCTGCAGATGCCTCCCAAAAAGCAAGAAGCCCCCAAAGCTCCCCTTTTAATCGGACGATTCGGGACATCTCTGAAAATCGGAATTGTCGGATTACCTAACGTTGGGTAAGTGCATTTCAGGACTTTTGTGGGTGACCAGATGTTCCTGTTTACCCGGGACAGTCCCAGTTTTGAGCCCTGTGTCCCCTGTCCCAGCGGATTTATCCAAAACCATTGATTTGTCCCAGTTTTATACAAGAAATGTTCCAGGTGTCCCTATTTTTGACCAATCTGATCCTTCCCAACAGTAAAGAGAGGCATAATTTGTCATTTGTTTAGGTAAAATACAAAAATATCTGCTTAAAAATGACTAAAACACAAAGAAAATGTGCCTATACTGACTCACCTGTTGTTAAATATCAAAATATTGTTTAATGTGATGATACAGTATCGATATCGTGGGCTGCCGTATCGATATATCGTCAAAAGTATTTTTTAGTATAGTTTACTAAATAATTTTGTTATAGTGCTACAGTTTTGTTTGGAGGAAGGAAACGTTATGTGACACATTTTCACTGTTTTGATTATTTAAATGTTTGTCTTTACACAAGAAGTGGTTTAACAAAGACTTTTAGCACCACAGCCATGATTTAGCATTTATTTTTTATTACATTTATATTGAATTGATTTGAAATATATCATATCAAACCGAAAGTTCACTGTATCAAGAAAGGTATCGTATCGGCAACTCTCAATAATACCCACCTTTAGTAAAGAGAGGCATAAATTGTAATTTGTTTAGTTAAAATACAAAAACATCTGCTTAAAAATGACCAAAACACAAAGAAAATGTGACTATACTGACTCACATGTTGGTCACAAATGGTCTCTGCATAAGAGTTTTCCATAATTATGCACTCGTTTCACAGTTTTATTATTACCAACCACCAAAAAAACAGGGATGCCCCAGTTTTTTATTTTGAAATTCTTGTCACCGTATTGTGCTGACAAAATATGCTGCAGGAATTATATCACATGTGGCAGGGCCAAGGCCCGCGGGCCGCATCCGGCCCTTTAAGCCGTTTTATGTGGCCCGCAAGGGGTTAAAAGGTATAATTTATTATTATGTTGCGATTCTGTGCCGCTACTACATTTCTCACAATGCGCCGCGAAGTGACCGCGTCCCGCAAATTTTAATAGATCCATGATCCCGCCACTAGAGTGGGGTGTTTCCCCTCTTGCGAGCGAGTCCCTAACGCACTCTGTCGGAGAAAACTCAACAAATCTCCCCGAAATGTCCAAGAAAAGAAAAATTGATGAAGAAGGACGGCTATTTCATGAAAGATGGGAAAATGAATACATGTTTGTACTTCAAGGAGATAAACCGGTATGTCTTTTATGTAACGAGACAATGTCCGTAATGAAGGAGTACAATTTACGTCGGCATTTTGACACAAAACATGGAACTAAGTATGCTAATTTTAGTCTCCAACAAAAACAACGAGCTGTCCAAGAATTAAAAGGAAAACTAAAATCGCAGCACGATATGTTTTCAAGAGCTACAGCCAAGAACGATGCAGCGGTGAGAGCTTCATAGTGGCGGAGGAAATCGCTCGCGCTTCCAAGTGCTTCTCTGAGGGCGCGTTTATAAAGCAGTGCATGCTGAAGGTGTGTGAGCAGGTATGCCCGGACCAGATACAGACTTTTAAAAATGTCAGTTTGTCAAGAAACACCATTGCTGACCGAGTGAAAGAGTTAGCAGGGAATCTTACATCACAGATTACAAACGACGCACGTAGTTTTCTGTCTTATTCATTAGCCATTGATGAAAGCACAGACAACACAGATACAGCACAGCTTTCCATTTTTGTGCGAGGCCTAAAGGCAGATCTGTCTGTCACCGAGGAACTGCTGGATATAGTTCCCATGCATGGGACAACAACAGGGAAGGAGATTTTTGAGGCGGTGGAGAAGTCCGTAACTAGCTGTAAATTACCGTGGGAAAGATTAGTGGGGCTGACTACTGATGGCGCTCCTGCAATGTGTGGCGAAAGACGAGGCTTGATTGGACTGGTAAAAGAGAAAATGCTACAAGAAAACTGTCCTGCATGTCCGATAACCTATCATTGCATTATCCATCAAGAGACTCTGTGTGGAAAGGTTCTGGAAATGGATGATGTTATGGCCACTGTAATGAAAACAGTCAACTTTATTCGTGCGCGTGGCCTAAATCACCGCCAGTTTCAGCACTTTTTACAAGAGATTGGCGCTAAGCATGGAGATGTCCCGTATCACACAGAAGTAAGGTGGCTCAGTCGAAGCGCTGTCCTCCAGCGATTTTTTGAGCTCAGGGAGCAAATTGCGCTTTTCATGCAAAGCAAAGGAAGAGTCTTGCACGAACTATCAGATCCAAAGTGGCTGTGCGATTTTGCCATGTTGTTTGATCTAACAGAGCATGTCGCCCAACTGAATAAGCTGCAGGGACGCAAACAAGTCATCACGCAGATATCCGACTCAATCTCAGCGTTCCAGCGGAAACTTCACCTCTGGAAGTCCCAACTAGAACAGGACAATCTTGCCCACTTTCCTGTATGCCAGTGGATTTCAGCCTTAAATTCAATTTTTTCATGTGCTCGGTTGGTAACCAAAATAACCCGGTTAATTAATGAATTTGACCGACGCTTTTCTGACTTCAGAATTTGCCCTCTTTGCCAATCCTTTTACTGCTGATGTTGACAACGCACCTCATAATCTTCAGATGGAGTTAATCGAGCTTCAGAGCGACAGTGGCCTGAGATCAAAATTCCAGGACGTTGCACTCGAGGACTTTTACCGTCTGCTTCCCCCTGACGTGATGCCACAGCTTCGACTTCATGCTGCCCGTATTATGTCTATGTTTGGGAGCACCTATCTGTGTGAACAGATGTTTTCTATCATGAATCTAAACAAGACCAAGCATAGATCACGCCTCACCGATGACAACCTCCATGCTGTTTTGAGGATTGCTACAGCACAAGACCTAAAACCAGATCTGGACATGCTGACCAGAGGGAAACGATGTCAAACCTCCAGCCAGAAAACAAACAGGTGAGCATTTTGTGTTTTTAATGTTTTAAAATTAATATCTCTAGTTTAATGTTTGATTGTGTTTTGTGTTTTTATTTTCAGTTCATGATTACTGGACTGGACTTCAGAGGAGAGCAGCAATGATAATGTGACCAATATAGTGAGACTGACAACCTTTCTAAAAAAACTTTTATTACAGTTTTTGAAGACTTCATGTTAGATCTGTTATGCAAGTTCTCAGTAGATCACCCTGAAAGAGAAAGGTTCTGAGGGAAGTAAATTAAATAAATTTGATAAGATTTGTCAATTTATTATTTGTGATCTGTAAATTTTGCTCTGTTACTGAAGGAGTAATGTGAATATCTTAACTTTGTCAGTAGATCAATACAAACAAATTCAATATTATATAATATTTGAAACTTAAATAAATATTATGAAAAATCAATTACAGTCTCTCATTTGTAACATACCAATATTGCATATACAGAGTAGCTGTTACAGTCTTAACTTTACAACCGGCCCTTTGATGACAACCATGATCCAAATGTGGCCCTTGGTGAAAATGAGTTTGACACCCCTGAATTATATGCATGCAGTGGCGGTCACATGGTTGATAACACGCAGTCCTTTCTCTTTGTAGGAAATCCACCTTCTTCAATGTGTTAACCAAGAGCCAAGCCAATGCTGAGAATTTCCCTTTCTGTACAATCGATCCCAATGAGAGCAGAGTCCCGGTGCCAGATGACCGTTATGACTTCCTCTGCCAGTATCATAAGCCTGCCAGGTGAGTACATGACATTATTAGAATGCAGTTTACAGCTGATATGGAGGACAGGGCAGGGCAGGATACTATGTTGGAATTTGCTGTTCACTTTGTGATCACTTTCAGATCACAGATTTGTTGACCTGGTTTATGGTTGATATCACTGTAATTATTGGGCCAAACACAAGTTCAAATGATTTTAACCCATAAAATTAATATGGCAAGTTTGAGGAGCTAAACCCTAACAAAAAATTATAAGTTTCAACATTTGTGCAATACAGGTTTTGGTTATGTCTTCCAAAAACAGTGACTATACACACCCCTGCGATTGAAATTATTGACCATGAACTCCACCTAATTGTCTTTTTAAACAAAACTACTCCTGTTTCTTGGCTAACTTAAATATTTCTATCCACAGTAAGGTGCCGGCTTTCTTGCACGTGGTGGACATTGCTGGGCTAGTGAAGGGAGCTCACGCCGGGCAGGGTTTGGGGAATGCCTTCCTCTCCCACATCAGCGCCTGTGATGCCATCTTCCACATGACGCGTGAGTGCAGCTGTTTGTTTGAGCCAAATGGTCAGGACGTGTGGGGTGGTGGTTGTTGTTGTTGTTGTGATAGCTGCAGACACCTTTGGACCTCAGTTTAGGATGTAATGCTGTGATGTTGTTAGGCTTGTAATGATAATTACTATATCCATTTATCGTTCAGTATATGAAAGCTGGAGCAATATCTTTGGAGCTAGGTATTTTTCATGTGTACAATTTCTTTGCAAAAGTGGGGAGATTTTTTCCATTTTGATGTAGAGGATTGAATAATTATTAATTATTGTTTCATTCTGCTATTTATCTGCTGCAGCTCTAAGCTTTTAATGATACAGTATTTTTAAAATGTGTTTACTAGGAATTTTATTGTCTCAGTGGTATAAAGTAGTTTGTATTGTTATTGTTTATAACAGTATTTTTCTGTGACAATACTTCATGCTTCAAAAAATTTTTTATTGTGACAGGCCAAGATATTATAGACCTTTGTTCTGACCGCAGAAATGTATTTAATAAGTGATGGGACAAGATCTCCTGCTACAAGATCTTGCAAGGCAGAACTGCCACAAGATTGTGCACTATGTACTTTTCTGTTTAGGGCGTCTTTAAAGATGTTTTGCTAAAACCACCTTTAAAGACATGCACACTTACTGAGCGGGATAAGCCAGTCTGGAAGTCTTGCCTCCTTGTCTTTGGAGATGGATAAGTTTAATGCCATATTGTGGAACATTTGGTGGTGGACCCTTCATCTTCATCATACTATGCATAGTTGATTATATTGTATCCCAGTAATGGTAATATTGGTTAGTGTGATGGTGGTCAGTGTTTCCCACAGACAATTGGTTAGGAAAGGCGGTGATGCTGAAAAAGTCAGGAGGGGGGGAAACTGCGATTCCGTGCACGGAGAAGAAGTGGGGAGAGGTGCGCAGAGATTCTGTGCACAGAGAAAAAGTGAGAAGTGAGGAATGACAGTAGTTTTGCGAGGATTCACATCGTTTAGGGGGACGTAGTCAAGGCGGGGCCACTTGTTGTCAAGACGGCCACCTTAACTATAAAGTGCTGTGGGAAACACTGGTGTTGGTGGTGCAGATTGGAAACCACACTTCCATCAGTCTGCCCCAGGGCAGCTGTGGCTACAGTAGTAGTTTACCACCACCAGGTCTGTGGTGAATAAGTAATGATCTGTAAGCGTCTTTGTGACATGTCTGTGAAAAGCGCTATATAAATAAAAATTTGCTTATTTATGAATAGAACATCTTTTCCCATTTTAAAGATGTGATATTGTAATCCAAAAACGTTTATTTTGTCTTCTTTCTTACATTAAAGTTCTTGGATTCCTTTTACAGACAATGCATAGGAGATCTCTTATTGCATTTTCTTTAAAAAAGAACCCTATCAGTTTAGTTTGATTTAATATTGTGTTTAAAATAGTCAATCACTATGGCAAATGCCCTAATTTTTCATAATTTTGAAACCCATGGAAAGGGGCATTCAAAGCATTCAGCATTTCAATTTGTTACTGTCTTATCTATTGCAAATGCTATTTTTAGACCACGGCCACAGTCCACCTCAAAACCACTAAAACCACTGTTAGAGTGAGTGTTTGGATTGACTTTTCTTTATTTCTTGTTTGTTTACTGTGCAGGTGCGTTTGATGACGAGGACATTATCCACGTGGAAGGAAACGTCGACCCGGTCAGAGACATCGAGATCATCCACGAGGAGCTCAGGCTGAAGGACGAGGAGATGATCAATGATAAGCTGGGGAAGACCAATTTGCGAGGCGCGGACAAGAACAAACCAGAATATGTGAGCACCAACTCATCTTGAATTGTTATATAATAGTTCTGTAATAATAGTAATCACGTGAAATCACAATATTCTCGAGTCTCAGGGCAGAGTTCTATGGTGAAAATGACTGTTTAATGTCAGATTGCAGATTTGTTGACCTGGTTTATGGTTAATATCTGTGTAATTACTGGGCCTATCCACATCAAACAACAGCTGGAATGTCTTCTCTGTCAGCACAAATCAACAAAATTTTTCAGCGTAGCCTTAGAAAGTGGTGCCATTGTTCAGTCACTTGAAAGGACTATATTTGTGGAGCCAGGCCTAAACAAATAATGTTAAGGGCTGATGTTTGTAGATCTCAAGTTTGGATATTTCTTTCAAAAACAGTGAATCTCCCATAGAGTTACAAAAGCTCCTGCCCTGAAAGTAAACGCAGCCTATTACATTTTTACATTTTTGTAGCTGCAATGACTTTTGAATGACTTCTGTGTTCAGGACATCATGACAAAGATCAAGAACTGGGTGGTGGAAGAAAAGAAACACATCCGGTTTTACCATGAGTGGAATGACAAAGAGGTTTGTTGTGGTTGAAATCCTTTTTTGTGTTGAGTGCGCGTTCACATTCTCTTTTGTGGAGGGACTGTAGGGTTCACTGGAATTCTGCTTATTTCCCTCTGGGGCTTTTCCTCCTGTTGCACCTGTTGTGGTTATGTCTGAATGACTTGAAGTCATTTGTGGGAATAATATTTATTACATGGCTTAGGCCTGGGATTTGCAAATGCAACAATATTGTGACTGGTTTTCATAAGGTTGTTTACAAAAAAAAAATTATATTAACATCTTGTACTCGTAGTAATAAAAAAATGCTTTATAAATAATTATTGTAAAAAAAATAGCCACCCTTAATATATTGGCTTCTAATCGCATTGCTGCATAAATCTAAAGCATTACATATTTTTTATGTTCAAATTAAAAGTAAAGATGTATCACAATTGAAAAGAAATTGTGATTGAATGGTCACAGTTGGCAAATCACAGATCAACTAAAACATGATACTATAGAGGATCAGAGGAGCTCCTACAGAGATACAGGACTACATTCATAATGTAATACTCCCTACAACTGTACAACAATTCCCCTTTAAGTAATAGATAATACTCCCTACAATTGTACAGCAACTCACCCTTACGTAACAGATAATACTCCTATGACCTCTTGTTTATAGCTGAGATTTTATATTTTATTTCTTATTTTTCTATTTTATTTTGAATTGTACATTACCCTTATATAATTATTTCTTATCTGACACCTGTCTCTTGCGACCTTTTTCACTACTTATTTAGAATTAATTTTTTTAACTGGTCCCCGAAGGGTTGACCCGGTTTTGTATTCACCCTGTGTGTCTGTGTGTGTGTCTGTTTACCCGTGATAATTCCACCATTTATGGACCGATTTCCACCAAATTTGCTAAATTGGTCAAGCCCCCGTGCCCGATGTCGCAAAAAAAAGTTTGGTGACGATCCGAGGTCATTTGAGGTCACACGGGTCAATTGAATGGTCATGCCATTATAAAGGATACGCAATTTCGGCAATTTCTTAACCATCTGCGGGCTAAAATATTCACTCAATCATCACACAAGTTGGCACACACATAACCGGGATATGGGCTGGGCTCCTCATAAGCTGCTTCCGTAGTTATGAACTGCCCCCACCGATGCCTCATGGGGGACCAGGTTGCCATCTCTGATTGTGCTTGTTACTCTTTGTTATTATGTTATATTGTGATGTGTGAGCTCTTGTGTCCGAATAATTTCCTTTGTGGATCAATAAAGTTTGTCTAAGTCATGGTTAGACCTCTAAATAGTTTATGAATTAGTTTATCTTTAATATTTCAGTTTTCTTTCAAATGTTAATGCTTAAATCTTATACAGAAAAGTAGGACAATGAGATATTTCACCTAAATCATAAATAAATAAAACAAACAATTAAGTAATTATAGCTGCACACTTTTTTGATTATTTTGCAATTTTATTTCTCTGCATAGCAAACAAAACTCATTCAAAGTAATTTCTGTCACAGATTGAGGTCCTAAACAAGCACCTCTTCCTCACATCCAAACCTATGATCTACCTGGTCAATCTGTCAGAGAAAGACTACATCAGGAAAAAGAACAAGTGGTATGTACTTTATGTATTTTATTGTACCTCAGTGGTCCTGATGGAGGTGAACTCAAATGAACTGTTATCCGCAGGTTGGCCAAAATCAAGGAGTGGGTCGACGCTCATGATCCTGGAGCCATCGTCATTCCCTTGAGTGGAGCCCTGGAGTCCAAACTGCAGGACATGGAGGAGGACGAGAGGACCAAGTACTGTGAGGAACAGAAGACACAGAGGTTAGAGGTTCAAAATGTATTAATAATCTTAGAACTGAAAGACGAATCACTCTGTAAACTTCAACTATCATGGGTCAGTTTGGAATAAATCAGGCAGACAGTGAACAGAGATTAACCTAAGTAGACACTGCTGAATCCGTCTATCATTCGTTCATTTGTTTTTCAAAATGAAACCAAAAATAAGAAAATGAAAAAAAAAAATTCTTTATTATTTGTCTCCAAAACCAAAATGAAAAAAATTGATAACAATTCATTTTTTCAGCTTTTGATTTTGTGTTAAAATTAATAATGGAAAAAACAGATAATGGTTGTTTCCCGCTTCCCATTTCTGTGACTTAAACTGTGATGCTGGACTTTTGCACCACATACGGACTGAACCAGGACTGAACCAGGACTGAACCAGGACTGAACCAGGACTGAACCAGGACTGAAACAGGACTGAAACAGGACTAAAACAGGACTAAAACAGAACTGAACCAGGACTGAGTGTCGGGACCAGACCTGGACTGAGATCGGGACTAGGACCAAGACTGAAACCGGGACTGAGACTGGAACCAGACTGGCACCAGGACCAAGACTGAGACCAGGACTGAGTGTTGGGACCAGACCTGGACTGAGGCTGGAACCAGGACTAGGACTAAGACCAGGACCAGGCCGGAACCAGGACTGGGACTGAGACCAGGACCAGACCGGCACCAGGACTGAGATTGGGACCAGACCGGGACCGGGACCAGGACTGAGACCGGGACTGGGATTTAGTCCTGGTTCAGTCCTGCTTTAGTCCTGGTTCAGTCCTGCTTTAGTCCTGGTTCAGTCCTGCTTTAGTCCTGCTTTAGTCCTGCTTTAGTCCTGGTTTAGTCTTGGTTTAGTCCTGAGTTAGACCTGGTTTAGACCTGTTTTATTCCTGGTTCAGTCCTGATTCAGTCCTGTTTTAGTCCTGGTTCAGTCCGGCATCACAGTTTAAGTCACATAAATGAGAAACGGCTGTTATCCGTTTTTATCATTATTCATTTTAACACAAAATCAAAAACTGAAAAAACAAACTGTTATCGTTTTTTTCATATTGATTTTGGAGTCAAATAAAGTAAAAACATACTAAAACATTGCCACATCACACCTTTTAGCAAAAATGTGGTATATAGTCTATTGTCACAGTCTGGTTCCTCAAATTCAGCAATGGTGACAGTTTTACTTTCATTTTGGTGCAGAGGTCGTTTTAGGTTACACCAAAATGGCAGATTATCCAGTTAAATCGTACTGTGAATCCACTAAATCAACATTTTAACAAGGCACATCTGGCAGTATTTTAAGACACGCAAGTTTGAAAACATGCGTACAAAACAATTTAATGTTATGCCCACAGTGACCAGCAGAGGAAGACAGACACCTGAATTAAAGTGTCCTCAAAAGACATTCTACTACTTCCATTTTACATATTAAAATGTTGAAATGCTTGTAAAAAAGTGCCTAAAAGTATTTAAATAAGTCAGTAATAAAACTTTGTCAGAAAAATACAATGTGCCAGTTTGGAAAAAGATGGAAGCAGTTATAAAGCTGAATGTTGTGGGTTCAAGTACATGTAAATTATATGCAAATTATTCAGTTTTCTTAGCGGTTCAGTTCTGTTATATGCTCATTGTCTGTAATAAAGGACGATACTGGTTATGTCTACACACAACAAAAATCTGATCATATATTAGGGGTGTACAAAAAATATAAAAATGTCAATATATTGTATTGTTTAATTTGATGATACAGTATCGATATCGTGGGCTGCTGTATTGATATATCACCGAGAGTATTTTTTGGTATATTTTACTAAATTATCTCGTTACTGTGCTGCAATGTTGTTGTTTGTTTAGAGGAAGGAAACTCATTTGTGCAACACATTTGACATTTTCACAGTTTTGATGAGTAAAGTGGGTGTTTTTCATATGAATTTTGCACAAGAAGTGGTTTAACAAAGACTTTTAGTATCACAGCCATGGTTTAGCCTTTATTTTTTATTAAACCATATCGAATTGATTTTAAATATATTATATCAGATTGAAAGGGAACTGTATCGATTTATGTATCGTATCGGCAACTTGTTAATGATACCCAGCCCTATTATTATTATTATTATTATTATTATATGAAACATGCAAACAGTTCCTTTTGATGTGAGGAAGCTGATTACTTTCTGAGTCTTTTGTTTTGGCAAGAAAAATGTTGCAAAAAAGTGTAAAGTATCGTGGCAAAGACAGAAATTAAAAAGATTTAAAGAGATATTTTAAAATTCATTGTACAATAGTTAGACATGATTACATTTTATTTTAAAGTTTTTGAGTTTTGTTTCTTGACAAAAAAAAAAAAAAAAGAAAAAATGAATCAGTCCCACCCCTAATAGCCTTTTTTGTGATCAGATTCTCTTGGGCGTGTACGTGTATCCACTGATGAAACATAAAAAAGAAAACTGTGATACTACTAATACTTAAAGTGCTAAAAATTTTATTCTACACACTATAATTTGCTTTTAAATGAGAAATCTCCCTCGATTGCAGTAAGTAAACCATCTCTGTTGTCCTTTTGCAGTGTACTGACCAAAATAATAAAGACGGGCTACGCGGCGCTTCAGCTCGAATACTTTTTCACAGCGGGACCAGACGAGGTGAAAGCATGGACCATCAGGGTAAGTGATTCTATGGCTTAAAATATATCTACACTATGCAAAACTTTAGAGGGCAGGAGAGATTGTGCGAAGTTGTCCTTTTGGTGCTCTTCAGTAGGGACCAGTCTCAAATACAAAGTTGAAAAAGCCGAGGCGTTCAAAAAGTACAAAAATCAGGGCCCTGCTGAAGACCAAAGTGCCAAAGCGCGCTGCCATGTGGGATTAAAGGCTTTTAATTATTTTGTACTTTTTGAGTGCCTCTACAGCATATTTATATGACGAATAATGAATATACTTAACTCTGGATCTACAGAAAGGAACCAAGGCCCCTCAAGCAGCAGGAAAAATCCACACGGACTTTGAGAAGGGCTTTATCATGGCTGAGGTGATGAAGTTCAGCGACTTCAAAGAGGAGGGCAGTGAAAACGCAGTAAAGGTACGTCATCGTTTCTGTAGATTAAAACAGCGTATAGGCTCTATTCACGCTCACGTCACAAATCAGGAAGACGTTTGGAAACATGCGATGACGACTTCCGGTGTAGTTCCCGACACTGGACTCGCCGACCGACTGTGATAAAACCCATTGAAGTAAATGTGATCAGCGATAAAATGAAAACTGTATGTGCTGTTTGAAATAATCTTGAATTTGGCGCTCTCATCTCTTCTGATCGCATGTACCCAGTGTGCTCGGAGTTGTGCGTCAGTGGGGAAATTATGAAAACCGAGATTTGGTTGTAATTAGGGGTGTAAGGATATCCAAGTCTCCCGATACGATGTCGCCCCGGTATGAACCTCACGGTACGATATGTATTGCGATATCGAGGGAAAGCTCATGTATGGTGGATTTAACAATATCCAAATCTCTCTGTTCGATATTTTCACAATATACATCTCACGGTACGATATTTATTGCGATATTTTATGGACAAAACTGTTAATGTGCTTCTTTTTCCTCTTAAAATGCCTTGACAAGACTTAATCTAAAGAACTATGACTTAAAAGTGCTTAGAACTGTTATTTCTTCTTGTAGTCTACACTGAAATGAAGCAAAGGATCATGGTCTATGTAGTTTACTCTGTCTTTTATTTAGCTATTGCTGCACCATAACTCTTAATTTAAGCAAAGAGACTTGTGATTCGATATATTGTGATGGTCCACGATATTATTGTGAGAACTTTGACAATACGATATCATGATATTGCAGTTATTGTTACATCCCTAGTTGTAATTGTTGATTGGCCAAACATAACGGAACGCTACAGTGACATGGAGATGAAGAAAACTGGGACATTTTCAAATTTATCCTAGATATTCTCAGACTTTCTACCACGAACAAAGCCCGCTAGAAGTCTTCCCGGTTTGTGACGTAAACGTGAATTGAACCATATTCCGCTATTTTCTGATCTATGTTATAATGTCATTTCCTCATCACAAACATACCTGGAGATTTGTTTCTTTCACATAATTTTTAACACAAGCCCTGCATATTTAGGCTGAGATTTTTCTCCCTGACAGAAAACATTGCGTTCCACCTTGTGATGTCATGTGGTCATACGGGAAATGCTCCACTGTGATTTTAAACTCCACACACATTCACTAGAATAATTTGGATGCCGTATTTTCCACACTATTAGGCGCTCTGGATTATAAGATGTACTGTCATAGATTGGTCTATTTTAAAAAAAATTTAACAAATAATCCTCACTGGACTTTAAACGAAACACAACATTTGGATGGGTCAGTCGGACTTTGTTAGTCACGTTCACGGTGACTCTGGGCTTTGTTCAGTTGTGGCGTGTAGGGAGGGTGCTGTCTGGGACCGCTGGATTGTCGGCGTTTTCGCAGTGACTCAGTTGTTCAGTTTTGTCTAGAAGTGGCACATTGCACTCGCTTTTTTGGTTTGTTCCTCCATTCTGTTCCTTGTCGGCGTGGAGTGATGAGTGTGGATGTGGGTGTTTTTCGCGGTGCAGTCGCTGTCTGCTCCGTGTGTGTTGGCGTGTGCTGCTGGTGGTGCGGCTTTGTAGTTTACTGAAGTCGTGCTGGGACACCCGAGTGGATTCGTGTATAGGGCGCTCTGGATTACGGGGCGTGCAGTGGTTTTTTGATGGGGTTGGAGGCTTAAGAGCGCTCCTAATAGCCCGGAAAATACGGTAATTTTGGCCTCAGAATTTCCAGTCTCTACTGAACAAACATGAAAACTACCACTTCATGACATGACAAAGTGAAAAAAGAGCATTTTGCGCTTTAGAGATGTAGACAAACTGATAATAAAGGATTATTCAAAAATGAAACAATGAAACAAAACACAATTCCAGGTCTGTTTTTGAGGAGGTAACAACATTATAACATGGTTTAAAGTTCACAAGAGTCAATTTTGTGTAATATATTACCTTTAAGCATGTAACGATTGTAATGTCTGGGTGTTTTTTGTCAACAGTCTGCGGGAAAATACAGGCAACAAGGAAGAAACTACATTGTGGAGGACGGGGACATTATCTTTTTCAAATTCAATACGCCCAATGCACCCAAGAAGAAATAATTGGCAGACATGTTGCCAAAAGGAAGAGGTCAGAATACAGACTCTAGCGCCAACGTCCATCGCTTTACGCTTCTCACCTTCTAAAACAATGGATGAAGCCTAGCATACTGCCCCCTAGGCTGCCAGATTTGGACCACATTCACCACATTCCTGTCTGCATTTTATCTGCTATTCTGGTGAAGATGACCATTTTCTTGCAAAAGGAAGAGCTATATTAAGTTGACATTGCACAGTACACAATGGGTTTGTGTATGCGCCATTACAAAATTAAGTAAAAATATTTAAGGCATGATTCCCACTGTCTGATAAACTGAACACTTTATGTATAATGAAATTGAGCCTGTCCAATTACATTTTGTTTTACTACATGTAAATGCTATGGTTTTCATTCTGCTTTAAAGTTTGTATTTTGGCCAGCCGTGCTCATGGAAAAGGGGAAAGGGTCCAAGTGTCACATCCAGAATAATGTGTCAATAAAAGAACACTGTAATCACATTGAGTGTTTAAATTACTATGTTCTGTTGTTTATATTATGAGCTATTGTGCGTTAAATTCCCATTACTTTTTGTTGATTTGGCTGTTTTAAAAGTTTGTAGTTCAGCTTTTACAGTAATGATCCACACATCACACACACGTTGATTGTTTTAGCAATGATAAGAATCTTTATTTTTAGAAATCTCCTGATATGAACCACTTTCATACATGTTGAGCTGCTACGTGAAAATTGAACTGCATTCCATTTAGCTCAACAACAAACAGGAAGAACACGTCCTACAAATCTGAGAGACACTTCGCTCAACCAATGAGACGTGAGCAGCGATAATCGTCAGCCAATCAGATAATAGAAGAAAGGCGGGACGTCCTGTAATGTGATGCAAATTCGACGGTCAAGCTTGTTAGTCCCACCTTTTTGTGTTTCCCGCACCGTCAATCAAAATAGAAAAAATTCGACCCGAATTCACCGATCAAGACTTGAACACTTGAAGACTAGCCCGCCTTTGATAAAACAATCATGTTTGGAGTTTAAGAGGTCCGATAATCCGGATGTTACTGCCGTGTTCACTATGACGTCTACATAAATCTTTGGCGCACGCAGCGGCCTGTGATCGGTGAGTTTGTGCGGAGCCTTCAGCAGAGGCGCAGTCTTTTATCTGCCTGTGTCCTGCTAACTGCTAGATATGGTTAGCTAGCGGAGCTAGCAGGCTAGCCCAGAGTTGACAAAGTAAACAGTGTGTGGCCGAAGCCCACGGAGCGCGCCGCGGAGCTGCACTGGGACTCGGCTCCTCTCGCCCTGCGCAGTGGGGATGCTTTGCGGGCTTTTGTGGAAGGCCGGAGACGACGCTTCTAGAGTTGTGCTGAGTTTGCCCCTCTCTCCCTGCTAGCGCCACCGCAGCTCTCAAACAAGGAGAAATGGCGTCCGCGGACGTGGACAGCAGTCAGAGCGAGTTTCTACAGGCCGCGGGCGCGCAGGACACGCAGGTAACACGCGATCGGACGCTTTTTCTCTCGGTTTGCAGCGCTACTTTGAGTTTAAGAGCACCAAGTGGACACGTTTAAACATTTTGATGGCATGGGGTGAAGCCGTACACTTCCTGTGTTCCCCTCAATAACGGCCACCCACTTGAGCCGTGTAAAACCCGCCCATAGTGGGTAGGACACTCAGTCACTGGGGTCGGCTCACTGGTACAACCGGGACGGTGATGTGAGGTCATCCCGTGTGTCTGCCATAAGTACCGAATACCGAACTGTAGCAATGTACGGTAGTGTTCATCCACCCCTCCCCCACACACATCTCCTGCCTGTGATCTGCGTGAGCACAAGGCTGCTCTTACTGTCCATTGTAGTCACAAGATAGACTTATTCAGTGCCAGATACAATGTACTATATTCGTGTCTTCGTCTCCTCATGTAGCATTAGCTTGTGGTTGCATAACTCTAGTGATTGCTCCATAGCTCTCACAGAGGAGGCCTTGCTGTAGGCAAGAGTCTCATCATGTTGATGCTGTGATTGTTGCAGACCACAGACATGTCAGCGCTGCAGCTGACGAGCACAGACAGGTGGGAGGTGCTGACTCCTGTGTCCTCTGGGAAAGAAGACCAGGGAGTCGTCCACATTCCAAACTCTGGGATTGTCACGTCCAACGGCCAGTATGTGCTTCCCATCGGGAGTCTTCCCAACCAACCCATCTATGTCACTGCGTCTGGGACTGAGGCCACAGCCAATGGGGTCTCAGGGATCCAGTATCAGGTACAACTTGATTTTCTTTTCTTTTCAACACTGTAGAAATGGGCTCAGTGATCTCCATCTCTATGTATCATCTGTATCATCACCATGTATCATCTTAAAATAAGACGTTATTAAAGTTTGCTGGAGGGTACATATCAAAGAAGACCACTGATAAACTAGATGTTAGGACAACCCTTGTGTATCTTTTGTGGGAGCGTGTATTTGCTTAGAAGGGACTTGGGTTGCTAAAACCCACCATATGTACTTCTACAGTATAATAAGAGACAGAGAGAGAGAGACAGCATTATCCTAGCTATCTTACATGTGATGAAAGTGCGGTCTTTAGCGTTTCCTTTTCCTCTTTAGGTCATCCCACAGATCCAAAATGCAGATGGAACACTTACAACCTTCCCAACCCAAGGACTGTCTGATGGCACCGGGCAGATCCAGCTCCTTCAGGACGGCAGCCAGGGCACGATCGGAATCAGTGGAGCCACCACCACCACCACAGACCTGTTGACCCAGGCAGGACAGTCCATCCAGGGAGTCCCTCTGACGGGCACGTCTGCCTACGGCGGCTCTGTGGGGCTGCCCGGAAACATCACCTTTGTCCCCATCAACAGTGTGGACCTGGAGTCTCTGGGCATCACCGGGGCACAGACGGTCCCCATAGCAACAGGGGTGACCCCTGAGGGCCAGCTCATCATGAGCGGACAGACGCTGGACACTGGGGCCCAGGACAAACAGAGCAGTGAGAACAGCACTGACCCCACCCTCTATGTGCCAACCTCCACCACCACCTCCCTCCCTGAGACCATCGATGGAACAGGGGTCCTCACCCAGGCCACGGCCGTGTCCGCCGGAGTGTCAGATCCCTCCTCTACGGAGAACTTCAACTCCCATAACCACCTGCAGCAGATCCAGGTTTGTGGTAGACGCCATAAAACAGTTTTAGAACTTTACCACACACCCACAGTGTGTGACAAAAGTATTAAGAATGACCTGGTGTAGTTCTGTGTACTCATGGCGCTCTCCTGCTCTGTACTGCAGGTGTCGTCTTCCGGTGCCAGTACACTGTCCCAGCCCATCCTGCAGCTGTCGGGGGACTCTGCGTCTCAGGGACAGGAGCTGACTGATGCTGGACAGGGCCTCCAGGGGGTACAGCTGGTCAACCCCGGTACCTTCCTGATCCAGGCCCAGACTGTCACTGCCACAGGGCAGATTCAGTGGCAGACCTTCCAGGTGAGCACTGCTCTCGGTCACATGCTCTGATAGGCGAGTACGCCCCCTACAGCCTGATCTGTATTCTGCTCCTTCAGGTTCAGGGTGTGCAGTCTCTGCAGAGCCTCCAGCTGCCCCAGGGCCAGGGTCAGCAGCTGACTCTAGCCCCAGTTCAGACTCTGCCCCTGGGACAGACGGGGCAGGTCAGCCTGCCTAACCTCCAAACGGTCACAGTGAACTCTGCTGCTCAGGCAGGGGTCCAGTACAGCCAGGAGGGGGACGAGAGCAGCCCTGCTGGTACAGGTTATTAACCTTTACAATAACTACACAATAGTTTTATGTACAGTCCAATACAGTATTAAGCACACTGTCTCGGTCCAGGCATCCATATCAAAGAGGAGCCCGACTCAGACGACTGGCAGCTGAGTGGAGACTCCACTCTGAACGCTAGTGACCTGAGCAACCTTCGTGTGCCCATAGGTGACGAGGACCTGGACCTGCCTGGAGAGGGCAAGAGGCTGCGGAGGGTGGCCTGCACCTGCCCCAACTGTAAAGACTCTGGAGGCAGGTGGGTACAGCTCACGTACAGTCAGCACACAGGAGAGGGTAAGAGTCATGTTAAAGCCTGGTGTATGTGTGTGTGTGACAGGGGGTCAGGCGTGGGCAAGAAGAAGCAGCACATCTGCCACATCGCCGGCTGTGGGAAGGTCTACGGGAAGACGTCTCACCTGAGAGCCCACCTGCGCTGGCACAGCGGGGAGAGGCCGTTCGTCTGCAACTGGATGTTCTGTGGGAAGAGGTTCACTCGGAGTGACGAGCTGCAGAGACACCGGAGGACCCACACAGGTCTGCACTTCCACGTCTCACAGAATATATTTATAATATTTATGAACCTTAAGTCCTGTCTCTGACGTGACACTTGTGTCGGCTCTGCTGCAGGGGAGAAGAAGTTCGTGTGCCCAGAGTGCTCTAAGCGGTTCATGCGCAGTGACCACCTGGCCAAACACATAAAGACTCACCAGAACAAGAAAGGCGTGGTGGCCTCGTCGTCGCCCCCTTCAGACACGCTGATCGCTGCAGACGGCACCACCCTCATCCTGCAGGCCCACGAGCTGGGCGGGCAGGACATCCCCCTGCAGCTGGTTACGGTGGCGCCGGGAGAGGTCATGGAGTAATTCTGTAAGGACTTTTTTACAGGGACCCTTTTCTCCTTCTTCTTGTAACTTTTTTTTACATATGAATATATACGTAAATATATATGACAAATATATATATTTTAAGTAAGAGGTATCAAAAATTTGTTTTTTGCAGTCTTTTTCTAGGCAGGCAAAAAATTGTACCACATTGTTGCTATGTACACATGTGAACAGTCTCTTGCATTAACACCAAGACTAATCCTCAACACAATGAAATGCCTTATTTTGTATCATACTGTGTGTAAATGCTGGAGGCGCATGTTTTTTAAGCTTTGCAGGACATGTAACACAGATGACCGGGTTGTTTTTAGCAGAGAAGTGGACCTCGCTGAAACAATTCAATCTTCGACAAAGCTCACGGCGTCCGTCACTGTTTTTCCACTTCTTCTGGAAAATGATGCAACTTTCCCAGCCGCTGTGCTTCTCCCTATCACTTTTAGTTTTATTATTCCATTGTATCTTTTTAAATTGTTTCATTTCAAATATTTTTTGAGTGTCGTCAAATCAAGGCCATGTAACTGAAGGATTACCGCCACTGTTGCCATGTGGATACGAGAAATCAAATGCTATTTTTGTCAAACATTCCAGTTGGACACCAGATGGAATCGGGTGGTAATTCTGGACTCTCAGCGAAAAGGAAACAATCACGCCATTGTCTGTTTTATGTTAAAGTCATGTATCCCCCTCCTGTCTGTAGCATTTATTTTCATGTATATTCTCTTTTCACCATGTTTATAGAAGCCATTACCTAGTTACCTAATTTTTGTTTGTATCGACATTAAATGATTTTTTTTTTTTTAAGAATTGCTGTAAAAATTGAATGTTACCTTTTGTAAAACCCTTTTTCAAATG